TATATTAAATTATAAAAAAAAACCTTGTATCTACTACAATTTAGTACCAAAATATGTTTTACTGAGCTTGTGACTAGATGATACTGAGTGAATGGTCATGTTTTTATAACATTTTATTTCAAGTTTATATCTCTTTATAACAGAATAAAATTATATTTTGCTTTAATTTCCCATATTTTTTATTCTAACGTATTGACGAAAAATACATTAATTATAAGTTTCAAAATAGCACAGTTTTAAACTAAATTACATACCCCAATAGGAGTGATAGACGTAAACAAAAAACGTATTAAGTGTATTTACATTGCAGCACCTATTAAGGTCGGTCTAAACCAGCGACATTCTTTACAAATTAAAACAAATGAGGCTCGCAAATCGATGCCGTCTGATAGACAACTCTATTTGAAATTCCAATCACATGGTATGGCAACTTGTAGGGTCTATATTCAGCTGTAGATTAGGCCAATCCATTGATCATCCAATAAATATGTATGAATTGGAAGATATGACACGAGGGCTATCATGAGATATCTATTTCACGATAGGTGGTTGTAGCTATGCCATTATTTTTATCTGAATATAAAAAATAACAGGTTTAGTGGTATTTTTAGTGTATACTTATATTTGATCATATTTTTGTGAATAATTTCTATGATTATTTGATTATTTTTGTAATAGACAGAGTTAATTCTTTGTTGGTTCGATATTAAACATGAAAGTTGTTCGTATTTTTATCTATATACGAAAATAAGTAGCTATAGTTTACCTGTGGAATAGCACTGGCTGCGAGGGTACACGTTACAGCGAATGCGCTGTACTTACCCCGCAGAAAAGTTCCGAAAGAAGTAGAAACAATGGTCGTAAAACATTAAATAATGTAGTAAGTTTATTTAATTCCCCTAAGAAATTATTAAAAAACATAGCCGTCCATAGTTCCAAAATAAACATAACTTTTATATAGTATAAAAAGTTACTCCCGCTACTATATACATAGTTCTTTGTTCTTTTAAATTACGTAACAGTTTTATACATTACAGTTTTATTAGCAATAGATAGACTGATTCAAGAGCAAGGTTTCTATGCATGTATACTTAATCATATTATAGTAAAGAAAAGCTGAATACTTATAATATAGTATTATATTTAAGAAAGTAAACATTGTAAATAGAAATAATTTAGAATTAGTATAAGAAGGCGCAATGTGGAGATCCCCAAATGAGAGAACAGTTTCTTAGTTTTTTGCAGTCTGGAATGACTAAAATGACTTAGAATTAGTATATTTAATACAATAAACCGACTATTTTTTGAGTAAATGTAATTAATTCGTCAATACTAATTGATTTTTAATCTGCTGGACTTAAAAGTTTCTAAATTTGGGATTTATATCAATTTATTAAATATGTAAATTGTTTTTTTATGAAGAAACTCTTAAATTATAATTGGATTGGTACGTGGTTTAAAACATATAAAATTTTGTTATATGTATTAGTAATTTCGTCAAGAAAAATGTTAAAAAATATTTAATAGAATGGACATTATTGTCAGACGAGTCCGCCTGACAATAATGTTTGAGAATTGAGTTACAAATGTGTCAGAGTTTCAACTAAGTAAGGTATATTTTTATATAGGTAATATACGAGAAAACAAATCATGTAGTTACATTTTTTTATATGTATAGAGTACCCATTACGTTACATTAATATCCACTTAAATAACCCGAAACATTACTACATATACTACATACTATAGCACATACATCGAAAAATAAGTGGTGTGCTATAGTTTATCCACGTCAGTTATGACTTTTAGAAAAAAATAGGAAACGGTAAACTGTAAAAAGTTGAGGTACAGCAGCAGCAGCAGCTTTACAATTTTATATATTTCTGTGTTGATTCATAAAGATCAAAATTAATTGTATAAAACTTACAATAATGTGATATTCAGATGGACAGACAGATATGGGCTATTTATAATATTAACTAGTAAACTCTAACTGCAGAAAATGAAGTATGTAACCTTACTTTATTCATAAAAATTGAATTAAGATACGTTAAACTTCATAATTTCGTTCGCTCTGTGAAGATCTAAAAGCGCGCCAAACTCATGTTTCCTCCATTATATTGAAATTTAACGTAGGTATATCTGATATTACCAAAGTTCACAGAAGATATATTGTTTTGTATTTATCTTTGAGTGGCTTTATTACAATTACCGTTAGGACGATGATTGTTGAGACATTATATAATGTAGTGTTCGAATAATATAATAGAGTCCGTAATGATTCGCTGAAACAATGTGGAAAACTCAACAACTTAACATTAATTAATATATTTTTATATTATGAATATTATTAATCAACATTTTTCACTTTTTCGTTTATGCTGTACCTCTTTGCAACAATATTAAAAATATCCGCATACCAATTATTTCTTAGTCGTTTTAATCGTTTCTTATTTTCTTATTGTTTGTATTAGGTCATTATATAGTGATATTAAGATAATTAAAAGAAGTGTGAATAAATTAAGACTAAAATCATGTTAATAAGATACTGATGTGTATGCTATCATATGAGTATTAGATTTTAATTATATGATGAAATGAAAATAAATTATTATGATAACAACACGAGAGTAAACCAACAATCACCCCCAAAAAAAACACACTTATCTTTGGGATTTTATCACAAAAATTAATATAAAAAAACGAATTTATATTTTATATACATCTGGAATTTACTATTCCATATAATATGTGATGATCCCCCTGATGGCCAGCGATAACCGTCGTATATATACATGAACAGCACGTCACATCGCGTTATCAAATAAATATAAATATCATATGAAGCCACTCATGCATTATCATTCTAGAAGACTAAGATGTCATGCCTCTACACCCTCTAATTTTACTTGCTTTAAATCACCTTTTAACCGAAATGCAGCTTATAATGCACAACTAACAGAACTACTTAATTGCTGAAACTTAACTGAACTTTTGTCTCGCCTACTTGTAGTTGAAATAGACGTAACATCCATAAATAATTTTGGATAAAGTCGGCCCGTACATTATATAAATGTCTACATATAAAAAAAATAATCTCCGTTGACTTTAATTTGGCATCATTAGAAAATTAATAATTCTTATTAAAACACAGATTTGAAGACGGGACGAGAGGATAATTATCGTGACCGCTTTTTTCAGGGACCTTTTTTGGCATTCAAAACGGTCCGCAAATTTTTCGTCATTCTATAAAATTAATTGCTTTCACTCAACCATTGGTTAGGCAGGTACTTATTATATGCCTTTAATGAGGAGACGGATCAAAGGTAGGTCTCATTACATTATATAAAAAAATATCTACTACTACTTATAATGAATGTCATAGACATTAAATTTAATTTAAATATATATATAAATACTTTCGATATTTTTGTTATACATATTTAATTATTTAAAAAAAAGTAATAAATAAATACATCTAAATGTTATCATATATCATTTATCCTCTGTAATGTGAAGTACATTATAGATAATTGAATTTTCGATGTTACCTTTTTCTTTGCTGAGTATGTATATAGTACTTTGGCACATAGGTAACCTAACTTCAATTTTAATTAGGTACATAAGAAATGTACTTAACAATAGTTTGCATATAATTAAATTACAACAAACTTAATGTTCCACATAAAAACATTTATTTTAAATTAACTATTACGAAGCTGCTTGAAGCTTCGTAAAATAAAATAAGTAATTTTGTTACTTTTTGTAAATTTGTTACTAATTGTAACTCTGAACTGCATTTGTTTTTGAAAAATAAAGTTATATGTACATTCTCGTGATACAATCTATTTGCGCAAATCAAAATCAAATTTCATTAAAGTCAGTTCAGTCGTTTAGACGAAAAAAGGTAATAGACATACATCGCATTAAATTAATATTGCATTAAATATTATAGAAAATATTAATATAAATTCAAATCGCAATCTTGCTACCACCAGCTTGTATAAAGTCTGTAAAATTAAACAAACAACTAAAAAGTATTTACCTACGATTAATTATTATTCATCAGCAAAGAATTTCGAGATTTCGATTCAATATCGTGCTGATCTATAAAGGGCTCTTTAAATTAATTCTTAAGTAATATTAAAATTGAAAATTCTGTCAACATTTGATTAATTAATCTTAGAATTCGATAAAAAAACAAAACCTAATTGAACTAAAATCAAATTAAATAGAGGTTATAAATCACAAGGCAATATTGTATATAAGTATGTATTTTAACAGAAGAAGTACCTTTACTAACTCTGAATGTTAATAAGCACTAAGCAAATATGAGGGTATAATCACTACATATTGCTGTCTATAGTAACTGTTCTCGTATATAAAACATAGTGATTACTTGCTAGACATATAACTAAATAACTTTTTATTAAAACACATTCCAATTATAAAAATGGTTTTTAAACATTCATATTTAATTAATCACGTTACTCCACGGCAAATATGTCAGAGTTAAATTTTTTGATTTTAATTTTTAACTATGGTCCATGGAAGAAATTTTTCATTTTAGCATACAAATATCATATATATAGACTAAATATTTTAAATGGTTATTTAATTTTTATTCGTATAAAGAGATTGTACATAATTTATAGGTTAATATAATTTTTATTCCTATTCAATGAGTATTGAAAGGGACTCAAATACTTATGTTTTAAGTTTAATTAAGTGTACTCGTATACTAATTATGAAGATAGAGATAGACTAACGTGAATAATATGAGAATTATTCAATCGTATAAATATAATTCGAATAACTGCTGTTCGTGTCTACAGGTAGGGAACACCAAAAGATTTTTTGTTTCATTGGAATTTCTGTATCAATAAATCAGAGCGCATATACGCGTATGCCTACTATCAATGAAATACGAATTGAGGTTTCCATTTACATGTAAAACTGAAAAGAAATATATTGTTGTAACTAAATTTATACATTCGCAGTTGTCAGCGAGTGGGGAGCCTGGCAGCGGTGCGGTGGATGCGGTGGCACGACGCTACCGTCTGGAAAACGGGAATTCGCTCGGAGAGAAAGACGAGGTAACTAACTAAATTATTTTTTATAACACTTCTTTATATTTACTAATTTTTATCCGCGACATCGTCTTTGTAATTCCGACAAATTAGATAAAGTTGGGCACAGTTGCCAAAGTCTGTCCCAAATTGAATTATAACAGTTCATGGAATCGTCACTGTGTATCAGAGATTATAATGACAGTTACAGAGGACTAAACAATTATGTACATATCTGTGTTATTATCTCTTTATCTTCGTATCTAAACATAATATTACATCCGTGCGTCGTGTGAAACATAACTACTCATTAGCACGCTATTTAATTCAATAACTAATGGTTATTGTACATACTTCAATAGTCGGATACTCGACTTTGCGTAACTTAAATGGGTTAAGGCCAGGAAGGCTATGATAATGATCGGAATTAACTAGGCTTTAATATTTCAATTGTGGTTCTTATATACAAGTTTGATAATTCGTTACTGATATTTTGGCCATTTTAGTGTTCTGCCAAGGAAAAGCGGTTGTTAGTAATGTTAGTAATAGGGATTAGTGAATACATTGATACCAATGTGCTCAATCAGGTCGACAGCCACGCGGTACCTTCTTGAAATCAACGTCGTTATAATCCTTATTTCCAGCGTATATACGTTAATTCCTACAGAATTCGTCACGACGGGCTAGCTGATCTTTTTGCTTGTACAACGTTGGCACATATTGGAACATTATCCCATACTCGTCCATAGAAAGAAGTGTATTACATAACGTAATAGTTAGCATCCATGCGATATATACGTTACTTTTATATCTCTTAATTAGTACATTTATTGTACATGTAATACAGTTTATAAATTTTAATAATAATACTGAAGACAACTCACACGGTGCCATCTAGTGCAAAGGATAGATAATAATTACTGATAGATATACTTGTAATTTTGTAAATACATACATAATATACGTAGAAAACACCCACTCACACTGACACAAACAATCATACTCATAAATACAAATGTTTACACCGTGCGACGAAACCTGCGACCATCTGAAGTAAAGCGGTATGCGAAGCCCTTACAATAATTACAATATTGTGACTTGGTTTGTGAAATGTGACCTATGTACGTGATCCAAAGTTGAGATTGGTTACCAGGTGTCAAAAAATAGCAAACATACTCGTACAACTAAATACTTTTGCAAGTGTAATTTGCAGTAAAAATAATGATTAGCATGTTCACATTTTGCGCAGTGCGTAAGTTTGAAGGCAATAATATTATTCTAATAAAATTAAGAAGACAAAAGAAGTCTATGGAATAAAATGTAAATCAAATTTCTTGTTTGATTGCACTGGGTTTCCTTACGTCTTCCTTGTATTATATTTCATTGCATTAGCATAAATCCAATAGTATATAATTATGCGAAATTATGTTGATCTGTCTATTTGTTACATTCTTAAAGTATCTTAATGAAATTCAAAGTGAAAATAGATTGTATCACGATGACGTGTATAAGCCGTTTACCTCAAGAAATAGTCTGGAATGGAGTAAGATACAGGATGAAAGATAGTACAGACGAAGTTGAGATAATAACTATATGTATTCTTATGATGACCTTCTTATGATTGAATTTTGGCCTATTCGTAGCGTTTGTTAATTTTTAATTTATTTAAATAGCTTTAATGCTGACGAATACTTGCTTTCAGCAATATTGTAGGTACATTTCGCTAAAGGGCACAAACTTTTATAACTTCTACGTCCTAAATATATTTAAAGAAATTATTCTTTAAAACGTACTTGAGACGTTTCGTAACATCTTGAGGAAGCTATCTCGAGAGAATCGTTGCCTTAATTTTAATACGGAATTATTCTTAGACGCCATTTTGAAATCAACATAAAATTTTACTACGCCTATTTTGGCCTATATGACACGTGTTTATCTATTCACAAATTGTATTAGATATATCCTCGAGATTATGCGTATTACTGAGATATACTAATTAAACGAGATGAAAGTCACAGTATTTATTATGGCATTAACGTTACACTTTGGGGGAGCACAACTGAAAGATGAAAAGATGAGAATGCAGTAAGATGCCATCGTAACTAATTCTGAATGAATAATATTGGTTTCCTGTAAAAACATTGTAGAGGTTGACCTGATTTTTTTCTTATTTCATTCCGTTTTATTACTCTATCAATGAAGGGTACATTGGTAGAGCAATAAAACATCCTAAAGATAAGAAAAAAATATCAAACCCATTTGTACTTCTAATAGTGAGCTAACAACTAATAACTAAAATTGAAATATTAAAGTCTAGATTGTATTATTAAATTATAACGATCGAATATATCTAATTTCGATCTCGATAGTCCTGCCCTTATCCTATTAAAATTATTGAATACATATTAGTGTTTCTATATAGAACATTCCAATACTAAAGTACAATGTACCTTTTTAAAATATCTGTCTTTCATCGTAGTTTTAGCATAGGCCTTTCAGATATATATCAGATATCAGCATAGCATTTCAGAAATATGAAGAATTTTATTAATTCATAATAATATGCAAACCATTGGGTCAAAAAAGACCGCGTTTTTATCTGCAAATAACGGAGATGTCGTAGAGATCTCAAAATAATAACTGCCAAGGGGCATGAAGCTTGAATCAGGAAAATTGTAAAAAATATAACTGCTCCCTGGCATCATTTTGATGCCCAAATTAATATTATTCAACATAATAAATGTAAGATGATTGATAGGTAGATATAGATGCTGATATGATCTAAATAATAGGATTTCCTGTGTGATATAGTGATGCAAATCGGCACGTTCGATAGTAGATTGTGCCAGCATACGTTTTATTTAAGGACACGTAGGTCACGTAGTTGTTAATATATATATAGTTTATGTAATTAGTCTAAGGTAGAGTACATCAAGATGTAACAGTTAATATACAAGTCCACCCTACTGTGTGTGTTTACTCTCACCACCGCTCCTGTCATCACTAACACTATCATCCTGTATTCTAGTGTATTAAATCGACATTCTGCTGTAAATAGTTTCGTGAAAATTCATATAGTGACATATGACAGTATGTAAATATATATAAGGAGCCGTATTTAATCATTCACATTTTATAATTTCAGTTAGTGTCCTTTTAAATAACTTTCATTAAAGTAGATCAGATCAAAACAGTCACAAACAAAAATATATTTTATTTATTCTACTTAATAAACCAAATTAAATATAAGGATATTATTATTTATTTATTTGGATAGATTAGAATAAAAATTGGATTACCTTAGTAATCCAATTTTTATTCTTACTCACCCTTACAACCAAAAGGATTTGATATACGAAGCCCAAAAATATATTTTGCTTTAGTTTCCGTATAAGAGAAGCTTTCTCCTAGCATACAGTATACCTAAATGCTCAGCTATAAAATTTAGACATTTCCATTTCAATTCATTTGTTACAGTTATTTGGACCACCGAGCGCTCCGGTACTTGAGAATCCCGAGTTCCAAACAAGATGGTACTTCAAGTATTTTCTTGGAAAAAGTAAGTATTTTTATCATCTTTTGTCATTTGAATTTAATTTTGTTCTCATCGCAAAAATAATAGAGGAAAACGTAAAATAGGAAAAAATAATTTGAATACTTATGTAGATATCTTTAATTAAACATTTACAATCATACATAACAGCGACGCATAATTCTAGACATTTAATTAAGAAACAAATTTGTAATTTTAATTTTTTAAAAATTACAAATTTGTTACTTAATTAAATGTGCTGTTCTGTTAGATTTAGGTATTTATTATAATTATTTAGTCTATATTCATAAAAAGATATTTGTAAAAAGAATACATTATTTACCCCATTTTCTGTTAAGAAGTATTTGCCTACATTTTGTTATTTGCTGTATCAAAGCAAAAAAAATGTTAAAAAATGTTTAGTAATATATGTAATTCACCGACATTTCAATATCTTACTAAATAAACTGTAAACAACATTAGAATAATTGGTTACTACACTTTGAGTTATATAATAATAAATAATACATTTATAAGGACCTGTTTACTGTAATAAAATCTTCTAGGAACTATATTCTAGGAATGCAATTACTTAAGATAAAAATTCCAGACGCCATGAAATAAACCGTGTCATCTTTTATTCACTTCCCCAAACAGTATATAAACATTAATTCCGTTCTAGCGCTACATCATGAATTATTGATAAACAAATAGTCTAGTAAGTATATTAGATTAAATGCAATTGTTTTAGCCTCTTGCTCTTAGCCGTTTCATCGAATCATCTTCAGAAATACGGCAAACTCAGAAGGAAATTGCAAAACAATTCTCATTTCCTTTTACTGTTATGTCGACTACGAACTTCCTTCAAACGTTAAACTTCCTACTAAGACCTATTCGTATAATCTCTATCTATTTATATCTGTCTTAGTACATCTTTAAGCTATCCAGGTCCCATATAAACAGAGATAATAAAAAGCGAACGCCATTCTTTTAGACTTTCTAATTTTCTCCTCTTACACATATTTAGTTTCACAGCTAGAGACGTAAACGAAAACGTTCCCTATTCTACTTAAATCTAGCTGAATTGTATATAAGTGATAAAGTGATTACACACTGATTATGGTTATTTACTCGTATTTTCTATTGAAATTTTCTTTTGTAACAAATCTTAAGTCATTTTAAACCAGCGAAATCTTGCTGCGCTGAGGTAGAATACAGCCTGTGGTAAGCTATTCATAACTTTGTACGTAATATTTAAAATAGTGAAATATATTTTCTGTTTATCAAACACAAATATTAGTAGATATATAATTAGTAAGCCCACCCTGGCTTCGCACGGGTATGAAAGCTTTCTCTTCAATCATTCTATCTCTTACTGAAAACTGCATTAAAATCCGTTGCATAGAGTAAAAGATCTAAGCATACCTACAGACACCGATGAACGACTACTATTTATACTAAATAAAGAAGATTTGCTCACTGCTCCAATTTTATGTAGTTGGGGTATTTTAAAATATCATTTGGAATGCGAAACATTATGGTAATCGAGGTATGAAATAGAAATATATGTATTTATAAAGCCGTTTGTATTCTTCAGTCTAATTCACGTCACATAAATACAGTCATAAACGGAGTACCACGAAGTGAAGTGATAATAAGGAACATTTCATACACAAGAGTTCATTAATATGTGCGTTAAACATATTATAACACAGACTCGTACGAGCGTAACAAGCAGTTGCGTTCTGTCGTGCGACATATAAATTTGTGCCTTCGTCGCCGTAATCAGTAAATTATAGGTTACCGTATCATAATAATATATACCAGTATGTTGAGTCTGGTTACTGTCAGTTAAATGAACACGTATACTCTTCTACATCATACTATTAAAATGTATTGTTTACTTAATAACCGGTGTCACCCTTCTACGATATTATGTAGAGGTAGACATCGGAGTCGTTTTGTCACCTCATTATTTCTATTTTTGTCTATATGTCTTAGAAATTGGTTTTCCAACCATTAAGAACGTCCATGTAATGGAGGACACTTACCACATTAATTGAGAGATATTAAACTTTAGCATTCCGGTAATAAAAATCATATAAGATAGACATAATATCATATCTAATACTACTATATAATATCATACGCTCGATATAATTACCATTTCACCGCATTTAACACACTCTAGATAGAATTGATTACCATTGCTGCAAGTCATGACATTTCTTTCCATCTTCGTTTCTACATATTGTACTAAGGAATTATTTTATATTAGCTGCAGAGTCGCTTCTTTACGGTGCTTTTGTACAATATACTGAAAGTTATAATAAAATTACATATGAGTAATATATATCTAGACAAGACGGTGGTGGAAGGTGTAACCACATGTACTCTAATAAATTTCTAATCCAATATGTTGAAACCTTACAAAAAAAATCTTGATGAAATGGCTGCTATGATCAGTCACCCGCTTGTGTTATAATATATGGTCGCCATTATGATACCACAACCGACGACGAAAGATGGAAACTGTAACGATGGGTGCTGTAACGATCTAAACCTTTACCGTATACAATATTTTCTAGTTATTTCACGACATTTGTCATATGTAGATAAATGTCGTAATATTTTATCTCCTTTCATATACGAGTAGGTAGTTTTCGCTAATCGCACGTTATTGCAGTTATTTTGAATTGTAACCATATATATATATACCTGAAAAATAGCATATCACATCTCTGATTCTAGTCATTCTAACCTTGAAACAATGACGAATATTTAAGGTCATTAAAATATAAAATAATTTTAAAATAAATAGAATAATTAATACATAATTTTCCTATAATATCTACACATATTGTATTAAAGTATCCAATAACATATATGAGTTTCAATTACATAGAATTAACTCATGAATAACAATTTACAATAGAGGAAGTGTTTTTTCCTGAAGCAGATACTGAAAGTACAACTCATTATTGCTCAAACGTACAGACTATCTCAAGGAATTCGATAAAGGTATTTTATCGTTCGTGCGTGACGCAATAATGCTTTGTGTATAGAAACTTTTGTCATTTGTACCCTTAGTGCTAATCTTATCGAATCCTATAAGTAACATATAGCTGATGATAATCTTTATGTGGACTCTATTATCTTATTATGAAGGTACTTAAGTCACATATTAATTAATTGGAACTAATTACTAACGTATGATTTAGATGTTTTTTTTTATTAGTTCCCGAATTTCGTATTACATACATTTATTTATCTACATTTATTTAAGAAATCTAATTATATATTACCCTATATAAAAATTTATCTCATTAATCGGTCAATCTGGTTAACCTAAATCCAATACCTAGTCCTAACTAGTCAGTATTAGGTGTTAAGTTGGCGGTAACAAAGTTTGTTTGTTCACCGCGTTTTCAGCGTTACACAATAGATGGGGTAATGGGATTGTTATTGACCCACTGTCCGGTCCAGATGTCGGGTGTAGGCGGCAGCTGGGAGCCGGGACTGGAACTGAGAGCAAATAATATGGTATCCCACTGTGCGGATCACAATCGTGTAATAAAGTATCTTTCATTATGAAGATGTAAAACTTCTAATGAACCTAATTTAACCATAACTTTTTTTAGTACTTTCTTTCTTTTTGAGTTTATTACGACAAAATATTACAATTTAATTTACAAAATTAGGCTTCTTATCTTGTTACTTATAACTTTTAATTTTTTAAGAGTCAAGATACACATTATGTAATATTCAATAAACCAGTCTAATATTTCGTATTTTTTTCATTTAAATATCTTATATAATCTAATTGATTTTCTGTAACTTACGAGTATCAAATTAAAGACTACGTTACGCAAATGTACCATCATCAGGTTATAATTCTTAGTAAGTAGAATACTATAAGTTTAAACATATGTGCAACATACGTACATTAATTCTTTTGATAAATTGTATACTCGTACATACATATATTTATCTTTATTCATATACACACCGGCCTCTTTTCAATTTCCCGTGTAGTAAAAATGTTGTAATTAACATAATTATTGCATTCGACTGCTAGTACCGTAAAACGGTAGTAAATAGGTACTAATTACTTTAGAAGCTGTAACGCCGTCAAAGTAATTTGCGGTGCTTATTGTAATGTAGGCCTATGCTATTTAATGTGCAATTAAGTGCATTATTAATCAGTACAGCGCCTGCAAGAAGTTTAATGGTTATTAAATGTTATAGTAACTACTCGTTCTGTTAAACTTAAAATATTGTATTTCATAACGAATATACGTTATTAAATACAATATTGTAAGACGACAAAATGAGTTTCTCTCGAAAATCAATGAACTAAATATACTGAGACATTTAGGTAGCAATATCTTGGGAATTATAAAAATAAAAGTAATGGATTTTTCCTTCATTTTAGGTACATTTCTATTTAAGAAAAGTAAATAACGAGATTTCAATATATTACTCTAAAAATTTTGTAATATTTTTGTGGTGCTGGGAACTGGGAATACCAAAAAAGCTTACTGTCACTCTGATAAAACGTGGGAATGGAATAGAATAATGTAATCTATATTAAGGACATTTGTATATTTGTAAGAGAGCATCCTAACTATATTAGGAAATTAACAGATTCAACAATGCGAATAATGAAACCTAATGACACTATACACACCAATGTGTCTTTTACATTTATATAAAAGAATTGACAATTAAAATGTACAATAATCTTCTGAAAGATATTACAGAACTGAAATCCCACACATCGTTTAAACGCAAACTGAATAGTTGGCTGTCGATTTATAATTTTTCAGTGTCCAAGAATATTTGACAAAAACAAATACTTTCATTTACTTAGCATGCCTGTTATGGTAAATATTACTGATAAATAATATTTTTATGTAATAACTTATCTGCTGTACCAATATTACACAATAAATCATTTCATTTCATATAGCCTATCTTATTAATATTATTATTGCGAGAGTCTGTTAGTATGTGTGTTTGTTACTCTACTCTTTCACACAGAAATTACTAAACGGATTTTATTGAAACTTTATGATATAGCTTATACATCAGAATAACATATATATATATAGTCTATAAATTTCACGCGGGTGAAACCGCGGGCAGAACTAGTAGAATCTGGAGGTGTTGCTTAAGCTCAATAATAAATATATTTATAGAAATAATAATCTTTATTGAAATAAATTTAATTTATGAACACTACAAGCAACTGTTGAATGTTATTCTACGACTCATTTGGTATGTAGTTTAAGACGAAAAGAAAAAAATTGTCAGTTGCCTTTTTACACAATTATACATTTTAAGATTTTGTGAGAATATATTCTACGAAATAACACAAATCGATATTCAGAATGGACCAGTCTCTAGACAAAGTTAACGGATTTAAACTGTCATAACTGTACTAGTTAACTACATAGACATTTAGGTAATATAACTGAAAACCTATATTAAAACTTAGAAACCAAATAATTATGCAGTTAGCAATAGAATACCTTATTGTTCGTTTTTTATGTATAATCTATATTTTTTGGGTATTCAATGTTCAATTCAACATTCAATTATTCAATATACAGAATTCATCGACATTAGAAGTTTTAAAGATACAATTATACATACAAGTAATACTCCTTCAGTGTTATTAACAAAATATAAAAAATAATTGTCACTAAGGTAATATAAATAAATTTCAAAATTATTAAGCATAGCAATTTTGGTTTTAGTGCATCAGAATTACATAGGAGTGGATGGCAGCAGGGAGCCGTACTTATTAAGTGTGGTCCAGGAAGGCGGTGCTGGGCTTTTACGAGCGATACTTTTCAACAAAATGGTGAGCAGAAAGGACACATCACACAGCTAATAAGTATATACTTTATTACCTACCAGCGCGACTTTATTACATCCAGTTGATCGACTTGCTAACTTAGGTACATAAGGTTAATACTTATTTTGGTTTACGTAACGGTTTTTGTTGAGTATAATTTATATTAATTGTGTAGAAACATTGTTGGATAATATATTACAGAACAATTATTGATATTTGCAAAAGAGGCTCAAAAAATATTGTTTTACAGCATACTTTTTTTATAATATATTATACTTGTAATTAAAAAATATATGTTTCAAATAAAATGCACTAAATATTTTTGACAGAATATAAAATAATTGACAGTATTTTCAATATTTAATTTGATTTACGGCTTATTTTAAATAATGAATGTCTGATTTGAAGGGGATTGATGGAATATAGAAATAGACACACACTTGACAAACTTAAGTGAGAAAACGAAACAAAAAAAATAATTTAAAATGAAACTAAAAAAGTCTATAGAAACAAAAGCGTAAATAAAAAAAATATTAAATAGAATTTAAATATTATGTATATATGCTATGATGAAGCTAATAATTTCGTTTATTCGTAGGGTGCTCACAAAATATATCTACCACCAAGTGCGTGGAACACAAGTGGAGGGCAAGCACCGACGAGACCGACAGTAAAGCAGATCCTAGCACAGTTCCCCGCTATGGAGAGAGTCGACAAAGTGCCGAGAGAGGTTAGAATATTGTCTATACTAACTGTCTAATATCCCATATCGATTAATTTTGCCTGTTACAATTACTTATTGGCAAATATAATTAACGATATAAATAACGGGTACCGCACTTATTTTATCTTAGAATAACGACCCGATATTGTTATTTTTTGTAATATCAGTTAATACATATATCGTGATTTCCAAATAACACTTAAATGGTTTACGGACCGCTTTATCCTATTTTATGGGCCATGCTGTAGGAGGCTAATCATTTCCGGTTCTGTTCCCATGAAATATCACGATCGATGTATATTTAATGGATAATGATAAAACGTTTAGCAGATAAATATTGTACAGATTATATAAATGAAATATTTACCATAAAAAAGAGTTCTACTTTAATTCGATGCAACATTCTGGACTTTTGTTCCTGTAATCCTTCTCTCAACAGATTATTAAGATTGATTACAAATAAATTGTAATATACATTTTGTTATTTATGTATATGTTTTAAAAATATATATATTGCAGATCACATGTGCAGAACTTCAAAAAGACATACTACTCTTAGAAGAACAAGAGGGATCAGTAAACTTCAAAATAGGTGTTATTTTAATGAACCCTGGCCAAAAGACTGACGATGAAATGCTCTCAAACGGTAAGAAAAAAAAAGATTTTATTATTAAAATGCTATAAAAATATTTTTACGAGAGATAATTTAAATTCCGCGAACCTTTCAGAGAAGGGAGACGAGAAATGGGACCGATTTATTTCACTTTTGGGCGACAAAATTCGATTACGAAGCTGGAACCGATTTCGTGGAGGACTCGATGTCAAAGGTAAGCAATGTTTGCCAACTACCTATCTCGTAGGTACACTCAAGCACGGGTATCTCGGACTTTTGGCCATAATAATAATTTTCATGCGTAGATTCTTAAAGCGAAATAAAGACAAACAAGGAAAATAGTATTGCTAGGGAACATGACGCACAAAGATTTCATTGTTTGTATTTTATCTACACTATCTATGCCTATTATTGCATTTTTTTGTATTGGCTACAAACACTGGATTTACTAATTTTAAACAGACTCCGTAAGAAACAAGTACAAAGTGTAAATAAAATAATATATTAATGTTTATTCATTACTAACATTTTATACAAAATCACATGGAATAGTAAATTTATTCACTACCGAATAGAATGCGTGTAATTTGTGTCTGTGTGTGTGTTAAGTGATTTACAAATTAGCAGCTGCAAATAGTAATTACACTAACTATAACTTTCCGCTATAATACTTCATATTTAGATTATTCATTTGGTATACATAATTATATATTATAATTCAAATTTAACTGTACAATATTACTTAGTAATTTTAGTGCTATAAGTCTGTCTGATAATATGTAAATGTAATCTAATAATAATAATATATTAAAAATTAATTCCAAAGACCTCTTTTTATTTATAAAACAATAATTTAGCTACAACTGCTGTCTGTACGAATATCAACAACAGTAAGTGCATGCCATCATCTCAACGTCGTTCTGTTTACAGGTGACATGACTGGCAGCCATTCCATTTACACGATGCACCAAGGACACGAGATAATGTTCCATGTTTCCACAATGTTGCCATTCTCTAAAGACAATAAGCAACAGGTAGCTAATATTGTATTATTACAAAACTTGCACACATATAAGCAATACTATTAATATTAATAGAATTTGACAATATTGAGACAATTGTAAGGGCCAACTTATGTTACCTCGATTCATAGACTATATTGGCATTATGATGATATCAGCAGACCTATTACGATTATGTTACTCTCTATGCAATTGCTGAACTGGTTATCAAAATTATAAAGTGATGGATTATTTTTACAGGGGGTTATATTATTTCCCTTATTTTATTATTGCTTAGAAAAGTAGCCGTAACTCTATTGTATTATATATCTGTAATAGTGAATATATATTAGGTTTTTAGAATATAGGTACTTTCAGTATAGTATAGGTTCTTTTGTAGACTTTAATTATACGTAATTCATACATACCTACCTATACATGTTATTATACCTAACCCTCATAGGACTACCACCACTACCACTACTGACCACAGAGAAACTTAGGTAGGTAACTGTACCTATCTTCTACATAAACTTTAAGCACTGACAGTAAGAACTTCTAACTACTAGATATTATCTGCTTGTTAAGTTTGTGATTTCAACTTTGTACTAGAGGAAAACTGAAATGTTGTCTAGGAATTCGAAATACATTGTTAAAGCAAACCAATTATACATGCTTATTCTAAAACGTGCAACTGAATTGTTATTTGTTGAGATAGTTATTTTGTTTATAACTATACTCTAGATAGAGACTTTGCCCCGGTAGAGTGTACAAAGTCATCTGTGAGTTCTACAACCGGAACACAGCATCAAAAGCAAACTACTTGGCGGTTAAAATACGTGAGACGCAAACGATTTTATGCAATGTACCTCGATTTAGACACGTAATACCAGTAGAAAGAATAATATATTAAATATTACTAATGGATTTTTTTATTATTTTGGTGTTCACAGCTCGAGCGGAAGAGACACATAGGCAACGATATAGTGAACATCATATTTACTGACGACTCTGTTCACAACACATTCAACCCGCAATGCGTCAAGAGTCACTTCACTCGTATCCTTTTATATTATTCACAATGGACAACTAATCATCAACCAAAACAAAAAATAATAATTATGCAAATAAACTCTTTATATGAACAGTTTTAAATACTGCTTTTAGTACTAGTGGTCGCCCGGTGGTCGAAATATGACTGTAGTAATAAATATAAATAACATAGGTATATAGTGTGCGTAATGTTTTTTTATTTATATGCAATAATTAAATAAATATTAACATCGTGCTCTCCTACTCTATATAAAAAGTGTTTTAAATACTATCAACATTGTGGACTATATAAACTATAAGTGTGCGCAATTTCATACTCCTCCGTCCGCGCAATTTTCGTAATGAAGGGTACTAAGTTTTTACTTCACTTATTAGTATAATCGGTAATCAGTAAGAGAAAATTGACAAGAATAGATATTTAACTAGTAACAGTAACTTTTCAAATAAATGTATATATATATAATATCTTGACTTAACTTCACGTAGTTATATTTTGTGAATTTATTCTGTAACATTTAATCATATCATACCAAATATAACACACAAACTTTTATACAATATGGATATAAATATAAGTTAGGTACCTACGTATGTAACATAAGAATAATAAACAGCTAGGAGGTAACCTGATTGGGTATATTGGTAGCAACTAGATCACTAGTAATTGGGGTTCCATTACTAACAATCCTTTCCCGCAACTAGATTGTACTAGATGTGGTTACGATTGAACGATGTACAGTATTCCCTAAAGGTAACTATTTCAATTAATAGTTGGTGTTCAAATCCAGTAAACTATAATATTAATATTTACAAAACTTGAAAATTTTAACGTAACTGTAATATTATACACTTTTGGGTTTGCATCAACAGCGTTTATGTAAATAATCGTTATACTAGCTATATTATTATGATAAAGTGAGGTAACGGTACCTTATATGTTAATATGTTTACGTACGCTTACTTAGTCAAATCCGTTTATATATACTTACATTTGAACATCAACATGATTAAATTTGTTGCTACTTTAAAAGTCCATATATGTAGGTCAAGTAGATACTTATTTACATACCTATTACTATCCACAAATATCTATAAATTAATTAAATAAAATTATTGTGTTTATGCATTTACATTATTAGTATGGTAAAAAAAAATATTAAAAAAATACGTAGCACTCGGTAACGTTGGTAAGCATTCTATACATATATAGGTACATGAGGTTGTAAAATTAAAAATCGAAAGTAAAAAAAAAATTAAATTATTTATTTACAATATTATCAGCGAAAAGCGTATTGGAGTAAGCAACGTCTGTATAAAACTAATCTTGATCTTTCATTAAATATACATATTTATACATAAACAGAAATAACGTGGTCAGTAGGTTTTATTATTGTAAAATACTAACAGTAAACTTTTACTACAACGGTCTCTGAAATTTCGCCCTCCTCGATTACAATTTCATTTCCAATGGCTCCAGGCTCCAACACTGAAATTAAATGTAATAATGTATAAAATCATTCCCACAGACTGGAAAAGTGTTTTCAACAAAAAGTAATAAAGATAAGAAATTTTCCATGACTTTGTAACGGATATTATTTTAAGTAATTATTTTTTTTTAAAGTATATATCTTAATTCAAATGTAAAGTAACTAATATAATATCTTATCTGTAGTGGTGGTATCTCTTTTCTGTGGTAATCTTAATAATATTATAAACGCAAACATTTGTGAGTATGGATGGATATTTGTTACAAAACTACGGTACGTATTTTGATGAAACTTCACAATAATATAGCTATACATCAGAATAACATATAGGCTATAAATTTCCTGCGAGTGAAACCGCAGGCACAGCCAGTAGAACATAATTATGCCTACCTAAGCATGCATATAACATATAGAATATACAATATATAAATTGATGAAAATTGTAGTAAACGATCTTATAACCCTTATTTACTGCGAATATCCAACGAAATTCCAATAGTCTTAATATGAGCTACAAGAAACGTATCGCGTGCTAGATATTAGGTACTTATCAACGCTCTAGAACCTGATACTGCCTGATACTACGTCTATAAGTACGTGTGTAGCACCTAAAGATATGTCGGTCTTTCTGCGATATCCAACTATTCGCTGCAGTAGGAAAATACTACGTAAGTAATTATTTTTCGGACTACTCTAATGCTGTTGGCCGCAGCTGGCCTTTACAGCTTCACTGGACGATAGGGGGCAAGTGCAGATGGCATTCCAAATCCGCAGGACTTATGGAGCGACTGAAGATTAACTCCCGCCTGACGGATACGACTTTAGTCTGAGGGCACCGCTAGGGGTTCGAACCTTGGCTCAGGCCGTCGTAATATCGATCCCCGTTAGAATTGGACGGGGGATCGCTCGAAGAGGGGTTATTAATGTATAAAAAATTGTTTTCTCGTAATGATATTAGTACAATTTGATAAATTCACAAAATATATGTGCGGTGGAAGGGCATTATTAGTTCTCATAATTAACAATGCCCTTCCACTGGTTACTATGGTGGTCACACTAATCAGGTTTGCGTGGTCCACCGTAGAAATCTACTTATTAACTCATGGTGAAATTGTCACGTTGGACTACGTACCCCATTATCGCAGACGGGTACACACTTCATTATCATGTGGAAATATATATATATATTTATATATATCCTGATTACTAAATGGATACTATAATGACTTCCTATGATCTAAGATTTGATCATTTTAACAAATATTGGAAACCATAAAAAATATAGTTTTTTTATTATATAAGACTGATATGTATATTTTTCAGTACATATAAGTGTTAGGCTTACGATAATATATCGTTTTATTTATATACGTAATATATTTCTTAGAAGCAAATCAGATATTTTTGCTGTTGTGTCCGAAGTGGAGGGAGAGGGATATAGGCTCAGTGTATACAGCGATGATACGGTTCCTCCCTTCGGACCCTCCCTGCCTTGCCCGGCTGTTTTTAATGACCCGCAACTCTTTAGGGATTTTTTATTGGTAAGTAAATCTATTTAAATTAGCCCCAACAACGTGTGTTTTTTTATCCTGATTTCCGCGAAGGACATTATTCCCCGTTGATTATGTATTCTAGGAACTTTCTTGCGTACGTATTGAAATATAAAGGTAATTCTGTGTTACAATTTTAACCAATTCTATACAGATCATATAAAAGAAATATAAATCCAAGTGATCTATTTGTTTTCTTATTACCAATTTCTAAGAGCCAATTACTACAATCGTAAGCTCAATTCAAGTCCTCCGACCGGATTATGTTCACATTGCACCTATATTTTATATACAACTATGAATGAACTCTGCTATTATCAAAATAATATTTTTATTACAATATCACAATATAATATTATGTTCGTAGGTAAAGCTCATGAATGGCGAAAAGGCATCATTCCAAACACCAACATTTGCTCTCAAACGGCAACGCACTCTGGACACGCTAATACGAGACATTTACGCCGAACACTGTTCCGATCATAAGGTGGTAAGTCTCGTACGAGTATATCATACGACCTTTGGACACATGAAACTAAATATAATTTCTTCATAAGAACTTACTATATTTTTTCTGTATATTACTCAAGATTCTTTTAAGATTTTGTTCGCTTAGACAAAGCAAAGGACAAGACTTAAGAGTGTAAATGTCATGTAAACGATTTCTCTCGCATTATTTCCAATAACTCATACTACTACGGGTCAGATATAATTTATATGGGATTACACGGGAAGCACCAGCTATCAAATTAACAAAATCGGTTAGGTATGCAGAAAAAAGTTCGAGGTAACACATAAAAAAATTAAAGTTGAATAAAGAAAGCTAAAATAAGCTTCACCTTTTCTTGAAGTGAGTAATAATAGAATATATTTTTTTGAGATGAAAGTTTAATGTTTCAAAGATGACGGTAATAGAAGTTAATATTTCTTATCTGAAAAAAGGGTAGACACTTTTGATAGAAAAGGGCGTCCTTGAAGGGCTTTATATTTTTTCCTTTTCGTTATGTAAATATAATATGACTGGTCAAACAATATGAGGTCCAATCAATATCCCGGAGCTTATAAATCGCTGTATTTTTTACAAAGCAATGTAGATGAAATGTATTCTGGCATGACTCCTGTGGTAGATGATAGGATGAGCATGAGTTTAGGTTAGTTATTTCACCGTGATGAATTCATCAGGACGGCTTTCAGGGAGACCGCGTGAAGATCGAATGACTGGTATACTGTTCACAATGGTGCTAAATGACAGCTAATCACTATTCTCTGTTACTAACAATCTCTATATATAAATAATATATGATATAGCGGACCAATCAATATAAATAGAAATAATGTTTATTCAAATAAATTGAATTACACTTTTGTACTTTCAATACTCATATACTATATTATTTTTATTTACCGCTCATTCTGAAAGTAAACTCATTACAAAAAGAATGAGCATAACAAAGGAGCTTGCGTGTTGCTCTTTTTAAAGGAATAGTATTCAGCAATAAGTATTTAAGATTTTGTCTGAATACAAATAGCAAGATTTACGACAGTAAATAATATAAGCAATATAAATTATATAGCGGACTAGTTAACTTTTATGCGCTTTCATGATATAAGCATACTCTGGTAGTGTCTGTTGAGAATATATAAAAATGTACTCAATCCAATGTGAATCCAATATATAAGACCTTTTTAGTCTTCAAATGCTGGTTTTTATAAAATTGTTCTACATTGTTTATAGCCGATGCTATCTCGTCGCGCCCTGTCGGACGTCTGGTCGGGCGGGGCGAGTGCCGGCGGGGCGGGCGCGGCTCGCACCGAACGATTCCTCCACGTGGGACAGGCGCTCAAACTGGATGCCGTGCTCCGAGGAGATGCTCCCACCAGTCTCGTGTCCACTGGTAATTGTTGTCTATATAATATAACAAAAATAATATAATAATAATCTTTTCAACACACTCCCTCGTATAGTGGATCTAAATTCACCTGTATTATTTCGATATATAAAGTAGCTCATAAAACACAAGCGTTATAAACGCAAATAATGAAGTGATTTCATAAGCACTATTTGCAAATTATTGTTTTAGTTCGAGCCTAGTTCTTTCAATGAATTTTGTCCTTTAATACAAATACTTTAATTTTTATAATTTAATATATGGTTTTTGAAGGATCCGGCGGTTCCCGTCGAGCACCTTGGGAAGGACGTGTATGGCGAGCGGCTCCATTGCCTGCAACGCCAATTTGTGCAGAACAAATGGCTGAAGGGCGATTGTTGTTATCAACTACTTCCAATACTTATATATTAGAAGGTATTAAAATAACAATAATAATTAAGTTTAATCTTTATAGATAACTATCAGCTTTTTTGCAGTTTATCATAAATTAAGCACTTAAAAGGAAGTGGATTTAAAAAAGAAAAATTACTTCTTTAATGAACGCTTTCAGCGGAACGAGATGAACGGTTTTGTTCGAGACAGAGTTTTAAATCTAACTTGTGCGATAATGGGTCAGATGTCTTGACAATGCTGTAAAATACGACTTTAAAAATAGAACAAAAGGTATTTTTACAAATGAGAATTGTATATATGTACGTTAGAATAAAGAAGAAAGATAATATGTTTATTCGATACATACTTATCAAATGTAAAGAGAAAAAAACTAATTAAATAGGTACAGCGTAATCAAATATAGTTAGAACAAAGGATATTTGTAAGTTAATGAATGGGGTTAGATTCCACAGTGGGTTACCCTGGAATCCATCACACACAAATAGGAGGACTAAGTTGTCATACATTTTATCCCGTAATTTCTCTGTCTGAAATCGTAACCCATCACTCAACCTATTGGTTTACAAATCAAGCTATTGGGTGGTTGAAATAGATAGACAGAAGTATGCAGACACTTGTAACTTTTCTGTCAACACTCGGCACTCTTCCATTTAGTTTACGTCTCCACATAACTTACATTTAACTCAAGTATAAAGTCAAACCGTATTACGACACTAACTCGACAATCTTATTTCTAGAAAGCGGCACAACTAGAGTGGTCCTCCGATGGGAGGGTTGCGTGCGCGCGGCTCGTGTGAGCGAGCGCGCCGGGTTGTTCCGCGTGGGGACGCGCGCGCTGGCCGGCAGCGGGACCGCCACGAGCGGAGCAGGCGGCGCGGGCATGTATGCGCTGCCGCTGTCGGAGCTATGCGCGGGCGCGTGGGCCATGCGTCCGCTACAGGACTGCAAACACGCACGCCTGCCTCGCACAAAAACCGCACACTATTTTGACCTACTTGAATCGGGTATGTGGTGGTTTTCATCTAGCAGGATTTTGTCGGCATACGGACCAGCGGTAACCTGACATTGAGAGTGACGCAGCTGCAGTCGAGTAATAAAGCGAGTTTCTAGACCACCTTCATGAAGTAAGACTACTCGCCGATATAGCACCCGATCAACGCTATCGTTGCAGATTGCCGTCTTCAATGTCGAGACCACAAAGACAATTTATATTTATTTATTTCATATGTTACATACATATTTCATAAAAATCTTAGGATGTAGGAATATAAATTATAATAAGAAAATATTTGTACCACATAATTTAAATAAAATTTTTACTTTTATAAGTTTATTTGTATAAAGATTTTTCTTTCATACATAAAATGATGAAATAATTTATAGTTTTATAGACAAAGAAGCAAAACGGTTAAAAATACTCTCGTATGTATACATTATTGATTTTCAGGTGAAAATGGTAAAACTATACTTGCAATAGCTGTTGGTAGAAGAGTGATGCTTATGACAGAAGAATCAAAGACTGATAATGAAATGGGTTTCGAATATACACATATCAAAGTAAGTATATAGGTACCTAATGTGTGAAATTATAATGACGTGTGTTGTAGTCATATGTATTATTGTTTTTTTCTAAACTCTTTCTAGGAAATAGAAAGTAAAAATAGTTCAACTTTTTTTCGAATTACATTCCGTCATAGACCCCTAGATAATTGCGCATGAAATTAAAAGGAACCCCATCTCAGCTATGAAATGTTTTAATAGTCAAATTTTAGGCTAAAAAAATATCTATAAATAAAATTCTAAATAATCTTTTGTCTACGTTTCTTTGCATATGTATACATATGTATAATTTCCAGGACATCCAACTAAGCGAATCACCTGTATTAATTAAACTGATGGACGGTGAAGTAGCGACGATGGTGGTCGGCTACAAGCACCACTGGGAAGTGCTGGAAACTAGTGCTGGACAGGTATTTAAATATTTTAATTACATCTGATCTTTAACCAAACTCTAACCAAATAAAAAGAGCAAACTGTTTGTCGATTAATAGAAAGTTACCAATTAAACTTTACACGCTATTCGGTGCAAGACTTCATAAGTACCTAATGGCAAATGTGATTTGATCGTGAATGGAACCCAGGGTCATTTTACGCAACAAAGCATCTCACGAGCTTTGTAATACTACGTATATCTAACATTCAATATATAGGAATATAATACATCCTGATAGAGCAGTTATATACATATATAAGCACTGTCAACTGCCCATGCTGTGGTAAACCCAACAATTGACATGCCAACATAGCACAGTATATAAGTATTTGAATCCAATATAACAAACATACAGCCTTCTCTAGGATTTTTTATGTTATCTGTCATCTCTAGTGTCAATGACAACACATTTTTTTTTATACAACTCGCTAGATAAGCCCAATATTAGGGCCGTGTGGATTAAAAGTTGTGAATGTATTTTATTATTAGAAATATTGAATGAGTGAGTGAGACTTATTAGCTTAGAAAAAAGATTGTTAACTCGTTATCTATGGAAATATTACAGTCTGTAAAACGTGTAGAAAACTCCGAAGACAGTGGACCTCGTCGCGGTACACTAGTCAATGCTCTTCACATCGGGGATGAAAGGGATGGACAGATAGTTCTATGTTACAACCGTAAGTACATATGTCAGTATGTTTATGAGTTTAAAAACTAGTAGTGATATATTTTATCCACAAGTGGATAGGCAAAGGTACGAGACCATACAGCCTAATCTTCAGTAGTATCCATGAAATTCAAAAATTCTTCAAGGCGATATCGCCTAATCTTTTCATTAATTATAAGTTTGTGTTAAGTCCATGTATGTGTCCATAATTGAAATGTTTATAAAAAAATAAATTGGTTTAAAAGTTGCAGAGCATTTGAATAGTTCTTGAAGCGATGGCGGAATAATCTTATATAGTTCTTGAAGCTTAGCAATGACCAAAATTCTGTTTAAATTGAAGGCCGGAACTTTTTTGAGACATAGATACAGAGTATTAATACGTTCATTCCATGCAAACGGATTCCTTATTTACCTATATATGTGCACACTTTTAGGTTAATTGGTAAAGATTGCCCATAACTTTTTAGCCCGCCATGTATAGTAGGTATATCATATTTCATTGCGAAATAAAGAAATAAATAAAATTTAAAAATACGGCTTATACACGAAAACACGGCCTATTTTTATTATCACTTCTGACACTGCGCTGTTATAATAAACATCTTAAAAGCATATTTGTTTTGCATATTATTACTGGTTATGGGCAAACATGCTTAAAGAAAATACCGAAACTGTGGAATCTCAGCGCGGGCCAACCACCAGTGCATCGGGAAACCTTTCGGCAACTACAAGTTGAAGTTTAATCCCAAGTGTAGTCCCATCGATCACCAAGTTGGAAGGACATAGCATATTTCGCGTCATAGAATCGTCGGCATGAAAATGTTCCTAATCGACTATGGATTAAGAAACTGCGACGAGTCACCGGCGGAATTCGCCAGACAGAGGTGAAAATAAAAACAACAGTCACAAATAACACTTCTAATTCAAGTATAGATAAACGAATACCTATACAAAAGTTGCAGTAAATCTCATTGCAGGTCTGACAAATTGTTATCTAATCTGAGTATATTATCCTTTTCTGAAGATAGTTAAAAATAAGCTCTTGTTTCAGACACGTGTCATTTCGAAAGATTAACTAGTAAAGGTCTTGAAAGCGACGGCGAATATGACTTCCATTGGACAACTGTGCCAGCTGCTGTTGGTAATAATATTTATATTCTCTCAAAGTCACTTCGCGTTACTGTTAAGTATGCTGTCTTGACACCATGCTAGGCAATAGGGATTGAGTCTATATTAAAGGCATTTCCTTTCACTTGAACAATATATGTGTGTACAATGTAAAACATCCAAATTGGGTCTCTTAATACTTACAGTCTACCAGCCACACTCCGGTTCTTTACACCTCAATCTCACCTATGCTCTACGCCATTATATTTTTTCTATTATACGCATTCTCAAATTACACCTTTGTCTGTTTTTGTGATACAGTTAATATTTCTAGAATTAGATCTGTTGCACCGTTTAATTGTAAACATGTAGTATATAGACAGACATACCGAGATTATGTATGTATATTATATTTATAATATTATCATAGATTGAATTAAAGGTTGTTATTTATTTATTTGTTTTGTTTCAGTGTGTGCTTTCCCTTATATTATGGCGTTTGCCGAGGACTTGTTAGAAATAAGATTGGTAGCAAATGGGTCGCTTGTTCACGCGGCTTGTATTCCAGGACTGAAGTTGCTTTGTGGTAGAAGGGTAAGCACCTATATGTACCATACACACCGTCTTACTTTCGATGTTCGCGATTTCGAATCGAATTAAATTCTCCGCACATTGTAAACATTTGTATTCATGAGAGTTTGATCTGGATGTTTTCTATTTACTTACAAAAAATGTATAAGTATTTCTGGCCGTTGTTTAGTACCTATAACACAAGCTCTGTTCCGCTTGGGGCTAGACGATGTTGTGTAAATTATTTTGGAATAATATTAAAACACAACATATTACTGACAATGTTTTCGTAAAAGCAACACTTGACATGACATTTCGATGGGTATATTTAAATCCAACGTGAGGTCGCTTTCCAATTTGTTGCTTGCTGAGTTTACCGTTGGTCGTGTGATCCTCTGTGAGATTCCGGTTCGCCGTCGAGTCTCCAGAGTGAGCCCCGCAACTGGTGCCCACTTGCGCAAATTGTTGAGAGCGATACAGTGCGTAATCCAGCTACACAAAGTGTACTTTGTCTAGCGAGAGAACGCGCTAGGATTGTAGACCGAATTTGTTGACGCAAATTCGTTGCTGCAATCCACTTGCGACTGTCTTACAGTGCGATCACCTGCCCTTTCAGTTTTGGGCGGAATTCCCTACCTTTCGGTAGGTTCGTCGTGGGGTTCCAGCCCCCACACCACCCTCTTCCACCCCTCCAGTCCCCTTTCGTGTCGTGATGTCGCAAAGGGGCAAAGCCCCCAGGAAACCTCCTGACAGGGGAGCTCCCCGAACAGTTGTGCGTCGGGATCTGAGGAACCCGACCAAGCTGGTCCCCGCCACTGAGCTGGGGACCTTCCACGCTCGCCCGGCATCCAAGGGCACCCCCTCTGCCCTCGCGGGAAGCGGCAATGATGCCGCTGACCGGGAACCAGGCAGAGGGGAAAGATGCGCACAACCCGGCCCGTCTAAAAGACGCGCATCGCCGTCGCCGACCTCGCCCGCTAGAGGCGACAAACGGAGGGACGTAGAGGAGTCCCCCCCCCGCGACCTCGACCTAGTGAAGGTGCCGCCGACGCCGAGAATCCGGCTCGTGGACAAGGGCTACCAACCCCTACCGTCCCAGTCGGGTACCGTGCGGCGAAAGCCCTCACCCCCTCCGCGCTCACCCTCCCCCGCCAGATAGCGGGAGCGAGGAGGAAGGGGAAGACAGGCGTTTTTACGGCGACGTACATGTGTCGCCTGCGACCTCGCCTGAGCCTTCGCCAGCACCCTCGCGTGTGCCCTCGCCGCTACCTCGCTCCTATACGCTAGATAGGGGCGAGTATTTTTTACGCCACGTCATATATATATATATATATATATGCCACAATCGCCCGAGCCGATGCTCCCCCCCGTCCCCTCGCCGCGACGACGAACCCCGCCGTCATTCGCGGCAGTAGCGGCGGGTCCCGCCACCTCGGCCCCCGCCACCCCAGCCCCTGCCACCTCGGGTGCCCCGCCACTCGCTCCGCCCCTCCCCTCTCAGACGAGGAACGCCGACGCAGGCGCTGAACCCGCCACAGGGCGAGGAAAATACCCCCCATAGTGGCAGAACGCCTCCCAAATTGGACGCGCCACTTCGAGCAGCTTAGGCGCGTCCTGGGGGAGGCTCCAAATGCACGACCCTTCGGCAGTGGGGTCAGATTCCTGCCAAGGACGGACGACGAATTCCGAGCCGTCCAGAGATACCTCATAGAGGCCAGCGAGAAGGACCCAACTATAAGTTGGTACTTCTATAGTCTGGCCTCGGAACTGCCCACCAAGGTGGCGATACGGGGCCTCCCCGCCGACACCCCTAATGAGAGGATAGTGGATGCCCTACAGGATAAGGGATTCGGAGTGCGAATGGTGCGGGGTATTCCTGCCCGTCGCGGTCGTCCCGGCTGTATCTTCCACGCTCAACTCGACCCCATGGACAAGGATGAGCTCGCACGCTTATATGCGGTGGACGAGCTCCTGTACATGCGTGGAAAATAATTTTATAAAAACGTCGTCGTTGAAGCGTGGAAATCTACATCTGTGTTAGCTCAGTGCCACAGATGCCAGGCATTCGGCCATGCGTCGGCCAATTGTCACCGGCCCGTCAAATGCGTTCGCTGTGGTGGGGAGCACCCGGCGGCGAACTGCGACAGGCCGCGTGACCAAAAGCCGACCTGTATATAACTGCGCAAACCGCACACCGCCAACGACCGGAAGTGCCCGGTGTATAAAAGAGAGGCCCGGCAGAGGGGAATCAAACCCCGTCCCCCCGTCCCCACTGCGACGTCGACGGCGCCCACAGCGCAGCAACGGCGGCGCAACAATCCCACCGCGGCGCCTCGTACATACGTCGCCCGGGCTCCCCCTCCCGTAATAACGGTCGAGGAAACCGCTGGCGCCAACCTAATGGCGCCGGCTAACGAACCGACGCAACGAGGCGCCGACGCCGGTGCTACGAAAAAGCGCCGCCGCCGAAGACGCGGCAAGAAGAGGCGCGGAGATGAGCCCGTGACGGCATCAACCCCAATCCCCTTCCTACCTGATCCCACCCCAATATTTGCGTACAACGCACCCCCCACCCTTCCCATGTATGCCGTCCCAAATCAGGGCCCGCGTGCAGCGCCACGTCGCCGCCAGGCGGCGCCACCGGCACACAATGTGCCGAGAGTGGCTTTCAAGCCGCTTCTGGCGGACGTAAGACGCGCACCTCCTGCGCCTCCCACATACCCCGCGCCGCGTTCGGCACACGCCGCGCCCGCGCCCTTCACACAAGCGCCCGTCGACAGAGCACTGAACATGCTTATTAGCCTGTTGACGGAGCTGCTTACTACGCTCGCGGCCGGCGCAGATACTAAGTCGGCGGCATTAAATGGATTGGCCAAAATCCAACAGTACACAAATGGCGGGTACTAGCCTGCGCATTGTGTACTGGAACCCCGGGGGAATAAAGGATAAAGTCCAGGACCTCCGTCTCCTAGCTCGCACCCAGGATGTGCACATCATACTCCTGGGTGAAACGAAGCTCACAGAAAAGGAGACGTTGAGGGTGCCTAACTACCACGTGTATAGACGCGACGAAACGTCACCGGCGGGCATTGCGTACCGCGGTACGGCGGTACTAGTTTCGAGACGTAGTCCACGTGGAGTTAGAGCGCCCCGAGTTCCGCGTCATGCGCTCCATAGGAGTCAGCATCAACGTCGACGGCGCGGAACTGAAGGTCCTATATAACATTACCGTCCCCCGGGACTGGATTTCAGCCCCTCCGATGTCCGGAACGTTCTGGATGGGAGGAGTCCCACCCTACTTATGGGCGACCTAAACGCGAAGCACACGGCTTGGGGTTCCCGTCTGTGCTCGCCGATAGGTCGAAGACTCCTCCAGGATTCGCAGATCCACGGGTACGAGGTGTTGGGCCCAGCGCACCCAACCCACGTACCCTCAAATCCCACACATAGCCCAGACGTTCTGGACATTGCCCTAGTGCAGGCTGTGCCTTGCCCGGTCTTACTGGAGGTGCTGTATGATCTAGACACACAGCACCTCCCAGTTCTAGCCACGCTTGACCTCTCCACCACCACCACACCGACGAGACCGTCGAGGCGGCGGATGGATTGGCGTGTTTTTCGCGCAGAATTGGAGCATCTACACCTCGACGGCGAACTATCATCGCCAGCGGGTGTCGAAGCCGCCTCCACACTCATAACGGAGCGAATCCGCACCGCAGTGGAGGCGGCAACTACCACAATAAACGTGGCTTCTCGCCGTCGAGAGGAATTGCCACACCATCTGCGCGAAAAACTCGCCCAGAAAAGAACCTCCGTCGCCTATGGGCCCGAACCCGCTGCCCGCGGGTCAAGCGTGAGCTCAACTGCCTGGCTGCAGAGCTGTCGGAGGGAGTGCGGGATTGGCGTGGGGCCGCCTGGGAGGGTGTCATATCCCGGGCTGGCGAACACGATACCGACCTGCACAAACTCAATCGACAGCTCACCAATGCACGACCCCCCGTCTGCCCGTTGCTTGACGAGACGGGCAGACGTCGTTACGCAGCCCAAGACCGGGCAGAAATCCTGGCACAGCACTTGGAGGGGCAATTCACGGCCAATCCAATAGCCGCCGACGCACCCAGCACTGTCGTCGAGCACCACGAGCGAGTCGTACGTCGCGTATGCGATTTCCGTACCGCTCCGTCGCCGGACGTAAACGAAGTGAGCTTCGTTTCGCCCGGCGAGGTAAGGCGGCTCGTCAGCCGCCTGCCGAAGCGCAAAGCGCCCGGAGCGGACGGGATCAGCACCGCAGCGCTCGCACAGCTGCCCCGTAGAGCCCTAGCGTGTCTAGCGAGGCTCTACAACGGCATACTCCGGACCGGCCACTTCCCTACCAACTGGAAGTTGGGTAGAGTCATAGTCCTCCCGAAACCCGGCAAGGACAAGCGCCTGCCGGCAAGCTACCGGCCCATCACTCTGCTCTCGCACGTAGCGAAGTCGTTCGAGCGCCTCCTGCTCCGCCGCCTGAGACCGACTCTGTCGCCTCGCGACGAGCAGTTCGGTTTCAGAGGCGGACACTCGACGACTTTGCAGCTGACGCGCGTGCTCCACCATATGGCTGTCGAGCACAACCGCGGCCACTACACGGTCGGCGTATTTCTCGATATAGAGAAGGCGTTCGACCGTGTGTGGCACGACGGTTTGGTGTCGAAGTTGCTCGACACCAACACGCCGTCAGCATACGTGCGAGTAGTGGACTCGTTCCTCTCGGGCCGGAGCTTCTATGTTTCGGTCGAGAACTGTGACTCTACCACACGCCCAATTGCCGCCGGAGTCCCGCAGGGCAGCTGCATTTCGCCATATATTTTTGCTCTACGCGACGTACACAGACGACATCCCCACCTTGAGGGATGAGCTCCGAGAGGGAGAGAGGGATGTCGTCCTCGCTCTTTTCGCCGACGACAGTGCCTTTCTTACGTCGTCTCGCCGAGCCTACGCAGCCGCTCGCAAAATGCAGCGGCTGTTGGACCTGCTCCCCGAGTGGCTGGATAAGTGGCGTACCACCGTTAACGTGGGTAAAACGGTGGCGCTGCTTACCCGCCCCGGGTGCAAATGCCCGCCGCCCCTCTTACTGAGAGGCCAGCCCATCCAGTGGGAGCGCACAGTGCGTTACCTAGGGGTGGAAATCGACCGGTCGCTGCGTATGACGCCGCAGGTAGACCGGGCTGTTACCCAAGCCAAGGCTGCGCGCGCTATGCTGCGACCGGTCTTGCAATCCAGGCTGCAGCTGCGGACGAAAGTAGGCATTTATAAGACCTACATTCGTTCGCGGCTCACATATGCCGCCCCCGCATGGTACGCACTGTGCTCGGCCTCACAGCGGCGGAGACTGCAGGTCCAACAAAATCCGTAATGACGTGATCGCCCGCGACCTCAAGGTCCCATCGGTGGAGCAGTTCGTCGTCCGGTTGACGCGCGCGATGTTCTCGCGAGCGGACAGCGGGCGCGAAGCGCACCTGCGCGACCTCGCCCCTCTCCACGCGCGCCCACCGGACGCCACTCGCGCGCTCCCGCGCGACTAACTCTCCACCGAGTGATCACGTCATTTACGTGACGTGGCGGCGTTAAGCCGGCTCGGCGAGCGACCAAAGAAAACAGTCCTCCCACATGACTTCCTCAGCCGGCTGCTGGGAAACAATGGATTTGCAGTTTAAATAGCCGGCAGGCCGGCCGGTAAACGAACGACGCTGGGGTGGCACACCCCAGCAGTACGCCCGGGCAAAGAGCCTATGCTCGAGGCCCGCACCCGGCGGTCCGTAAGGACCAGCGGACGACCTCGACTGACTGAATCCAACGTGGCAAGGGCAAGCCTCTCTGTTAACATTTTGTTAGATTAGTTATTATTTAATTAAATTAATTATTTGCAAACTTTGTGTATAGGATATCTTCTACGTGGCGTGTGCCCCGGAGTACGTGCCGCTGAGCCGCGAACTCGACCAGAGTCTGCTACATGAATACGAGCTGGCTCGACACGCGGCCTCCAAGCAACCGCTCCCACCGCACCCGCCATACTCCGTCGACGAGGACGACAACGACAAGTTAGTTGTTTATGTTTTTGAACCATTGTTCCTACTGGATGTTAACTAAGTCACATAGACTGTGTTTTCATCCAATGGTTTCCCATCCGAAAGGATCCACTGAATAGAAAATGGCTATCGCCTATATACAAATTCAAATTCAAATTCAGAAATCATTTATTCATGTAGGACATTTTAGCCGCTTATGAACGTCAAATTTTTACATTCTAATTATATTTTTTTATCCTACCGTCCAGTTCGGTACAGGAATAACAACTCGAATATCACATCGCCTTATGACGCCCATAGCACTAACACCATGCCTTGTTATTGCTGAAATTTCAGATAATATTCCTCTGTAGTCTTATATTATTTCACTACCGTACCTAACCCAACAAACGAAACAGCTTATAAACCTAGCTGCCTGTCGGCTAAAATAGTGTTACAGAAATATCCGTAGACTACCCTCTTATAAACTCGGACTTTGTACATCGGTAAAGACTATACAATAATATATTATAATAATAATAAACTTAAAACAGGGCTGAGTCCAAAGATAACAACCGTACATCGGAGGACAACTCTGCGTCCAGTCGAAGCAGCTCAATATCATCCGAGCAAGAGAACATCCGACCGCCGCTGCAGCGCATGGCGCCAGTCTCGCCGCCTAGTTCGCCACAGGGTAAAACTTACAATAAACGTAGTTTTTATCGCGGATATCGCTAATTCAAACATATTCGTAGTCTGGGATTAAAAGTAGACTACGTCGTACTCTATTTCTAATATAGGTAAACTTTTAAAAATTCAATTGATCTTTGTTTAAAAAAAAAATAACACGTTTCATATATTTGAAATGTCTAAGAAATATTTTTAACCAAATATACATATATATATATATATATGCTCACATAATACATGTAGTATTGATAATGATTTTCAGTGTTACCAGAAAACAGTGGACGTTGCGTGCGCATCTATAAAATCCCGCAGAGTAACCTCAGCGCGGGCGCCTACCAGAGGCAGTCCGTCTCCGCGGACCAAGTCGTCACTTCCTACTTCTCACATAGGTAAAATCTATTTCTTACGAAAAACAATATAAATATGAATGAATACAGACTTCATAGTACAAACATTTGTCCTACTAGTACTTTCTCCACTTAAAAAATAATACTGTGGAAGACCACAAGTCTACTATTATTAAACCTGTCCATAAAACTGTATAGGCACGTTTTACTTCCATAGTATTTCTTAACGATAGCACATCTTAACATCATAAGATGTCATGCCTTTTATCTAAAAATTTGAAATTGGAATAGATGCATGCTTTTCGATTATATCTATAATACATCGTCGAAAAATTGTAGTCTTGTAATTGTAGTATTTAGTTGTCCTTATAGAAGGATATATGAGCATAGGCCCACGATGCATAGATGGAGAACCAAATGCTCTGTCTTATTTCTGAAACTTAATTTTACGAATTCGTACTTGTAACTTCCCGAAATTCACATATAAAATTATTTTTTATTTACAATTATAGTTTGTATGATATAAAGTTTGAATGACTGAAAATAATTTTATAAAAACCAAGCATGATGAATTAGCTTAGAAATCTACATAATCAGTATCAGCTGCACCCAGGATATATAAGTGTCTCTTTAACTTTATATGTCTAACGTTATCCTATAATGACTACAGGCCAAATAGTATCCGGCAAAGGCTAGCAGAGTTGAGGCTAGACAGCAAGTCGAGGGGCGGAGGCGACGACGAAACTTTATAAACAAGCAGATATTCCCCACAATAAAAGGGTATATGCCTACTTACAACGTAAAGATTATTCTTTATAAATGTTATTGCATTTGAATTTAGAAGTCAAATGATATGACTAATAAATATTTTCGAATCAACAGTTCAAAGATTTAAAAAACTATGCGAAAAATAATATCTTTGCTGTGAAACTGTATAGATTTGATAATGATGATCGTAACAAAAATTATAAATTACACAATATATCAATATTGTGTATTGCGATTGAAAAATGTCCATTTTTGATTAATTATATTGAACAATAAATTGTCAGTTGTGTAAAATAGTTTTCTTTTAAATTATAAAATAAAATATTCTCGGATCTTACTTTCCAATGTAGGTCGGACGCAAGTAATAAAAGTGTCAAGTCAAATCCCTTATTTCAAATAATAAACAAATATTTATTATAAATTATAAATGAGACAAGAGCAGGAAGATGACGTGGATGATGTAATTTTACTATGCTGCGTCTACCTCACTACGGGAAAGAATTTCTGTTTTAATTGTATATAAGTATAGTATAAAATAGTTGGCATATACCCTGTTACTTGCCTATTATTAAAGGAAATGGAACCAGGTGCACAATTTTTAAATGAGATAATATATAGATTATAATTATATGTTGATATCTTATATGATGTACTAGTCTATTAAGGTATACTAAAGTACTAGAGAAGATATCGCGCATGCCATTGCTGTCCCAATCAACTGCGGCTATATCACCACATTTTATGTAGTCACGGATACATAAAATAAGTTCAGTAAACGAAATACTTGATTTGTATTAAGATAGATGCAAGAAATGTAAATTAATGCAAAACGGAATTATTTTTATTTTCTACATGGTGCAAGTTGTTTGAGTAGATATTCAGTAGGTATCTTCTTTAGTACGATAGTGGCATAGAGTTAATACAAAGAGATAGCAAGTAATTGTACTATAATGAATAATACATATATAACATGACATAGTTGAAACGATTAAAGCATTAAATTCGCTTCTAAAAGGCATGATCGAAATAAAATGGCAATAATATTGATAAAATTACATTAGCAAATCATTGTTGGATGTGAACAAAACTTCATGTATTATAATTACTCTGGAAAATAATCTAAATTATTAAGTTTCAATTAAATTTTCGTCGATTAAAGAATCTTAACTAGTCTCATGCAATGACTATCCCTATTTGTTTAAGCGGCCTCCTCTTTGTATCTACTCTATGATTCGTAGGTATCTGATACCTCAATGGTATAAATATTGCTGTTTGTAGTCAGATTATATAGTGTAAGTGTTCTTGTAGATATGAATGGATATTATACCTTTATGAATGATTACTGGAAAAAATGTGATAAATGGCTGATGTGTAGTGAAAAAATTATATACAACGTATTCAGAATTGTTGTAACAAATTATGGAAATTATTTATATACATAGGTATAAAAGTATATTTATTTATTGAATATTTTAATCACAAGTATTATTTTACGATAGTTTTGTGGCCTAGCAGTTTACAACTCTGGAGTTCAAAATTATTTATTAATTAGGAGTGTATTCATGTATGCCATTAATTATTATTAATAATGCTAATAATTCTAATTAATCTGAGAGAGATGATAGTAAGCTCGCCCCTGCCACATTTGTTTTAAAATACATGACGCTCATATTTAGTATTCATTGATAATTTGAAAATTATCTCTCAATTTGTAACTACTATTTACTACCTAACATCAAATTTTAATTCACAAATATATAAATATTTATATAATATACATAAATAAATTATATTATCTCTATTTCATTAGGTACCTATGAATAAAAATGATGAAAAATGAAAGTTCTTTAAAAGGCTCACAGCATTCCACAATAGTATTGATTGTGGATAAATTACAATTATAACTACATATTACATTGTCATTTACTCCAGAAATTTTTGCTAAATGGTTTTTCAGATTTTTTATCATAAAAATACCCAATCTAGGAACAGCGCGCTAAGTACCTATGCCTACTACAATTACCACAGCTCCTTACTATTATAATTGGAGTATATTATTATACTGAAGTTTATATATAAATATTATTATAACTATTTAAGTAACTAGATTATAAACAAACTCATAATCGAACGTTCTACATAAAGAGCGACATGTAAGACAAAAAGTGATGTAAAATAGTCTTTTTAGCGTTACAAAATAAGGTTCTATCGTTTTATCTGTTTAATGTCTATTCGACACCAGAAAAGAAGTGCCATCCAAGTATTTGGTTATCTTTCTAGATTTTAATAATATAAAACTGTAATATTTTGCGATGCAAGAGAATTGAAACCTTATTTAAGTGTTAATACAAATTTTAACTTCAATGTAAATATTATGTAGTATAAATATTAAACATAAGTAGTTACTGTTTCCTTCTGATACAGACTATATGAGTACCCGTAAAATGGTGAACGATTTTAAATAAATATTAAGTTTGGTAAATACCCTTTTATGACTAGGTATTTGGATAGAATGAGGGATAGGTACTATTGATAGAACCTAATGCGAAAATGGGACGATGCAGTAGGTGTCGTGTTTAGATAGGGATACTGACTGATAGCTGTCAAATCAGGGGTCTGCACATCGCATATGAGATGAAATATGAAAATGTAGAAAGTCAATAGGTACCTACGATAAAAATATTTTAATTATTGAGACGAAACCGTGGGTTTGAAGAATCTGTACAATAACATATAAACAATCCGAAAAAAAGGATTTTTATGCAGTTTACCTCACTTCAATATATTTTTGTATCAATTAAAACAATAAGGCTTGTATGTCTGACGATGTATTTAATTTAAGTAACATATTTATCCGGTTACGATTTCAATACAAGTATAGTAAGTACATGTCTTTCGACGTTAAGTTAATTTCGATATTTTAATGTTTTTATTTCATTTGCATCTAGGTAATAAAAAAGGTTATTATGTCTAGGTACCTATGGATTTATAATCGTTCACCAGTTCTTCATGTTACGATAGAATAGTGGATGTTACGGTTGTGCCTACTATTTGCATGCTGTAGTATAGTTGCGTACACAGAACTACTCACACTGAAATAATTTTAGAAACTTCTAATGTCAACATGATGATTTTAATGTGTAATAACGGATCCGAAAAATCCTACACAAAATGTATTTTGAGTAAACATGTAACTCATAACGACGTTTCTTTAAAATTATTTAGCTATAAAGATAAGAAAAGATACTTTAAAAATCGTAGAACACAATCTCAAAAGAAAACTTTTACCAAAACTGAATCTAGAGATAAAATTCGGTTTCTATTTAGGATTTAAAACCTATTTTGATCGCACAGCAATAAATTAGCACAGTTGAGTTCATAGTAATAAATATATTTTTTAAGTACTCCCACAGTTAGTCTAAATTTTGTACCTACTCAGAAAATTATATGCGTATATACAGATGACCGTAGGCGGAAATAAGTTCTATATTATTCTAGAAAATCTAGTACTTTCTGTGTATGGAACTACATTATACAGCTGCCGGGCTAGCCTTTATATGTATCGATGTTGTGTAACGGAATATGTAAATCTACCAAAGAAGAAAAGAACCAAACTGATAGTTTTAAGAACTGTTTATTGATAAACAATGGATTTGCAGTTTAAATAGATATTAGAATAATAAAAAATACCTACTTCTAATATTCTAATAAGTATGTAATACTTTAAAAGTTATATAGATGTCCAATTTTAGTATATGTATAGACGAACAGGTGTTTAACGAAATAGAAAAAGAATAAGAAGTTCGTGCAATGCAATGCAATGACTCGAAAAAAATATATGTGAATATAAGTAAAACGTGTTTTATCTATATACATTAAACAATGGTGAAATGAATTGTGTAATATTGGGATAGTTGAATATTACTACTTATTAATAATGTAGATATTGTTTTTGCCGAGAACCAAAATAATTTTCAAGTCTTAAACACTATTATATAATAAAATTAATGTACTTACTCAGTAGATTACAAGAGAATTTGTTTCAATCACACTTGCTTATGCGAAATCAACAACTAGAAAATGTAGATGTTACATATAGGATTAACCGTAATGGTTGACTATACCGAACCAGAGTCCAATTACATATGTACAATAATAGATATATAAAAATATTTTTAATCATTCATTCATAACACGCTAGTGGTATAACATATAACTTAAAAATATTTTTATATTTTAAAATACATATTCCGAAATATACATCAATACCCCTCTCTGTATACTGGAATTGGTTTCTAAAACTACATAACTTCATAGATGTAACCTATAAACTAAATTGTATTGCCTAATAAATGTTTCGCTGATTTCTTCTACTAAGCAATTTTCTTTATATGGTGCGAGCCTGAAAAGCGAGATTATAGCTGCATAGCACCTTAGACCTCAGAAAGGGCAACACGTCAGGGGTATGTCCGTGAATATAGGTGACGGTTATAGATGTATATTTCGCGGTTTAATATATATTATGTATACGACAATTTGTTTTATGTACTCTTGAAGACACTGACTGGTTTGGTATATCGACTACAACTAAACAACAACTTTTCGTATATTATATGATTTCCCAAATAAATATATCTTGTTGAAATTGTGTTTCCCAATGTTAAATAAGTACAATTAGTATGAATCTTAAATACCTCTAAAAATGAATTAAATCATATATTATATAATGTTCAATATTGATAAAAAAGTCGGGTATTGTTGATGGGCCTATAATTACTACACTTTATGTATAATATATTTCATTTCACAAAAATGTGATATTCAAAACAAAAATAAAACAATTATAATAATACCATATATTAAAAAATGTAGTCAGAATTGTATAATTAAAAGATACTAAACATAATTATAATCAATGTTGGCTGTTCCAAAAACAGATGATAAAATTATACCTATACAATTTAGTATTTTACTCACTGTTATTTTCTCTGAAGTTTAAATAAATGTCTGTTCAGAATTATTTCGTACTCATTTCATTCACAATTTATAATAGTTTAATTTATAATAACTTTGTTTGTTGCTTTAAAGCAGTTATGTCTAAAAATTTTGGTATATCAGTTGTTAATGGTTGTTTAGCTGGTACTCCTGATGAACCTGGAAAGGACACAAATAGTAGGCAAACCTGATATTGATTTACATGTCTGGGACATGGGAGTCACTAACTGTCGACATCATAGTGAACACAATACTTGATGTATGGACATATCATTGTAAATATTTGAATGTAACATGGCAGTGAGATATATAAAAATAAAGAAACTGGTTTTTGTGAAGTCAATGGTACTCAAACTGAATTTGGCTATGGACAGTGGTTTGTACCAACCAATTTCTATCAGTGCCCTTTGCGCATTTGCCCTTGCAATGATATCAAAAAGAGTATAAGTATGTACTATATTCTATAGGAACAGCAAGAATAATATGATAGTAAACAACATAATACCTTGTAATAACTTATGTCTCTCCATGTAATTCCTTGTGGCAAAAGACATGTCAATTGGTACAGTGGTCTTAGTTGCTGATATTGTTGGTTGAGGTATTAATGTCTGAGCTCCTGCTTTCAGATACTTAGCTGCAAGTTGGTTCATTTTTAAACTTGTGTCAGTAGATGCAGCATAAATATGTGGTTGGTTTATACCAAGTGGGTCATCTCCAAATTTTACTCTAAAATCATTAATTTCAATATAACAAAATTTATATTTAAAAAAATATAATTAAACGCATATCTAAATTAAAAATATTTTTGAGTGACAAAATCTATTTTAATTTGCTATTATCTATACAACAAAACCTTAAGTTATTAAGTAAAAAATAAAAGGGTGAGGTGGTGTATAGCATTACCTTTTTGTGACACTAACATTTGTTTTGTCAATTTGCATTTGAAGACATTGTTGTCTTGTATTTCTATACATTGCACTAGCAGATGATGGCATGTCTGAATCTTGTAACATTCCATTCACATGTGTCTGTTATGAAAAGAAGATGTTAATTAAAGTAAATAAACTACAATAATAAACTACTACTACTTCTACTACTACTAATATTCTGAAGTACAGAAGATTTATTGAAACATTTAATTGATGAATTTTTATTATTCAGATATTTACCATTACTTTATTGTAATATGTCCATCCTGCATTGGATTGGTCATTACTGCCACACTCAGATCTGTAAAATATTTTAACCAAAATTATAATATAACATTTCAATAATTACAATTTGTATGCAAACAATTGAAACTACATAAAATCAACTTCAAATTATATGCAATAACTATATGGTAAGTATATATACCTTATAAGGTATAGTAAGAAGTATACTCACTCACTGTAATCTCTTACATCTAAATATAATGTTTGGTCAGGAGAAATGAGAGGAGTAATTGCATTATCCACACAGATATTGTGTAAACTTAAATCATTCAATGTTTTTTCTTCAATGGCATGTTCAGGTGGGACATTAGGTGCATTTCTAAGCTGTGTGTCATCTCTTTCAACCTGAACTGTCCTTGTAATAGGAGTTATGCCCTCCAAAAAATTCTGGTTGACAGGTTTTGATTTTGCAATTACTTCTTTAATGCTTATTTGGGATCTGTTGCATTGTATTTGAGCATTTTCACACATTTGTTTGACAACCTCTTTGTTAATTACCGTGGAAGTTCTCACCATTTCAAAACTTGTCATAACTCCAATGGATATTTTGTGCTGTTCATGGTCAATAGACTCAAGAGCAACATGTTCAGATGCACAACTTTCAATTGGAATATTTGGTGTCTTACTGATAGAAATAAATCTGTCAACTTTCTCTTGTAGTAACTGTAATTGCTCATTCTGCAGTTTAATAATTTTAAACAAATCTGAAACAGTTGGCTCTCTTTTCTCCTTTGAATTAACAGGCTTTTCAACCTCTATACTTTTAGCATTGTCTTGTTCATACTTCTCTATTGCCCATGTTTTTTTATCAACCATATTTTGGGGTATTTTTTTCAATTCTTCTTTACTGTTGCAATTATATGTAGTCTGTTGATTCAATAGAACATGGTGATTGCAATGAGTACAACTAGGAGGAGAATAAGCCTGAGCTATACAAGCACAAAACTGTTGAGCTTTTGAATGCATGGATTGACATTTATTTGAAATTATTTCATTAGGGTGTTTCATAGAACAGTAATTTTTATTCTTTAAAATTTTGTAGCAATGATGACATCTGCAGTCATAACCCTTGTCAACATTAATAGTACTGTTATCTGTAGATGGTGTGGTAATATCAATATGATTTTTAAATACACCATTATTAGGAAGACCAACTTTGTTTAATTCCATTTTTCTTACCACAGGGTTATTTTCTTTATCAATATTTAAAACATTGAAATGTTTTTGCAGAGGATCTGTTGAGTACTGCATTGCATTCATATTACCACGTTTTAAAAAAAAACTATTATGTTCACTGATTTGACTTGAAGGATTTTTTAAAGTAGTATTTTCAAGTGATGTCAAAACTTGCATGCTTTCAGGTACATTTTGTCCCTTACCATTCATATCAACGTTAGTATCAACCGGTGTACCTTTGTATGGCTTCCGCAGTACAGGCGGCCTGGGTTCATGAATGGATGTGTCAAGCATACTCAGTTCCAAATCGTTTGAGGGTGACCATTGGTCTCCATGGATTTTATTGCTTCCCACTGTAGTCTTTTGTATAAGAGGATATGGTGTACTATTACTATTTTCAAACCTTTTTACTGGATCCAAGCTAAATGGTAATAATTTTGGATAATTATAATATAAACCAGGATTTCCAATGTCTGCTCGTTTTTCAATAAATGGACGTGGGGAATGGCATTCGGAGTCGCTCATGGTTATGGTTCCGTAGGTTTTCACAGGGCTTTCAAAGCGCACTTTCTTCATGAAGAATTATATTGTTATTAAATTTCATCAATCAAATTATCACTGCACAATCCTGTGCATCTTATCTCTAATTGAATGCAGTCAAAGTTTATTTACAATTTACATAAATAAGCAAAGTTAGAGCATAAAAGTTACAAATATAAATCTAATTTGTCAGTTTCGTTCGATTTATCAAAGTTTTTTGAATTTGTATTTGACAACTCAAAATATGACAATTGTCATGTTGACATCAGTATGAATGTCAACTGCTAAAAAAAATCTATGCACGGCCGTATGCCTTTTTGTTCTGTGAAACTGTGACTGACTGACTGATATCCATTACCATCCATCACATTATTACAATCTTGATTAGAATATACCCTGTGCTGTAAATTTAACAATAGTTTTAATATTCAATTTTCTATTTAAAACCTGTTTTTAAAACTATCAAACTGTAACAATTAATGTAAATATACAAAGAAAGAAAAATAGCAATTCTGTTTATTTATAAAAATGAATAAACAGCTGCTACAAAGCTTTAATCCTGTTCTCTCATGCTGTCGTTTCAAAGGATATAAGCCTCCGGGTGGTATACGATATCCTGGTGGTATAGTTTATTATCCAAGGTAATTATAAATATGTTGGATTATCAACATTTGTTTTAAAAGCATGGTTCCTAACAAATCGATAAATTCACTATAGTAAATTTATAAGTGGAAGTACAAATAAACTGACGGTCCACCTGATGATAGTCGACATCAAGCTGCTTGGCGATTAATACAACCAACATAAATTTTGTTCATATTTGGTAAAATTTAGATTCCTTAGAACTAAGTATAAGAGGCAGAAAGTATAGTCAACTTGTTGACTCAAGTTGCTTAAAATTATTAAGGGCGACAAATGTTTAATTTGTAGCCCTTAATAATTTTAAGTATAAGTATACCAATAAAGGTATATGCACTTTACCAATTTTCATTTTTAAGTTATATGTGCATCATTATTTACTATGTAAGAATTTAATTGAAGAGAAGTAATGATCAATCTGAAGATAATTATAAAAGTCAAAATATTTTTTACTCTAAATGTTAATATCAAATCTTAGCCTCAACAGTAAACTAATATCATGAAAAAGATGATCATGCATGACCATTATTAACCATCAAATTGCTTATATTTCTACTTTGCCATTATTTTTGTTATATAAAACAAAAATGTAAAATTATTAGCATATTATTTTATTTTAGGAATCCTGAAACTCACAGTGACCCTGAATATAAACCTTCAAAGTTGTTCAGAGTAGAAAGAATTAAGTCTGCCAAACATTATCCACACTGGGATAAGAAAATTCTGGAAGAACTTAGAATTTTAAATGGGGTATAACTCAGATTTTTAATTTATTAATATAGGACTATACATACCTAAATATTTTATCAAGATATAGCTGTCTAAAGGTGTCATACTAAGGTTGCTAATAGGTCAAGAAATAGTATTGCTTGTGCTATTTACCACTAAATCTATATTATTTCATTTTCACATGCTGGCATCTGATAGTTAAACTATCAGACTATGAGAAACTGTCTAACTATCAGATGCCAAAATGCAAATCTAATGACACCAAACTTATGGCTAATGCCATAAACCTATTGTTATTATAATTGTTTCTTATAAAAACCAAACATTTGTCTGCTGTGAATGTGTAAAATATTAAAATAAAATTAAATTAAATAATCTAATATATATTACATTGAATAAATAACATTACTAACTGCTTCAATCCTTTTTTCAGTCCAATATAGCCATTGTAAAAAACATTCCTGAAAATAATATGAGACTATGGAAAGTGAAACATTTGATCAAAGTGACACCTATAACATTTCCATATGGAGAACCAACTGAGGCAGACATTAAATACACAGTGCTGAAGGAAAATGGACAGTGTGTTGTTACAAAGTCACTAGAACCACAAAGCAATCAAATAGAAGCATTAGATAAATTTGATACAGATGTTAAAAAAATGGATTCCACCACTATCAAAAGGGACTCTAGAATGAAATGGAATAACCCATATACTGGTGGATTTTAAATGACATGCACAAAATTAGGATATTATAGTAAATAGATTAAATTGTTATTTGTCTTTTTAATTGATTCTCCTTTGCCAACCAGAAAGTGAAAGAAAATTAAGTTTGGCTAGATTACTTATTGACATTGTGCAAAGACCTTTCTTGTAAGAGCATGTTAAAGGGCTCAATGCAGGGATGTTGTCAGCCAGGCAAACTGCTTTAAAAACAGTTATGTTGAAACCTTTTCAACCTTTTATTGAAGGCAAATATATTTCCCAGAAATTTCATTGTCTACTATAAGATGATCCATTCATCATCATATTCTCAGGCTACAGTACAGCTAGATCTTAGTACCGTCTATACCATATTTTACTTGTCAAAAACAATAAATAATAAATTTATTGTTTTTGACAAGTAAAATATGGTACATTACAGTATGTTATTTAAATATGAATGCTGTTGTAATAATGAGGATCATAACTTTGTTATTGCAAAGGCCAAATGTAAGATTATAGTTTTCATTTATTTTTTCACTAATATAGGATGTAAGTGATTATTTTTTATTATTAGTAACATAAATGAAACACTGCCTCATAAAATCATCTATACTTTATTACTACATAAATAGTTTATAAATTACTGCTGTACCTCTATTGATATTATAGTTAATCGTCATTATTAGGATTATCAATACCTTTTTTGTTTACCAAATAATTGAAGTGTTCTGGTGTTTTAAAATAATTTTCCAATATTATTGCATGTTTATTTCCAATATCATATCTAGCATCGCCCCATGATACTACTAATGTAGGCGATAATTTTTTGAAATCTTGTAAATGAAATTCATGTTTCTTGATTAAATTAAAAAAATGTCCTCTAAATATGGCTAAGTAATTGTCGCCATCCTGATACATTCTAACTATATATTTAGATAGAAGAATTTTGATTGCTGCATGAAATAGAACAAATGCACCAACATAAACAAGGCACTCTATGGGACTATTCGCAACAATTACATCTTCTCCTAGTACAATAGGCTTATTCAAGTCTTGCATATTAAACTCAAATGCGGCATAATATAACCCTCCACAAGCAATGGTAGTTGTAGAAAATGTTAAATATGCAGTCAAATAATTAAGTGGCTTTTCCATAGGTGCTTTATATATTAACTGCCATCGTTTAGAAACACCATCAGCTTTCCTCCATCTTTCCTGTGTTTCTAGGAATTTTATAGGGTGTTGTGTAACATAATTTGCTGTTGATATTTGAAAGTTATATAGCCGGTGGTATACTGATCTGTACATTCGCATACAATTCATCGTAAGACCATACACAGAACTCGGATATGCATAAGAAATAGTTATTTTTCTTGAATAAACATTAAGCTACAAATTATTTTGTGTAACAATATTACAGTGTTCAAAATAATTTGTTGATAATATTTAAATAATTATAATAGATATACAACTTGAAATTCACTATTTTTCTTTTATATTACTGGAAATGACTTACAGAATGAAAAGAAACTGATTGTAACGCTAAAAGGCAGACTGACAATTAGGAACCATGTGGTTATATGACAGTGACAACTAAAATTTGATATGATTTTTACATGAATCGTAACAAGATAATGTGCCGTACAGCCAAATACTTTTCTATACAAATATAGGTATATTGTTTATAAATTACATACCTTTCTGAATCAATAATATAAAGGACTTTAATTTTGCTTGTATAAGATTAACAACCTATACTAATATTATGCATGGGATCTAATTATATTATATAATAAAACATGAAGACATTTTCAACCATGGAAATGAGTTTGATGGATGTATAAGTGGGTTCAGGCGCACTGTGCAGTAATTTTTATTATAAAACACTTCTCATTGTGATATTATATATTAAGTATAACAAAAATCAACACCATACATACATACATAATTTTGCATAGTACGACAAACTTAGGTGTGAAATGAAGAAAAGCGTATTTGTGACGAAATGGGACGGCACGGGACATGAAATGATAAAACAAAAATAACAACATATATTTTTACCTAGCATTATATCCTAATCATAATACCAATACAGTTCTCGCAATTCAAATTTTTCTCCTGGCTCACAAATGAATTGGTCATACCACACAATAGCACGTAATAAAATATAACACCCGTTAAAATATGTAGAAACTATAATAATATAACAACTAATTTTGTGATTATTACATAGAAATATTGTTCCAAATACTGAAAAACTCATAGAAGGAATGGATCCTTACCTGTTCTTGGCTAGCACAATCCGCAGGTCCAAACATTAAATATAATTTGGAACTAGCTATCTATATTATGGACACTGTTTTAAGAAAATGTCATAAGCAAAAGTCTTGGGTGTGATCACTAGTGTCACATTAATAACCAAAAGAAATTACTATTACAAAATATAGACACTGTTTACATTGAAGTGAATATACTCGAAATCCTTACTGTGACAAAATCAATACCTAAATACACTACCGCTACGTATCGAAAACGTAATAGTTAACTAGTCGACCTTTTTAAAATAACGTCGTTTAGTGTTTTACTTATGTAGACAGTAGGAATAATGTGAGCTTTGGATAGTTTATATATATATATATATATATATATATATATATATATATATATATATATATATATATATATATATATAAGTAATAGAAATATTTTAAGGAATGCTTAAATTTGTAAACATAGACATATAAAAAAAATTGACAGTTTAGAAATAAGTGCAAATATCCCTGTCTATACGTATTATCACTTGTCATATCCTATTGAGATCTGTTAATAAGTAATGTTTAAGTATTAATTTTCATAAATATAGATCACAGTTTTACTTTCCATACAGTTAAGAAACAAATCTGAAATTTGCAATTGTAAAATTTAGGAAATGGATGTAACTCCGCAATTAAAGTGATTACACTTTGCAGTAATGTAGGCGCAAGTAAAATAATATACTATTGCCATGGACGAGAGGTATTGCCCACTAAAAGGAAGATCTTGTAATACTGTGACCTTTTTTTATATGAACAATATATATTAATTAACCTTAAAAGAGAGATATAATTGATAGCATATTTTAGATTACACCTAATTTTGATTTGGATGTTCATTTGACATTCCTTTTAATTTCCTTTTAAAGTACTTCTCGGACATTTTTGAGCTCTCATACTTTGAACGTAAGTATTGAGCGAATAAATCTTCTTTACCAGAATCCAGACTATTTTTAACTTTGTTTAAAGTGTCCGGGAAGTTTGAAATATTATTATTTGTATTATATAAAATGTCAGACAGACTAGTGTCAACCGTGTCCTTGGTAGTTTCTCTATTAAAATGCTGTTTGTCCTCTGAAAATGATGCATTCACAGATGACTTAACTTGATCACTGGATTTCTTTCTAATGCTCTCGGGTAATGTGTTTGATTTTAATTTCACAAGAGAAGTGTTGACAACAGAACATTCGATTTGCATGAGTGTTACATGGTCTTTAGTCAATGAATCTGAAACAATATATATTTTTTAATAAATTAGTTTTCTTCTGCATATTCAGAATGTATTCATAAAATATCAGCAAATACCAATAAATTTGCTTGTTTATTTTTCATATAAATACATTAAAATCTATTATGTATGGTAATTGGTATATAGGACTGAGACAAGTCTTACCATTTCCATTTCTTGCTGGTAAAATTAACGCCATTTTAGGCGGCCTCGTGGTATTGTGTGATACCGCTGGCAATAACAAGTGTTCTCCTTTCCCAACACCCACAATATAAAATGTGTCATCCCTTCTCTGTAATGCTTGTAGAAATGCATTCCATTCACTCAGATCATCCATATTGAAGGGATCGACAGATTTCGTCATTGGTTTGTGATACAATCTATTGTAATCTATGACAGAATCTTCTGTGAAATCAATATCTTTATTCCTTCTCAATCGACGTAAGCGTGATTTCTCTCTTACATTTCTGCCTTGATTCTTAGTAGCAGCAAAGTCAGGAAAAGTACCATCTATGTTCAATTTATTAAACATTTTGTATGTTTCCAGAAAGCCATCTAAAATTTAAGGAAAACCTTTATATATGTATGTATGAAAGTATAATATTTAAAATATCTTATAATAAATATATCCTTGCTAGTGTATTTTTATTGATTAGAATACATTCAACATATAAGAATATGCGAAATGTGAAAATGTTAATTAATTATTAGCTGTTATTCTATACTTTTTATATGACTACTATATTAATGCGATTTCATTCGCATCCTTTCGGCCGTAAAAAAATATAGAAATATTTTAGGATTTCTTTACCATTGACTCTCTCATCATTCATATACACTTGTCGTTTTTTCCGGGGAGCATCAAGTGTCCAATTTAGTGTTTTTCCTCCTTTAATCCAACGGTTTAGTTCTCCAGCTATCCTAATGCTTTCAGTTTGATTAATACTAATGTCATTTAAATTTGTTGCGTTTTGACAATCTGTACCATAAGTGCTATTCAAATTATTATTATCTGCAAGAACAATGTTATATCAATTAAATATAATAATAGTAATCTCAGGACAATTCACTAGACAACTGATGCAAATATATATATACATATTATATATAAAAAACACCCAGACCAATACAAACAATCATACTCACAAAACAAATATTTGTGCAGTGCGAGGAATCGAACCCGCGATCATAGAAAATAAGGCGGTGTTAGCACACCGTCTTATTTCCTATGGTATAACGGCTATTACCATCGAGGTTGTCATTTCATTCAAAGATTAAAATTTATGGTTATATTTTATTAATACATTTTATGTTTGTTTTATGTGTTATCATAAAACAAACATAAAATGAATTAATAAACTATAATGTCTTCACGACAATGTTTTAGTGTTAGGTACACTGAAACATTACCATGAAGGACGAAAATTACATTAAATGTGCGCCACATGACCATAATGTGCGCGAACTTTTAGAAATGAGCTATACTACCTTATTTTAAATGTTAGTCATATAAAAGGCGTGGAAATCATTGAAGCGGTCGCCGTATCATCATCACTTATATCAGTTTAAAAATTTCAGTTTTATTCAAATTCTAGGTATATATAGATAATTGTCACATGAAATATATATAGATAATTGTCACAATAATAGATTCCAATCAAAAATATATAAAAGTAACCTGATGAAACGAGGACGACCTCGCCATATTTCACTTTATAGCGATTATCCAACGATTGTCCATAACAAATGGCGTCCACAGATGGTTGTATTTCTTTGACTGGATCTAAATTGTTAAGACGTACCTACTCCATCTAAGGTTTTAACGGAGAGTCCAACGTAAACCTGCGCTTTATTAAATATAGAGGAGCCTATGTTGAGAAGAGGACTGCTCTAAGGCACCATTGTTAAGCAAATAAATTGTTCTCTTTCAACATATACATTATTTAATATCTGAAACTTGGTATTGACACGTTATAGTTCGTAAAGGATTTTGAAACAAATTGAATCTTAATCTATTGAATTCTCAAGAAAACAATTTGTTACCAATGAGTTCTCATTCTCGAGTTAACTATACATTCCTACTTATAACTATACTAAAATTGTTATTAATTTTTGGTTTAAACTATGTCTATGGCGAGGACGACCTCGCCATATTTCACTTTATAGCGATATTTATCTCGGATTAAATTCGTTTATTGTCGGTGTTTACATCACCGGACAGAATTATAACGAATACAAAGATTATTTTTAATGTCGAACTAACAACCCTTCAGCGTATGCAGGGAAATGTCTTATACGACTACACTGGAACGCTATCTTTGACGGCGAAAACAATTCTTAATAACACTAGAAATGGTTAGGTTAATCACAGTGTAGCCCTATCTACTGCACCATGGTAAACGGACGTGCAAATATGGTAGCATATAGTACCATATATGCTACTACATTTGCACGTTCTGAATGTCTGATACTAATTGCTTATTGATAAATACTTAACCAGATTAAATTAATTGTATCTGTGATCCAGTTACTGTTGTGTACAGAAACGCATTATAAAACACGGTAATTCTATTTCCAAAATAAAATACTATGATAGTTTTTATATTAACTATTTATTTTCAAGCATAAGATCATCATCATCTTTATTTAAAGTATTTATAGAGATATTTAACATAGAGCTTCAGGAAGCTATAGAATGTAATATAAGACAATACTATAGGGGTGAAGGGGATTGTTAGTAATATGGACTCATGACCCTATGACTAGCAATGTACCATGTCAGGTTGACCTCCACACGGTTCCCCCTGAAAACCATCGTGTTAAATTCCTGGTGAATTTGTCACGATGGGCTAACTAACGTGACCCCATGCTCATCCTATCATCCTCCGTGGTGCCCCGCCAGCGTAAATCGTTAGCGCAGGCGGATGTATCATTATATTATCATCCATAAAAAAAAGACAGTATTATATACACTAGATTCATTTTCTGCTTGGCAACATTTAAAGTTATGGCTATAACAGAGTTTAATTTGGAAGATTATTACATACTTCAAATAAAAAGATACATAGTAAGGATTATGGTTTAAACTTACCCAAGAATATTCCAATTAATTGAAATCATGAAAACCATAGCAAATATAACAGCAATATTCTTCTTTGGCATTAATACAGGTAAGTCGATTCTGGGTATCTGTGAATTATATATCAATTAGTTACAAGTTTATTGAAATTTATATACATAAAGTATTTTCTGTAATAAGATAACTGACTTTCCGAGGCCTGCCATTTGTTTCTAGCTGTTTTCTGAGTTGTTTATTTTCGAGTCGCAGTTGCGTGATTTCTTGTTGCGCTAGAAACAATTGGTATTCCAGCGCCGTTACATATTCTTTCCTCTTCTGACGTGATTGACTAGCAGCCTCACTTTAAAAAAAACCAACAATTATGGTCATTAATAATAATACATTTAATTATGTGGCGTAATATTTTTCAAATTTGAATTAATCTACTTCAACAAATACCTCTATTAAAACAATAAAAAAATAAGCATCAAAATTAAACCATTCTGTAAAAGCAGAAGTATCACTGAACTAGTGAAGGAGTCAATATCTAGACACGCGGTAGCGTGTCAAAGCCGAGTTTCAAGTAAACTGGCAAGCAGCACCGTGTGTATATTTACACGAACCATTTGGAGCCACTTTTGACCCCCTCATAACTCAAAAACTCTTTCACACAAACCTGTCAAATTTGGTTCATATATTGAGACTTGCGAGATAAATATGTGTTCCAAATTTCATAAACATTCTCAAACGGTTATTTAGATTTAGATATTAATGTCCAAAAATCGTCATTTTTATCACTGATCAACTATAGATCAAAATTATAACCCACTTCCAGATGACCTAGGAAGTTCAAATTTGGCATGCAGATAGGTAATTAGGTGAATATAAAGGAAAAAATCTGAAATTGTTATCATTTTACTACAATTTTTCAATTCTATTTCAACTTATACTGGACGAATACTAAAATTCTATGAAAACGTTGATAGCCACCAATTGACATTGATCCCTGGCGAAAAATTTCATCGTGTACTGGACGGAAAGTAATGTTGTATGAAAACGTCGATCATTACCAATTTACGTTGAGTGTCGATAACTATTCAAATATTGCATTGAGCGGTAAACACTAGTTGCCATAATTTAGATTCTGTCTAAAATATACTCGTACTTATAACTAGGAGTATAAATTTCGTATTTATTATGTTGTTAACTGAGATTTGGTATTAATTATTGTTTCAATATTTAGCGCACATCGATAGTGTAAAATCATTATTTTTATAAATAATTATTAAATAATAGGCATTTCTAATCATTCGTTGTTAAATCTCAATGTTTTGTTTCTCGATATCTAACCTATAAGGTTGCGATTTATGCTACGAAATTTATAGCTTTCTTAAATTATACTTATATATTTGTGGTTATATTATTATTACATTATTTTAGTTTTAGATAATAGTTTAAACCAAAAATTAATAACAATTTTAGTATAGTTATAAGTAGGAATGTATAGTTAACTCGAGAATGAGAACTCATTGGTAACAAATTGTTTTCTTGAGAATTCAATAGATATAAGTCAATTTGTTACATAATCGTCTTTACGAACTATAACGTGTCAATACCAAGTTTCAGATATTAAATAATGTATATGTTGAAAGAGAACAATTCCGTATTTGCTTAACATATGCTATTACTATCCACAAATCACAAGGCCTTAGTTTTAGCAGTCCTCTCTCTGTCTAGTTGAAATATACTGTAGCCTTCGCAAGTTCTAAACATGCTACTTGTCGGTTCCTATTTTATTATTAGTAGTAACTAGCAATCGAAAGTAATAATTGATATATGAGAACTGGCCAAGTTAGACCTTAGGCTACAGTATATTATCCTAAGTTATAAGAAGAAATGATATTTTATATTGTTATAAATACATTTCAGGACAGACCATTGAACTTGGCACCCATTTAGATCTCATCTCTTTTGTCGTAGAAGTCAACAATCAAGGTATATATCATAATATTAAACTCGGCTATCATTTCACATTTATGTTTTTGATGGGATTAATATCCACTTGCCGTATCACTTAAATGAAATTTATGGAAATTAAATTATTTTATTTCAGTATATAAAACTTACCGATTTCTAATCATTCGTTGTTGTTTCTTCAGAGCCCTTATTTCAGAATCGCTTAGTTTTGACAGGTCTACATTAAGTTCAGTGGTATTAGTTATTGGTAACCCATTTTGTACTGTTGTTGTAGGAGCTATTTCTTGTTTAATGGCTAGTGGCTTTGGACTTATCACAATATTACTTCTAGGTGGAGAAACCTTTAATGTAATGAAATTATTATAAATAATATACATTGTACAATAATAAAAAAGTTAAATTCTAATGTAAATGTAATGTATAAGTAGTAAATGGGTTTTTAGAGGTGATATTACATTGCTTCATAGTAACTTTATATTCTTCGTTATATGACAGAAAATCTATTCTAATAGTTTCTAGTAAAAATGTTAACATACAAATAAAATTGATTAATTTCAGTTTTAAAGTAAAAAAAGTTTTTGTAATGTTCAAAATGTATAAACCAGTAATTTATGAAAAGAACTAAAATTTACAATGATATTTGTAGGTTTCGTTCGTCATATTTTTTTATTCACATAGATAATGATGCAACAGTAGATAACATAAGACTCATAAAAAAATAATTTAACTAGTGGTCTAATTACATTAATGTGAGTACTTTTTAATTAAAAAAGTTCTAACCTGTTTTGGAATACTAACACCAGTTAATTTGCCTTGAGGTAGTGGTGATATGACTATCTTTCCATTATTTGTACTCGCTGCTGTTTTCACAACTGCTGATTTTTTCATCAATATATTTGGTTTTCTAACTATACTAGGTGCATTTTTTGTGTCCACAACCAAATATTTTTGTTCATCAAGTAATATTATTTGTTGATTTGGTACAACATTTGAAGAGTTTTCATTAACAACTTTGAAATAATCATTTTGAATGTTGTTATTTCCTAAAAAAATATATATTTTTATCGCATAATTGTTTTAAATTACTCAATTAAATAAAGCCAATATAAATCACAAATACTTACGATTATGTACAAAAGGTACTGAATTACTTGGATTTATATTTGAAGAATGTAATGGAACTCCAGAATTATAAAATTCCTGCCTAACTCCCTGTAAATGAATATTGCAATATTTTACTTGAATAAAAAGAAACAAGTAATTTAAAAAAGTAGTTTAAAAATTCCACCTTTTTTATGTTTAATAGCGTCATACTCCAGAATTATTTGAAAAGTACCAAGTATGCATGGAAAGTATGGTATACAGGACTCCGTTACTGTTTGATTACAAAGATCTGATCCATGTATGAAGTTTTCCACATAGAGCTAAGATCCTTACATAGCGTAAGGATGGTATATTCAGGAGATAGACTAACATTTGAATCATATTTTTGTAATCAAGCCAATGTTTACTGTCTGCAATTTTTTTATTACTCCGAGAAAGGAAATTTTGAGATAAAACACAAATTTTGAGCTTTGAACTGTATTATTTCAAGATTTTAGAGTTAGAGTTTGGATGAAAAATTAATTTAAGTGAAATTAATTTTTCATCCAAATAAAATATAATTTATAAAAGGCACCTACATATACATAACAAAATAAATAAGATAAAATACCTACTTATATTACTACACATTACTATTAAAAAATACTACCTTTATGATTCCATTTTCAATAGCCATAAAAGGTCCATCTCTTTCTGAAGGAGAGGTCTTAGGCACAGTAACATTGGGTGATTCATCACTTAGGGTATCTGAAGCAAATATAAGATATCGCAATATTTACTTAGGTGCTACAGTTACTTAGAAGATACAATTTACATACACTACTATGGTAATGTGTATAAAAAAAAATGTATACACCTACACAATTGCTACACAACATGGGTAAGAAGTACTGTGAACTATCATTTCGATAAGTATATTTTAATCCAACATTTGAACTTGATACTGGTAAATCTATGACAGTGTAGTATCTATGAGGTTACAATACTCATAAATAAAAAAATAGTAATAATAACTCTGCACAATTCACACAATGCCATCCTGTCCCAAGTTAGTAAGTACTTGTGTTTTGGGAACCACAACTGACAGAAATAATATACTTTTCTTTATTCATACAAAACACTCAGGCCAATCACAAACAATCATACTCATGAACATTAATATTTGAATTGTGAGAAGAATCAAACCTGCAATCATGGGGAGTACATTGGTGTGCTAAACCACCTTCAAATAATAAAACATAAGTACCTGCTTTCTGTAAAAATAATTCAACATCTTCCAATTTTAAATTATTTGGTGGTTCCTCATCCAAATTGGACATCCATTCGAATGGTGACTGTGAGGACTGCCGTGCTGATGTAGGACTAGAACTGCTAACATAACATTTTGCTTTAGTATAAAGTGTTTCAACAGTTTAGTTTACTTCATAATTACATGTTTATTATATTATTGCAAGTTCCTTAATAAATATACAAAATTTATTTCAATTAACTAATTCAATTTGTTTTGTACATATTTAAGTATGTTTTAAACATTTTTATGATCTTTATTAATATACCAAGAGATTTTATTTTAACAAAGTGTAAAATTAGAATTACAAATAAAAATCTATAAACATAATTGTTTTATGGATCTTAGGTCGGGACAATTGTTACAAAAATATATTGCTTCAATAACATACAAAAGAAAGTATCTTTATATCCTGCTGCAAGGTATATAATAGCATTTCATTTAATCAACTTAAGTTAATAATAAAGTTGCAATTTACTTACTTTTTGGAATCATCATCACTTCCAGAATCTGAATTACTGCTCTCTGTTACAGAAGATTTGGCACTAGTTGTTGGTGATGTTAATGGCACCAATACAGGTGCTGCATCAGCTAATATCTCACTAGGTGATGCATCTGCTGCATTCAATAATGATGACCAATGATAATCTTTGTTTAACTCTTCTAGAAAATCATCCACTGTAATATATAAATATAACAATAATACTAAGTTTTATAACCTTATGTCTATTAGTCACCTACACAAAATGTATGAATGATTCTCTCAAGTGAAAAGATATGGTAGCAAGGACTAGCAGAAAGATTTACAGACAGAATGAGAGAGACCAGCTTAATCATTTGAGACAGATACAACCATTTCAGTAAAATAAGGCACATCATATTGGACTATTGTATAAAGATAAATAAATTATGATTTTTATAAAACAATTGATGTAATACAGTAACTACTTTTTAATAATTTACACAAATTATTCATTGCGAATAATTACGAATGATTCTAATTTCTAACTGAAAGTAGAAATTGGCCAAAATATGTATATGAACAAACTGTGTCTGTTTTTGAGTTGAGATGGTTTCAGAGCTCAGTGCAGAGTCTGGTACTTCTTAGTTTATTTTGAATAGATCTAGACACGCGAGAGCGTGTGTCAAAGCCAAGTTCAAGTAAAAGAACTGGCGATAAAATTATAAAAGATTCACTATTCAACTATTTCTAGTATTCATGTTTGATTTTTTGCACTAGGGCATTATAAATATGAAACAAAAAAAGGAAACATAAAAAAATATAAATAAAATTATTATCCATAAAATTACAGTGTACTTAACACTGTAATTTTATGGAAAACTTGATTTAAAGCAAATAAAATGTCATCCTTTCAAAAACTGGGTAGATAAAATGTTTCTTCTTTGATTGTATTGTTATTGTTTTTTTATTATAAACTAATAGTATCTTTACAGAAAGCATCCGGTTTGAATTCAATCAATAGGATTTTTATTTTTACTATTATTCGCTTATATTTACCGTAGAGACAGTCCTTATTGTCAAATAAAATATCCGTATCCATCAGAACAATTAGAACACATACATAAAATCTAATATATACTAATTTTCGTTATTTCTATGATAATAACAATTACTTATTGCAATATATCAAAATGCCACGGTCAAAATAAATAAGCATGCGTTTAGGTTATTTATATTTTATAATAATATTAGTTTGGTTAATGGTTTGTCATTGTCTGTCATAATGTACCTAATTATCTACCGTCTGTTTATTGTCAGTTCAAAATGCAGTCAATCATTAAGCAGCCTGTCATGTCATTGCACATCAATTTTTAAGTCAGTATCTCTTTGTGACAGAGCAGAGTACCATTGCATGTTTCTGTATTAGTGTTTGTGACTCTGTCTTTGTACTATAATAAATAAATAATTTTAGTAATAAAAAAGTTCTGTAACTATTAAACGTATTGTCTGATTTTAATCTCAGTTTCACAGTTTATTTATTTTGTAGTTATAATTATGTATTATTGGCTAGACTACTCGCTTAGGTTTATAGAAATATGATAATACTAATCAATATATTGATATAGTGATTCAATCCGTGTTAGAAAGTGCCGGTTACGAAAATGACTGGCCCTGACGAACAGGACGATTTCATATTTCGTCCTCAGCACCATTTGGATGCTAAATGGCTGAATCCGGAACTACAAGATGCTTTGCTCAATCCAGAAGCTATGTGTACACTATTTAACGCCCTTTTACAAGACCGAGAAATATATTTTGAGACTGGAAACGGGCTCGTAAATAGTGTTGGAATTACAGCTAAATTGGGAGATAGTGGCAAATATTACTGTGGATTGAGGGTGAGATTTGGCACTTCAATGTCTGTTGTACATTTTAATTTGATCAAGTAACCCATAACCACTAACTGTACTCATTAATCTAAACATTTATTATTTAAATCTGACTACTTGTTTAAGTAGTTTCTCATAATAATCTTGAACCTCATCCTTCACACCAGTATTAAGATTATTATTAGTGAGTGAAGACTTAGAAAATAATACAAGTACACTTATCAGAATTTATAGACTGGCCTGTGTTATCATTAGTAGTAGTAACAAATACTATATAATGACCATATATGAGGAAATCTGAAAGTTGGTAAACTTGATTCAACTTAAATCTTACCACTTGAATTTAAATCAATTGACAACTTCTTGACATAAGGTTTCTATAATAGTATTGTCTAGAATAGGTTTGCCTTTATGCAAAATATTATCTTAATAGAAAAATCATTATTACTCAAAAAACTGTATAAATATGAATGTTTATGGTGTGGTAACTGAATCATAATAAAAATGTACTATGTCCTCTACAATCCCAAATAATGGATATGGATCTGAAGGAGATACATGATTTCACATAATAGCTAATTTGTCCTTGACTTTCTATCTATTTTCTTTATTTGAAAGAAAGGACAAAACACTAAAAGGAGTTATTGACATCTTAATAGGAAAATCCAAAAAAATTGACTTCAATTAAGTAGATGATGATTGTACAGTTTTAAAAACTCACTCCCTGTTTTTGAAGAAAGTAAAATAATAAATAAATATTTAGTCCATCCTATTCTTAAATATATTACCATACTTTTTATCTTTAATTTGCATTTCTTGTAATGTGGCATAAGTTCAGAACACAGAACAAGTTCAAGCTGGTCTTATTTTTAACCCTTATTTGTCAGCATGTCTTGTGGCAAATCCCAAGAAGTTATGTAGGAATGAAATAAACTTGAAATTATTGTAAGTTCTAAGTTAAATATATGAATACATACTGTATTCAATATATTAGTCGTTTAGATAGAGAAAACCTTTCTTCTTGTCTCCTATAAAAGTACTGCATGACAAATAATAATTTTTGTTAATTAATCGTTTATGTAAACACTAAGTTTATTAAATAGTTTTGATAAAAAATGTGTTAGATATTAACTAAAAACTATGAATGTTTATAGATTTTAAACTGCACATGCTGTGATGGTCTTTGTGGCCCCCATTCTGGATGTGCATGTGCACCTTGTAGTACACTGTCTGCAGAGGAAGATCTCCGGAAGGCTCTGCTATCAAAAACTGTTGCACCAGCTTCGTCTATTCAAGTTGTAGATGATTTAAAATGGAAGCAAGATCCAGGTGATACAATATATCATAATTTTCGAATTTAGATAAAAATAGATATTTCAATGTATGACAAAGAAGTTCTATATTTACAATTTTCAGTGATGTATTCAATAGTAATGATCTAAAATCGCATCAAGTTATGTCTTGAAAGTACTTATTAAAAAATATATAATTGTGAACTTTTATCTGCGAATATGATAAAGAATATTTGGATGATATTCATACATTGTTATCTAATGTAAATTAATTGTTTAATTCTCAAAGTAATAATATATTGTAAATACTATAATGTCTAGACACTATGATATTTAGTATTCATGTTAATGTTTGTGTTTACTGGTATTAATTTAGATCAGGTTGTTAGACTTATATAGAGTTAATAAGAAAAGCTCAATATGCAAATAAATTATTAGTTTATACATATTCTATCCTAATTTGCATTTTAGTTAAGTATAATATCAGTGACCATTATGTTAAATACGAAATTAATTACATTTTATAATAAAAACAGGTCCAGAATGTTTACAAAGTCTAATGGAGTCACTGATATGGGAACAGCGTGTCCGTGCCATCAACACAGCTGCCACTTGTCCATACATTGCACAAGTCCGACGTTTGATAGTAATGTGCTATCGACACCTTGTAGCTGTTATTAGGTATTATATTTCATAAGACTCATAATAATTCTTTATTTTAATAAGAACTTTTTTTTATTTGTCAATACTTTGATCTTATATGTAACTAATATTGTTGTGTCATAACTCCCAGGGATCAAAATCACCATAAAGAATTAAAAAATAACAAATTAGATAAAAAACCTCCACATGGTGTTAGTAATAGAGCTCTCAGTAAAGTTGTCAGTACACTGAATAATCCTGTGGAACTTACTGATAGTCAAGAAGACACAGAAGAACAGATAGACGATTCAGAAAAGTAAGTTTTATTCATATTTATTTGTTTATAATATACTAATTCATGGTATTGTTATTAATTTAAAAATTGTTATAAAAACTGTTCATTATTTTTTCGCACTTAAATATACTTTTGTCCTAATTATTTTAGTGCATTTGGCCTCGCTCGAGTTGGTGCCCGTGCGGCTCTTCGGCTTGCTTTATCTCTGGTGAGGCGCGCGTGGCGCTGTGGTGAAGACGCTGACGTATGTTCGGCATTGTTGCGGGATGCGTTAGACGCTGTGCGAGCCTTACCCGACGCGGCTTTGTTCGCTGGCACAGGGGCGCTGCAACAAGCGCCACGTTCACAAAAGATATGGGCGGAAGTAGTTGATAGTGCAGCTAAATTCCTTCATCAAGTTGTGGCTGGGTTAGTATCTATTTATTATTGGTACTTTTTTATGCAAATGGTAATAAGAAATTTAATTTCAATGTTATCTAAGTATGGTTACATTTTGAAGACTTTTCTCATTGATTATTATAAGTTTCTATGTAACGACATTAGTAATTGTCTTCTGTAACTGTAATTGAAAATATACTGATGATTCGTCTGATGGTAACTGACAACCGTCGCCTATATACATATCCTGCACCATGCAGACATATCGTCGTCAGATGACGCCCTCTAACCTCTCATACGCTGCCTTTAAGATGTGCCCATAATTACTATGAGTTCCCTTATACTATATGATATTCTTATATCCTTCCCTTATACTTATATATTTATTTATATAAAAAGTGAGGTGGGCTGTAACGTTCCCCTTGGCGACTGGCGTACATCGTTATGTGTGTGGGTGGAGCTGTGTGCCCGTCGCGCGGAACTACCGGCGCTGCTCAAGGCAGCTGATGTTCTAGTCACTCTACCGCCGCGTCAGAAACGGCAACCAGACAACAGGTAATGTATTTTACTTTATATGACAAAGACGATTAAATCGGCGGCTCTTAAAATTTTGCACCCACTGCGAAAGTTCGTAATATTAATAATATGTGAAGATGTAAAGAAATACCAGAAAAGTTATTTGAAAAAAAGTGGGATCAACATTGCTGTCTATCGGGATTTGATGTAAAGATAGAACAAGCATCAGCATTGACATTGTATAATAATGTGCTTTTTTATCCTCTTATAAAACATTAAGATTACGGACTATACTAAGAAAGTATTTTTCTTTTTTAGAATAACACTGGAAGAATGTACTGCACCATTAGGACCATTTCTAAGACGTATGGCTAAAGTAGCAGCGCCAAATCCTATTTTAAACAACGAACCAACAACTGAAGTTAATCCTACAGAGACATATCTAAAGTAAGTTCAGTAAATATGACTTATTAAAAAATAAAGAAAACGTGTTGTGGTAGTTCTACCATTGATTATTTATTTATCTATTTTTATTTATTGGTATTTAATAAATAAGTATAATAATAATAATTTTTTTTTTCACACGTAAATGACACGATTTATAATATAACAGTAAGTATTTTATCACAGAGTATGATTAAGATTTATAATGTTACAGAGAACTCAATCTACCTAGTGGAGATGGATTAATGGAAGTTAAAAAAGCTGGCATTGCCTTATTATGTCATTTAGACCGTCTAGGAGCACCTTTATTACCACCATTAAAGGGATTTGTCACTGTGAGTGTCTAAGCCTGTTTATATTAATATTACTGAAAAGTTTTTCTAGTTTTGTATATGAATAGATTTGAAAATTTCTTTATATATTATGGTGTATCATAATAATATACCAAATTCAAATTTGGTGAATTATTTGAAAAAACTGATTAAAAAAGAGAGCAAAGTTTAAGTATTTAGTTACATTCTTACTTAGTTTAGTTATCATATTTATTTTTATTTTAAATATGTAAAAAAGTATGTAACACAAATGCCATTATAAAAAATAGTTTTGTTCATTATTGTAGTTGTGATAAAGATTTTGTTTAGGTTCTTGCTAGATTATATAGTGTAGTGTGTTAGATTCTTATTTAGTGTAAGAATGTTTAATTTTAGTTACATTATTAAACAATAGGAGGTCATATAATTTTTAAATTAATGTTTTGTTATTGATCAGTATATATTTGTGAATAATACAAGTTGTTTATTAAAAATGTTGATTTATTATAGTGTACAGAATCAGCACAAGATGTAGTCTCGGTGTCTTCAGGACCACTGCAACTAGGAACTTTAAGAATTCAGCAGATTGCCTGTGCTGAAAAATTAGCATTATTATTAACTCACGATGGTGCAGTGTACACACTTCCATATGATACTATGACCCCACAACTTATTCCAGGTATTAAAAATTAACAGTAATATTTAGATATTCATACTACTAATTCTGCATTTTACCGTTTTAGACTGTGATAGAGGTTACTTATTAATATGTCTGTAGAAATTTCTTCAATTCACTTACACAGAAAGACTTAAAAAAAGTAGTGAGACAGGCTTACTATTTTTTTTTTATCTATACATTTCAGTTTGATTTGTATAAAATTACTAAAAACACAGTGGCATAACACATAGTTCTCAGGACAGCACTGAATTATCCTAATTCAAGCCTCATTCTGGTCATTATCCTAGATATGATGTGGATTAATATGATGAACTAATATAACATGCTTATATAATATTACCCGTATTTGACTGTGGTAGACTGTAAAATGTCATCTGCAATTTGGATACCTCAGGGTCACTTATTCACACTTTGGCTGCAGAGTAGCTTGCTTTGTAAGCTGTGTTTTGATTGTAGGATGGGATTAGGCAGTAAAATTGCAGGATACTAGGCATGGCTTGTTAATCCTTCATTATGGCAATACTTTAATTATATATAACATCTTAATTACAATAATTAAAATAAAATGACCAATATACAACAATTATAATTAATAGGTAGGTAATCAAATTTCAGATAGTTGATTAATCCTATGAATGCATACGACATCTATGTTAATTTGATAGGCCTAGAAAGCAAGACGATAATCCAAGTGGCGTGCCACTCGGCGGCGCGCCACTACCTGTGCTGTTCGTCGTGCGGCGCGGCGTGGTCGTGGGGCGCCGGCGACGACGGCCGCCTCGGCCACGGAGACACCGCGCCGCGTGATGCGCCCGCGCCCATACACCACCTCGCGCACCACGAGGTCGTCAGAGTCGCAGTCGGCCCAGCGTGCAGGTGACCGCAGTTCATGACGTCGTAACCCAGAGTAACCTCCAATATAGTTAGGAGATCAAATATGTTGTCCTCCATTTTACCTTCTTATACCTATGTGATTTTTTAAATAAAACAGATATATCGTCCCCCATTTTACCCTCTTACATGTTTTTTTTAGATAAATGATACCCTATCTCCGATACTCCGACCCTGTGATATCTATACTCTTATCAAATTACATTAATTGACTTTAGTAGTCAAAAGGCAACAAACATACAGACAAACACGTTTTCGGATTCATAATATTAGCATGCTAAATGTACTTAAAAAGAAACATGAAGGTTTACATATCTCTATTGATTAGGTATACCGGCCAGATGTATATTAAAATAAAGTTGTAAGAATAATAATAACTCTTTATTGCACACAAATAACAAATGAAGAACAAGAACAAAAAATTAAATGCATTATAAAAGGAGCATTTATTGTTATAAGCAATCACTTACATACCATGTGGTGGTATAAATAATTTATCTTTAATAAAAGTATTACAAATGTAAGAATGTTATGTGATGCAAATTTTTGTGATATTAATAATAAAATAAAAATAATAAAAATATTGTAAAAGAAAATCTGTCTCTTCAGTGCTGCACTTACGTCTCGTGGCGCTTTATATACTTGGGGCCGGAGCGCGCAGGGTCGACTCGGGCACGGAACGCTGGAAAGCTGCCTCACGCCGCAACCGGTATCCTTCAGCGCGCACAACATAGAACGTGTCGTTGACGTCGCCTTAGGTACCTGTCACTCTTTATTCCTTCAAAGCGATCTTGTGTGTATTCCAAATACTCTATCAACTCGTGTCACTCCAATTCGTGATTTGAATGCGATTAAATTTCATTGAATCCATCTGATGTTAGATACCAATCTTCGCCTATGATACTCATGAGAGGACTTTACGATGGACCAAGATTTCTGCATCCTGTAATTTCACTCCTTAACTCAACTTTTCAATAGAACCACAATTGGACCATGTGTATTCTCATCCTATTATCCTGCACTAATACCTTGCTAGTGTATTGAAAAAGCTGCTTGATTGCTGAAATAGGCTTTTACCTTCCATGTTCAATTTCTGTTATACTCTCCACCAACCTGCGGCATCTTTGCTACTGTTACACACACCCGAGAAAAAGTTTATTTTTCTTGTATTTTATGATTGAATATTACAACATTTTAATATGACCTTATACTCTTGTAGGGTGGGGTGAAGGACAAACGCTTTGTTCTACGTTGGAGGGGGCAGTGCAGGTATTCGGCGACAGCGAAGCCGGAGCGCCGCGAGCTCTGACCTCCGTCGCAGTACTGAGGATCACTCGTGTCTACACCGGCGAGCATTGGCATGCTGTGCTTACTGACGGGTATTTTTTTTAATATAATAACGTATCTAAAGAATAAGCGACATTATTTTAATTTGTCTAGTGTGGCTAATAAAGTTGATTTACTGAAATGCTCTTGTGTATGTTAATTTCAAAAAGCAACTTTAATATTTACTTATTTGTACACTTTTACATTCATAAATATAAATAAAATGCACAACAACAGACTGCACTGAGCTCAAGGCTTGTGTTACTGGAATCAAATATCTTTGAGTACAGAAACTTTAACAACTAATGATGTTTATTACTTGATGACTCCAATCTTTTATTTAATTATGAACTTAAGTGTAAGAGTAAGTAAGAACAGTTTTTCCTTGCCAACTCTAATGTGACCAATAAAATACATTTGCGTAGCTTAAATTGTAAATATCGGTTTGTTTGTATGTATGTCGTATGTACTAACATTAAAATGTTTCAATAAAATTCTGTTACAGTGGTCAGGTATATACATGGGGTAAAGGTGATGGTTATAGACTTGGTCATGGAAATTTAGAAACCATTAAAGTGCCTAAATTATTGGATACTCTTCAAGGTAAACTACACACTTATACCTATTAAAAATACAATTTAATTGATAATTTTTGTTCAAAACATAATGTATTTTTTTTTAATTATTGTAGATATTCGAATAGTGGATCTGTCGTTGGGTGCGTCGCATGGTATAGCGTTGTCAGCAGAAGGGGCGTTATTTGCGTGGGGTACGCATGAACGTGCCCAAATAAATCGACCTGTACCACAACTGTTGCAAGTGCTTAATCCCTCATTTAAAGCAAACGGTAATTTGACAACTATATTTATACTATTATCTCATGTTTTGTTTCATAAAAAAAAAATTCTTAGTACCTACCATACCAACATACACTAGGTGTAATATTAGGAGGATATTTATAATATTTTTATAATTTTTAGGTGTTACAAGTGGTCCGACACAAATCATTGCTTGGAGCCAAGAAAGTCCTAGGGATCTGCCTTCTTCCATGCCATTTGTTATAGATTTATCAGATAGTACTTTCAAGTAAGTACATTTCGTATATTTATCCAGTTAAACTTTGTAAAAAGTTGACTGTGTGTAGGTACAGGATACACTGGGTACAGTCTCATCTATTTTTGTCATCAAGTAACTTGCAGTTCGCAGTGGTGTTTATGTATATAGGCGATGGTTACCGTTTATTACCAGGTGGTTGTCAGGTTGAAAAAACTGTTAAATTTGTTACTTATTTGTATATTTTTTTCAGGTTATTAGAAAGACTTTTAAGGATAGTCGTGGAGCAAAGCAATTCGGGTTATAACAAAGAAAATGAATGCCTCGCTATTTCTTGTTTAAATTTGCTGAGGCTTCAGGTAATTAAATTTATATTTTATTTAATTGTAGAGAGCCGTAAAAAATCAAATATGTACTTTTTAAGCACGTAGTAGTGTGTAGGTCTTATAATAAAAGAATGTACAAATGTTCGTCTCATAATCTGGAAGCAAGCAAATTACAATATTTATTCATGAGCTATGCCCGTGGTTTCATCCGTGTGAAATTTATAACCTATTGATTATTCTGATGTATAAGCTTATGATTGCCGTCGTCAGTGCCGTGACCATAGAGACAATTTTATTTTTCATATTTTATTATTATTTCTTATGTATGTGCTATATTAAATAAAAAAAATATATGTAAATGTAAAAACAAATGTAAAGTTTCATTAAAATCCATTCACCAATTTTTGCGTGAAAGAGTAAGAAATATCCATCAATCCATTCACAACAACAACTTCTGCTTTTATATTATTAAGATTTATAAATATTTAATGAGAAAATTAAATATTATGTCAATTATGGTTAAAGAAGCTTATTTTATTCCTTTGAATAGAAGGTACCTTTAATAACATTGGTTACACACTGAAAAAAATAGTGTGCTGTTGATAAATCACACGGTAATATAACATCATTAACCTACAAAGACGCGTATGATCGCGCGCAGTTCCGTCATAACACATGCGCGGCGGCGTATCATGTCAATTCAGACTTGCGCGGGCAGAATTAACTCTCCGACGTCTAACTCTCAAACAAGACGTATATTCTTTAAATAGTATAAAACAAAGTTGCCCCGCTGTCTGTGCGCACATATCTTTAAAAACTTACCTGCCTATACGCTCAATTTAATTCACTCATGAACAGAATCGATTTAGGATGGTTTGATATGTATAATATAGAACACACACAAATAAAAAAATGAACGATGCATCCGTTCGCACATTATTTCCGGCGGTCCGCTTAGTTAATAAAAAATAGAATAGAAATTATGATTATAATCTTTATTCAGATAAACTTAATATAAGCTCTTTCTGAATATTTTAACGTTTTCTCATATTATTTGAATAACGTCAAAAAACTCATAACAAGAAGACCATTGCATTTTTTGAAATATTGTATAAAATTTAACTATAAAATTAATTATAAATGTTGTTTTGAAGTATATTTAAAAACATTATACATATTATGAATAAGCAAATTTTTTTTTAAATACTGAAATATATTAGGTTCTTACATATAAAATTAGTGTTTTTTCGTACTGGCCACTTTGATCTTAAATATCTCAATCTTTGGTTTAATCAAATTTATACGCATTGTCAGCGCATTTGTTTTATAAATGTTAAGTTTTTTATTTTCTACAAAATGGAAAACTTAAAATATCGCGTCATTTACATAAAATCTCCGCCATGGCAATTTTATAATTAATGATTTACAAACGAAAACACAATGTTTTTAAGACATTTGAACGTTTTCGTTCTGGAAATTTCGACTGCAAAACAACTCTGGCAGCTCCAAGTTGTAAAATTGAAGTTTGTAGATAGCAGATCCATCGCAACCACGTCAAACAGGTTGCGGTGTTGGTTTACACACTTGATTTAATATTCCCTCATGAATTGAGTAGACAATTCGCGACGACAAACGCCGTAAACCTCAATACACTAAACCCCATATATATAAACAAAAACATTATCTGAAACATGCAGGTGCACGCATGGCAAACCAACCAAATGGTCGCGCGCACGAAAATTGACGGCTTGCGGCGTTTAGTGAACAAGTTCGGCGCGTGCGAGCCGAGCAGCTTAAATCTGGCCAGATGATTACAGCAGATGTGTGTTGTCAGCAATTGAGAAACCATAATGGAAAAGCTAGTTGCTAAACAACCGAGGCTGGTCATTCGCCGCGCGCCGCGACAACGCCAGACCACACACTGGCAACTGACATTTGCCCAATTAGAAGAGATGCGCGCTAAGACTTTACAATTGCTCATCGCGCTCTTGCTCCAACAGATTACCATTTTTTTCGAAATTTGGATAACTGATTGGGAAAAAATTCAAATCGATGGTTCTGTCCAAAGTACAAAAAATTGATATGTCCAAATGTTCCCGTTCAAATGTTTTTTTCACTAAAGGGAACAATAAAGGCGCGCGATTTAAATAGCAATGGTACATAGTTTGATTAAATAAACATGTTATATTTGAAAAAAAATACTTCAGATAAAAACACACACATATTTAGAAATATTATTCAGACTTATATTTATAATGACAGCACCATTTTTGGCTGGTTATTTAGAAAAAATCTACCTTAAACTTGTAAATAAAAATAGTTTCCGTAAAATAAAAAAAAATACATAAAAGAAAACCTTAATATCATGAATTATTGCGCCGCCACGCAATACAACAAACGGAAATTTAGTTTCTTACTAGACTTGATTTCTCGAGTCTCGACTTTTCTCGAGCAAACAAAAGCCAATTATGATTACTCAGGACTTAATGGGCTGGGACCGTCCCGCTGTCGTCAGCACGGCCGAAATCCAAATGTCGCATTAAATAATACACATCGCCTGACTTGTATTTACGATGGGATTTGGCTGACGAATTTAATAAGAAATTTATAATTTGTATTTAAAACTTTTACGAGCCGTACAAATCGTATTGTACATTAGAAATGGAAAATAAAACAAGCATTGTATTTTTAAACTATTTTGCTAATTACTTTCATTTATATTTTATTATTTTGCTCAATTTATTCTCTTTCAAGTTAAGTTATATAACTTAGCATTTATTTTATTGAACCCACTTGATTTGAAGAAAATTAATTTTTTGCAGGTTCTTCGCCAGCTAGTGCGGGTGCTAGGTTTATGACTGAATTATTGGTGTGGTCATTACTTGGAGGCGGTGGGCTAACGGATGCCCTAAAACATGCTCTACAAGTTAATTCCTCGGACGCCTATAATCATTTGCAACTTGATACGTAAGTTATAACATTTACTGAATATTGTGAAAAAAATTTCAAATTATTATTTAATAATTATTTTATTGTTTTTGTTTGTAGAAGCTATGACCAAGTAGATATAATAACTGGACAATGCAAGACTCGTCAAGCAGCGTCATCTTGTGAAAACGGGGAAACTGTGCAAGGTATAAAAATAAACTTTTTTTTTAAAATCGTTATTGTTTTTTTTATTGCAATAATATTGTTGCCTTTATTACAGGATTCACGGAGGAATATCAAATAAATAATGCTACATCTTCAGATAAAGGGGCATCTGTACCTCTTATGCATCTGGTTAGTATAATGACGAATATTTGAATCAAACAATAAATGTAGAGTTACATTTTTACTTATTAAGGATTGGTCGGATATTACGATGTGCAAATTAAGATATTTCTGCTATGTAAATATAGAATTGTGCTCTGATGTAATGTAATTTTAATTCCGTAGGTAAAACATCTGATTAGAAACACTAGTAGCCAGACACAAATGCATATAAGTTGTATTATTAACGGCAATACAAGCAAGACTGACGATCCAAAGGGACACGACACCGTTAGCCCTAGCTGTGAGCTTCTTATTCGATTCCAAAGGTATGTATAATTCTATATATTAATATTTATATAATTGTTGGCTTCTCGACTTATATTATTAAGAAAAATAAAAACCCGTCTTTCTCCGTCACAAATATTACGTATATGCCAAAATTCATGACGATTAGTTGAGTTTCCTAAAAACTAAACTTATTTTATCCCTTTGTATTTTTCTTCATTAATATATCCTATATGATCTATATTCAACTAGCTGATCTCGCAAACGGTGTTTTGCCATATAAATTACTATCGCTATTAATAAATTGGGGTTGGTGATAGAAAGGTGAAAATTTTGGGTGATATGTATGTATTCAATAAAGCCATATTGTAAAAAAAATTGTCCTAAAAATTAAAATGATAGGGGTAGACAACCGTTATCACTTAGGGATATGAAAAATAGATAGTAATCGATTCTCAGATCTACCTACTACCTTATAAATTTCCATAAAATTCGATCAAACTATTTCGGAGGAGTATGGTAACTAATATCGTGACATGAGATTTTTGTATATAAGATATCCATTATTTGCTATTTATCAGACGTGTATGTTGCACGTGCAGGTTGTTATTCTGCGAGGCGATGTGGTGCCGCGGTGGGCGCGGTACACGTGGCGGCGTGCGCGCGCTGCTCGCGCAGTACACGGCGCTGCTGGCCGACCACGTGCACGCCACGCTCACGAGCTTCACGCGCGCCGTGCACCGCGCGGACAACGACCAGCTCGCGGCGCTCTGCGACCTCATCGCCGCTGACATCGTTGGTGAGCGAATGATGAGCGCATCATAATTTTTATTAATAAAAAAAATCTCTTAAAACAATTTCGAATGATAACGATAAAATTTAAAACATTTACTACTACTCGTACTCGCATCGTAATATGCGTATTAAAATATCTGTACTTGCGACGTAGTATTTGGAATGACAATAGATTGTTGGTAAACCGATTGTAATTAATCAAACAATAAAAATTAAAGAGTACCAGTGAAAGTCATATTCATATAGTTTGAATCCTTTCTGCGATTATCGTAAACATATGTGCAAACAAATATTTTTAACAATTTTTTTGAGGTTTGTTGCATTAATACCACGTATAGAAATTGATTTTTAAGAAATTATATTAATTCACAGACATAGTTCGTACATCTATGATGGGGAGCGATTATTAATGTTTGTTACATTATATATTAACTTTTTCTTTAGGCCGAGTAATCAGCGAATTGAATGCTTGGGTTAACGCTTGCGCTAGTCGCTCGCCCGGTGCCTTGACTGATTCTGCTAGTTCACTAGTAAAAATAGCACGTGCTTGTGATGAAGCCGCGCGGTGTCTACCTTCTTCTGCCAAATTGGATGCTGATTTACTAGGATGGCCTGGACTAGTATCTAAGAGACACCAATTGAACAACAGTATTATACGAAAGTAAGTATTGTATATTTTACTATTCAAATAAAAAATGTAATTAGGCGGCCTCCTTTGTTTATTCTAAATTTGTACCACATATTGTAAAATGACTTTGTCAGTTCTTTGTTGCAAATAACAAACTCTTACAAGTTTATGATTACATTAACTGCATAGCTGAATATAAATGCTATCTTTTATAATCAACGATAACTTTGCACACAGTGTGAGATATATTATCTTTAAGAAAGAGATACATAAGAGTGAGGATATATATTAAGTGGGCCATACATTAGGTTTCTAAAAAGGCCAATTAAAATTACATTCATGTAACCAATGGGCTTTTAGGAATATATTAATAGTTATAGATATAGCGAAACCAGTGCCTTTATACTGACTAATCGGCGTACTATTTAGATTTGGTGTATTGTGTCATTTTGCTGTAAATGAATATAAAAAATTCAATAAAATTTATAGATGTGATCTTCAAAATCACACAAAAGATGGTGGCGCATGGATCGTAGTAAGCGGGCATGTCTACGACGTAGAAAACTTTGAATGTGAAAGCGCCAGTACCGTGGAGGTGATACGGAAGCTGCGCGGGTGCGACGCGACTGCCGCGCTCAGCGTAGAGCCACATGCTGCTTATCTGTCGCGCATAACGACCAAGTGCGTTGGCTTGTACGCAGACCAAATCTACACACACAAGTGTCAGGTGAGTGTTTCATTGGAATTACTTATCTGCTAAGTAAATATAATGTGCCTACAGTTGTAATATTTCTATCAATATTCGACACCCATCCATTTGTTTCCGTCATCACATTACTTAGATTTAACTTCAGTGAATGTTTCGTTTCGCGTTTCTAATAAGCCATGTAGCACAGGATCAAATAAACTTACTAATTTAATTCAATTATTACACCTGTTTCTCACTACATACATACTACAGGAAAAAAATAAATAAAGTAGCGACCTTATCACGTCATATATAACGCTACAGTGGTGAGGTGATAACCATCGCGCTAGAATTGGTGATCCCGACGAACGCTGCTACAATATACTGTGAAAATGAATCTTTAACTGTTATGGAACTGATAAGTAGATTGTATCGATATTTTTTTATTTCATTTTAGGAGAATACATCAAGTCTCCGTGCTTACCACGTACTATCTTCGAGTGCGTTTCATTTAGCGGTGGGTCTGACTCAGTGCGGAGCGAGACTTGCTCGCTCGCTACCTGTGCAGCCAGCGGAGCGAGACGCAGCGCCTTACGCCGCTGCCGTATTTCTTAGAGGCGGTCTTCAAGTAATTATTAGTATATGTTATATTTTAATCTAACCATTTTTATATAACTATATATATAACTTTCAACCGTATTTTTTTACAATAATTCCTTCATCACATCTTAATTCATTTACTTTCACTGTACATCTCTTTTAGAATTTGTATTTTTTTTTGTTTAGATTTCTGTTATTTGTTCAGATAATGTATAGTACTAGTTTATATAATTTTTAATTAGTGCATTATCAACATTGCGTTGTCTTTATCCCATTTTTGTGGTCGGAGCAGAAGTCATTGTTAATTAGATGTAGTAATTACTAATTAGTACTACATGATATATAATTTAATAAGGGATAATAATGATTTATTTATATATTTTATACGTAGGATATTAAAATTTTTGTATAAATCATTTGATTGTCTAACTTGTTTAATGTAAAATGTTCGTATAAATAAATCGCGATGGAGCAGTTAGCAATTCAGTTTGTAAGTATTCTTTAATTACAATATTTAATTACAGGTATCACAACTAACGAACCCGTTCGAGGAGGAAAAAGCGGAAGCCCGTAGCGGTTCATCAACGGGCGGAAACAGTCCTGCAAGCGATGCACCGCCCGCACGTAACTCGCGTCCGCCTCCTAAGAGTAACGTCAACACCTCGCATGCTCGCGCTGATGCGTTGTTGTACGCGCTCGCTGAACCTAAATTGCATGTAAGATTTACACATTTTTTTAAAACGCTGGAAGATTTATGTATACGCGATGTAGGGCAAATATATCTAATGCCAGTAATAGGTCAAAAAGATTAATTTGTTGTATTACAATAATGTTTGTGACATATTTTTTGTTGTTAATATTCACTTTCGAGAATATTATGTATATACTTATTATTTTATTACTTAGCTTTATAGCTTTAAGTAAACAGAATACTTTTTATTAAATACAGTTGAATTAACTATTTATAAAATATAGTATACATAAATAACAAAGTAGCTATAATTAATAGCTTATTGCTTAATTATTGTTAATGTTCAACAATTTCTATCAATTATTCAGGATCCTTTAGCATTACATCTGTGGTGGGCATGCGAGAGGCGAGAAGGTTGCGCGCCACACTTTCCTCCGGAACATCCATTAGAAGAGTTGAGACGAGCAATCGCCACACTTTAGCCTCCAGGAACATCCATTAGAATAAAAATATCTTTATACTAAGAGACGAATGTAATGCTGGCTATAATTTTTTTTTTATATTTTTGCGTCATACATATTCCATGCTGGGGCTTAATTTTTGTGGTAATAAAATATTGATAAAATGTGAACAATATACGCTAGAAATTAAAATGAAGATGCTATTGGAACTACAGCTGCTGCAGGTAAATCCTTTGTTCCAGTCTCTAAAATTATTCTGTTGGAATGAATTGAACTTTAACTAGACAATATAAAGACCAATAAAAATAAATACTCTTGCATTCATTTGTTTGTGTGAAAACTCTAGTGTTGAAGTCTTTGGAAATGGTGAAAAGCAAGTTGTTGAGCAAAATGTCCAGAACCACCGCAATTAAAAGTAGAGGCCTATTATATGTTTTAAATGTATGGACATAGTTCCACTTAAAAGGGACAAGAAGGGAAATGTATCCAAAATAGAACAAGATACAACGGATTACCTTTGTCCTGTAGTTGTATCTAGATTGGAAAACAGAAATTGTGACAAATGGGTAATTTATTTATGGAACATCGGACATGGATTCGGTATGGACTTACTCAGAAAAGGTCTAGCCGTTTGAGTGGAGTACACGGAGGTTGAAAAGGAACCGTGTATATATTTTACTATGTTGTATTTTTGATACTGTTGTTTTTGTTACGTTGTATTTTGTTATATATATATGTTTTGATTATATGTTGAGAAAACTCTTTTGATATTAATATATTTAAAGGTTTTTTCTATTCTATTCAAAAATATAAAAAAAAATTATCATTAATAGTTTTATTACATATTTATACAACAATGAGGTTATAATTTCTAATTCAATTTTATCTTTATTGTTATGTATAGAAATGGAAAAGGGTGAAGTTAAATTATCGCCTGCCATGTCAGAGATCGTTAAAGCAGTACAGCAAAGCAAATGGACTCTAATGAGGACAAGACAACAGTTATCGCGTGGATATAAGGAGGTAAGATCTTTTTCTTGTTATTTAATTATGTTATTTACCCATAACATAATTAAATAACAGCTACATAAATATTAAACATTTTAGACTCGTAAATACTATATATGCTAGAATATATGTATGTATTCATAGAATACGAATGTTTGTAGGAAATTATACAAATCGAAGTCAGGTGCTATTATTCTGTACTGTTATATTGATTATGTAATCACGTTTATTTGTTAGGTATGCGCTGCACCATTAGAGCGCGCGCGGTTCCTTCTGCACGAAGTACGCGCGGCCGTATCGCCGGCGGTCGCTGCGCTGCAGAAACGTCCGCCCTCACATCGCCCTCCCACTGCCAAGAGAATTTTCCAGAAGGTCATGCGGGCCGCGAAGACGCCTAGTTTTAATAAATGGTAAGTTTTTTATACATTATGGTTACGCAAAATTGCAAAAATTGCATATAGTATAAACTTAATTCGCGAGCTACTACAGATATTACAGTGTACTTCGAGACATTGTAATGTCTACATGTGGTTATTATAATCAGATAGCTTGTTCACTAGTTTGCCATTAGAAGTCGTATAATAATCCTTTCTCAATAAGAACCATGTTGAATTCCGATTGCAGTTTTGAAACAACTAAAGACTTAAGAAATAGACAAAACAGTTTAAGCAAAAGCATGTTAAAAGCGACCGGAAGTTTATTACAAGGTGACGCTTTGCTAATAAAGTCCTCAATTGCTAACGCATCTACCAAAACTCCAGAGGATATCCCGCCGAGTATTATTGTAGAAACGTCAAGAGGGCATTTAATTGAAGGTGTTGGTGACATTAAAGAATTATCAAATCAAATAACGAAATCTAAATTAAAAATAAAAGATAAACCTCTTGAGAAGGACATGAAAAATGCATCAAACTACGATGACATGCGCAATGAAGGACGTAGTGACTATAAACTGATCGAGAGAGAGGATATACTGGATAAAGACATTGACGATAAGACGCCTACAAACGAAATATCTATGAGTTCCATGAACGATATGACTGACAATTCGGTTTTGAAAGAATCAATGGAAAGTGAGAAACAAGTAATGTTGCTTGCTGATGATCTTAAAAATGACCTCATTATGGCTAATGAAGAAAAAGACGACGATAACTCTGAAAGAAATAAATTTGTTAATGCTTGGGTCTCTAGACTAGCTTGCGATGAAAAAGGTAAGTTTTTATACTACTATTATATATCTACTACTAGGTATATACCAATACGAACATAATAAATATGATATTGTTTTTTAGATTTATATTGGATGCTCGAAGAAGTAACCCCAGAGCAGCAAAGTTTAACTACTGCCGTTATTGACTTCGTTATGACTGAAAATCCGTGCGATATTGATATTCTTAGAAGGGCTTTATACTGCCAGGTAATTTTGCATGTCCAGATTTACACTGCATTGTATGTGATAATAGTTCTTATAATGTTGTTTATTTTAGGTGCAAAGAGCAGAGATGAGACGAAATGGATACGATATGATAAATTCTATTTTACATTCATCACAGACCATGTCTGAGAGTGTTAAGTATGCTGCCTTAGTTGGTTTACTAGGTGCATCATTTGCAGATTCAGTTCCGCCAATACCTCTAAAACCTACCATACCGCTGACCCCGCCACTTGCAGGAATTGAATCTGTAATACCATATTCAAAATATATGGTGCTTCTGGAAAGATCGAAGTTAATGGATTTTATTCTCATAGAATTGAAGGCGAGAGTTTTAGAAGGCGAACATACGCAACCGCTACCATTGAAGATGAGTGCTAATTATGGAGCACATGCTTTGTTGAATCGACCTTCTAGGGCACGGTTTGTATTTTAGAATATTATATTATCGAATTACCTATAATAAGTAAAACCTCAAGCATACAGATTTTAACTACTGGAGTTTTTTGTCATTTTCTTTTAAATTAATTGCGACAAAATTATGTTATAGTCCAATATCTGAAATAGGTGATTGTGAGACTAATTTTAAATGTCTAGTTTCATTTTTTTTAATGCATATGAATGTCTTTTCTTAATGTAAACCACTTTTTAGGCAATATAAAGATAGTAAGTGTGTTATTATTTAAAGTTTATAATATTTTAGGTTCTTAATAACGCTGCTATCCCTACTCATTGAAGGATGTCAAGGACCAGAGCTCGAACAACTGATAAATAGCGGAGCATTAAGCTCTTGTTTGACATTATTAAAACAAATTGGTGGTGATACATCTCAACATGCTTCTTTACTTTGTAATGGTCTTAAATCAAAAAGTAAGTAAAAGGTATAAACAAATATTTTTAAATTTTATAGGAAAGAATCAGAAATCACTCTCAATTATTTTTTTCTAGTGGATTGTTTAATTATCTATGAAGATGAACGCTTAGGTGCTCGCGCTCGAGGTGCTTCTCTATCAGGGCCTGAACTTGCATCATTAATGAAAATTGGAACACGTGTAGTCCGTGGCAAGGACTGGAAATGGGGTGATCAAGTAAGCGATAATTATGTTGATATACTTTGTTACATATTTTATCATTTGAAATTAATATGTAATTGGGTATGTGTTAATTTGACGTATCTAGTGGGTCTTGCTTAAAATAAAATGTAAAATGACTATAAAAGTCGTTAAAATTGCTTTTGCATAACTATAACTAAAATGAAACGAATGTTCTTAATATTGTATAATTAAGTTAATTATTGCCACTTTGTAATGAAGGATGGAGTGCCAGGCGGGGAGGGTCGGGTGATCGGTGAGCTCGGCGAGGATGGGTGGGTGCGGGTAGCTTGGGACGCGGGTGGAACGAACTCCTACCGAATGGGTAAAGAGGGCAAGTACGACCTAAAACTCGCACGTTCACCGTCTCCACCGCCATCTATTGACGAGACAGTTCATGGAACTGGTGAGTCAATATTTTTTATATACAGTTTAATTGTTTATTTATATGTGTACTGTATATATCGCTTTCGAAGTTTTTGTTAAAGCTGTGACGGAGAGTAGAAGTGAAGAGAAAGGATTGTGTACCTGAACTGTTTTATATTTAAACACTTTAAAATTATCTTGATTTGTGATTCTGTCGCCTGCCTAATGTAGACTTAGGCAAAAAACAAGAAAGCTGTATAATTCTGTATATTTAGCATCATAAAACCTAGTATTTATATACATCAAATTTATGGCAACGTACATAAGTACATTTATACACAGAAAAGCATAAATTAGTTGTTATATCCCTTATATCAATAAGGCAGTGAAATTATAGTAGTAGTAAATACCACGATATTAATTATCCGGAATCGCATGCATTAGTCACGGGCTTCAGATAACGTGATATCCGTAGTGCTGTCTGTTTAATCTTTATTCAAATATACTTAATATAAGCACTTTTAAATAGTCATAATTTTTTTATTCTACCCCTCATTCGGATCGCAGTGTTATCACAAAAAAAATGAGCAAGAAATTTGCGTGTTGCTCTTTTAAATAAATGTTATGCTGCATAATTAAGAAATCGTTAACTGTAATGGCTTAAAAAATAAAAAGGTCGTTTTGTCTAGTGGACAACACAATCGAGTGGTGGCCGGTGAGCGAGGTGCGCGCGGCGTGCACGGGCGCGGTGCGGGCGCTGTGTGCGGGCGCGGGGGCGGCGGCGGGCGCGGCGCGGGCGGCGGCCTCGCGACGGAACGTGGCCGCGCTGCAGCGCCGCCTACTCACGCTCGCACACACGCACTCCACGCCGCCGCCCACCGCATTCGCCGCCCAACAACATACGGCCCTCGCCTTAGTTAGAGGTACCTGTTGCGGAACTTACTTTCTATCATACGCTTTCTTTTATATCTAGTAAAGTACTTAATTTAAAGTAATCCATCCCCTCAATGTAGGCCACGATCCCGATACTTGACGGAGACAACTCTGTTACAATTTAAAATGAAAAAGTTATTATATATATTTAAATTGCGTATAAAGTGACTGTTTTAAAGAGTAATTACAGTTTCTCGTAAATTAATGACTCAAGCTAGCTAAGCTTAAGTTTGTATAATAATGATGATCTTGTATTAATATTTGATGTTCAATTTCAGCAAGCGCCCAGAGTCCTGAGATGAGAATATCATTGTGCACTGACTCGTGGTTTGAACTATGTTATAGTATTATTTCGATCACTGATAAACCTATATCACAAGATCTAGTGTACCTCCAAGTGAGTCATGACTTTTTAATGTGTTCATAACTAATTTAGATATTTAAGTCATGAAAAGTTATATTATTATCAAGAATTATGACTTAAAAACTTTTTGTTTATGACTAACAACCATCCCCGGTTTCTTACGTATCCAGTATAAATAAAGTGCCTGAGTTTTTCTGTATTAAGATGCATGAATAATACATATAATCGTTGCTCATTAAAATTACCAATTTCTATTGATGAGACAAAGTCCAATTATTACTATCCTAATTATTTTACCATGTTCTTTTAAATAGGCGTCAATTATAATACTTTCAGATCCAGGCACTGTGGTTGCTGCGACGAGTATTAGTAGAACATAACGGACCTAATGAGTGGCGGCGTACAGTTGGAGCGCAACTGTTGGCATTAATTGGACGGCTGTGGTTAGAGACACATGCATCTGACACAGCGTTGCGACCTAACCATAACGCTATCACTCCCAGCGGCGATGAAGAAGAAATTGGTATGTAAAAAACAAACTTATATATCGATGTGACATTTTTCTACTTATTTCACAATTTAACTGATGCGAAAAATCTTAGGTATCTGCTTTTTTATTGAATATAATGGAATAGTGCATTCGCCTACGATATCGGTATACGCGACCCGTGTAAGATGATAGTATGCGTATGAAGTCAGATTTCTTAACCTACTTACAAAATGTCGGATAATCGATCGTGGTTTACACTCGTGTGGACGTTTAGACAACAGATGGCGCGCGCCAGCGACGGCGAGCTACACGGGCGCGACGTGCGCGGCGCTGGTGCAGCTGGTGCGGCAGCTGCACGCCGCGCCGCAGTGGCACACGCCGCTCTCCGCGCTGCTGCTCGACAAGCTGCAGCTCGCCGCACAAATGGTACCCGTCAGCTGCACGCAATATACACGCTTATCATCATCATCATTATCTACTTCTTTGTCACATACCTTGCCATTTCATCTAAAAATTATGTCATAGGTTGAGTGGGAGGGATAGAGTCGGCAAAATGTGACATTCTGTGACAAGGACTGAGACGTACCTTAATTTTCAAGACGTCACTTCTAAACATCTATTATATCTAAAATATCTATTTTATATGCGACATTCATGCAGTCCTGTGACATGAGAGATATATGAGAAATATATATATTTAATTTAAACTTATTTTATTTTTATATTGACAGGTAACAAGTGATTGGCATTGGTGGCCACATACTAGTCAAGATTTGACACAGACGATCAAACCAGCTCCGCCCACGCTCGACACGTGTTTGATTGGTACGATAACTTACATTTTCTGTACATAATCTAATATTCCAAAACCGTAAGATCGTAACTTGAATATCGGTTTATTGACAGCGGGCGTCTTGGGAGTGGTTGGTGGTGTCGAGTGGCGTATAAGGTTAGGTCAACGTGTTACCGCTGGATCACCGCCTCGGAACGCCGTCGTCACACAACTGTCACCTAGAGCAAAAATCACTTTAGTGCACGACGACAACACGCATACTAAGGTACTGGTTATATTCAATAACTTACTTTCTAGTTATAAATGCAATTGGGAAGAAGCTATATGTGATACGTTATTTATAACGTATATTGTATAAGATCTCTTCTCTAAACTTAGAAATTGGCTGATACGTAAGTATTTGTACATATTTATGAAAAGAATCTAACAGGACATTTATCGTGATATGTTTGATATGCTGCCAATATGTCGATGCTAATACAAGCATCCTGATAAATAACCGAGGATGTAATAGGCATTAAAATATCGGGAAATCGTAAAAATTATAGTCATCACAATACTAAATATTCATTATTTAGTATTGTGATGACTATAATTTTTACGTCTACGTACTACGTACGTTTCACAACTCATTTAAGTATGTTGGAAACGGTATTTGTTGTTATTTAACCAGAGTGAACTGAGCGGGATACAAAGTTCAGAGTTGGACCGGCTAAGTCAACCGCTAGGCGGAGGCGAGAGTGCATTGCGGGTATGTGCATCGCTATTAGGTGCTGGACCGCAGGCCTCACCGATGCATCCTCATCACTTACCCGGTATGTATCAAGATGAATCAATTTATGCTAAAAGTAGAGATTGGTAAAGAATGATTATAGAGTCAAGACCGTCTTTTGTATTATTTGGTCTATAAAGTTATTATTTTACCACTCATTCGGAACGCAAACTCATGACAAGAAGAATGAGCGCGAAATTCGCGCGTTGCTCATATAAATTAACGTTCTTTAGAATTACATTTATAAGAATTTGTGTGAATTCAAATTACTTCCAAATAACAAAGATGACATAAGTCAGCAAGTTCAAATAAAACATTAAAATAAACAATAGGTATAGTGATTAATTTAGTTACTTGTTAATTTTAGCCGAAATAGACTTGTATGGGCTTAGAAAACAGCAAATGGAATTACTAACTCTGTGTGCTGTACGTGGGCTATTGACTACACGCACACGCCTTCGGAAAGTGTTGATGCAGCCGCCTGATAATGCCGGTAAGAAAATTTATAATATAAAATATTATAAATCGTAAGTGTTACAGGTACACTCCATACCATAAACTTATGTATATGGAAATTTTACTATTTCTATCTTTTTTAAATAACGTATGTGTTTAATTAGCACAAAGAAGTCTTAAATAATCCTTGTATGCAAACTACCAACAAGCACTAATTTTTGGGTCAAATATAAATATGCAATAAGATTAAATCAGTCGTAGTGATAAGAGCAGACAATTCCCTAAAAGCAGCACTCGTTCACGATTGACGGATGAGCCAGCCATCACTGCACCATATTTTAGTTGACCCGGCCCACCACGCCGCCAAACATTTTAGATTTAATCACAGCTATAAAAATTACTATATGGTATAGTTGTTTGTATTAGTACGCTATCATATATCAAGAAAGCAGTATGAAAATTAAAATTATAACGTTGTCCGCAAATAAACTTATTCTTGTATATATTGCTATCACTCATCTATCTTACAAAAATTTGTTTAATATAAGATGCTTTATATTTGGCAGTTTATTATATCTTACGCAATTGAATTACTAACTTTGTGTAGACGGCATTTAGGTAAAAGTAGCTTATTTTTACGTAAGTTTCTAACAGTCTTTAAGTTTCTTGAAACTATCTAAGTTTTTCCTTGTATACATAATATTTTCATAAATGTATGTGAGGCAACGGTGAGGATATTTGATTGTTTAAAGCATGAAATGTCCTGAGATTTTATTATTAATATTAGTATTTATATCAACAAATTAATATATATTAATATAAAATACTGTTAATACCTTCTAATTGTTGTCTACATCATAAATTTTATTCCTAAAAAAACTGTAAAATTTACTTTTCATCATTAAGCAATAGCTGCGTATTTACTTGTTTTAATTAGGCAGCGTGAATTTAATGCACTTAGTTTTGTTGGAGTTCAATAATAGATTATTACAAACCAATTTAAAGCAGAGATAGCATAATTTACATCGTCTAATTGATTACATTGGCGACCAATTTTAAACACTAACGAAGTATCATCCGCAAATAACACTATATCTGCAACTTTCTCTACCATGTAGGGAAGGTCATTTATATAAATTAAAAAAGAGAAACGGGCCTAATATTGAACCTTGAGGAACGCCCATTTTTATATTAGTTCCCTTAGACTTTACACCATCAATATCTACAGTTTGCACCCTATCCTCTAGATAAGTTTTCATTAGACTTAGGTCATTATCTCTAATACCATAATGTTTGAGCTTGTACAAAAGTGTTTCAGGATCTACGCAATCAAACGCCTTCGACAAGTCACAAAAAACGCCGAGAGCATCCTGTGAGTTTTCCCATGATTCGAATATATGTGTAATAAGCGCTACGCCTGCATCAGTAGTAGACTTGCCGGCAGTGAAACCATATTGCTGACTGTGAAGCAGTCCGTTATCCCTGAAGTTGATTGATTGATTGATTTGATTTAATGGGTATAGTTGTTTGTATTAGTCTGGGTGTTTTCTATGTATATTAACTCTTTACAAAAATAATGTGCTTTATATTTATATCAGTTGACTAGTACTTATACACAAGCTCTGCTTAGCTTGTGACTAGATGGCGCTGCATGAAATGTCCTGAGATTTTATTATTAATATTAAATACAACAAATTAATATATATTAATATAAAATACCGTTTACGAGTTGACATCATAAATTTTATTCCCGTAAAATACTTATTCGGAAAAAATAAAACTAAATAAGCAAATAAAGCTACAGATAGTAGCGCTTATTTCATGATAATATTACAGGTACTTTGGAAAGAGGGACCTGTCTAGGAACCGAGGGTACATTGTTACGGCGCCTCTTGGCATTGGCGACGCGGCCCAGTCCACTATCTGCCTCGCACACGCCGCGCGAGCTCACGGCCGCTGCACTCACTATAGTACAACAGTTGGCAGCGCATGTTAATGGTACGTAATTAGGATAATAGAAATGCGGTCTCATTGTTATAGTGCTTGTTATCAACCTCGTTGGACACTTAGTAAATTAATGTTATCAGTAAGGATATGATCCTGATTTTTTGCCCTTTATATAAAACCAGCGGACGACAATTGTCTTTTGATGTTTTTTAATAAAATCACCCTACTAATTGGTCTTACCGACCATAAGTACCGCAGATCGGAGGTAAGAAATACTATCTTCCCTAACCACTACTTTACGCCTTTTATGGAACTATTAAGTTCTATAAAATGCGTAAAAGTCTAATGTTATTTTTAACGGAACGTCTACAGTTTGCAATAGCGTACACTATCTAGTATCAGCAGTATTATACATACTTTTTTTTATTATACTCTATTTTTATTACTTTACTAAAAATTCGCCAATATTGGTCAGGTGGCGTTGCCGATGTACGGTTTCCTTTATAGAAACGCCTTATAATACATTTTCAAATAATTTTAGGTGAAGAGAAAGAGCACGAGTCTCCACCCGATTTACCCATTATTGACAAAAGTAACGTCATGCAGTTATCAATGGGCCCCTCGACTAGCACAGCTTCGTTGTGTAAGTAGCCAAAAATTGTTTTATATTTTAGTTTTTTGTCAATATTGACCAATGGGTCAAGGCTTACGAGTGTGAAACGTATTTACTCTTACATGGTTCTGTTCATCCTATGTCATAGTCATAACCTGCATACACGTGAGTTTCAGAAACGCACCTCACTATAATACACTCGTATACACTTAAACACACTTTTTCGCTTCTACATTATATATTAATATGCACATGCTAGAAGGGTAATTTCTGCTTTCTAATTCTGTTAAACATATAAGTCCTAGATAAGTATAGTCATTCCGTATAATTTAATATCATATCGTACCTAATTGCAGCTCGTAAAGATCTCAATACATGGGCGAACTCGTCGCAAGTACAACAAGTCATTGAAATGGGATTCTCCCGACATGCGGTTTACGCTGCGATTCAAGCTTTAGGTAACAATTGTTCGTATCCAAATTGTTATTAATATCATTTTTTTTAATATGTTTCATATTTATACAAGCTGTACCAAGTATATTTTATCTGTAAATGTACTGATTTGTTATTTGTTACAATATATATTTTGCAATTTATAAGTACCCTTATTCTAATGAATAATTGGGTTTAAATTAGTATAATAGTATTAATAACTGATTAGCGATTACATTACACAACCGCATGCACAATAAAGTACAACAAATCGTGTCCACGGTATTTTTGACAGAACGGTATATGTATTTTTAAATACTAAAAATAAACAATAATATATTAAGACTCAATAATTAGCTACTTACATATTCGTTTTTGTTATATTCAATCATTAAAATGTTTTTAGGCGGTACTAGTTTACCATCAGTGGAATCTCTAGTTGCATATTTACTAGAGCTACCTCAGCAAGGTATGGACGATACAGTGTTTGAAAAACCACACACGTCCAAAATTGAGAAGAAGCAAACGCCGTACCGGTGGCGTAGTTGTTTTGCATCCGAGGATGAGTATGCTCAGTATGTATCTGACGTCATCACACCTGGCATGACGGTGAGATGCTGTAAGGCATTCGAAAGTGTAAGTATTGTGTTATTAACCTGCGGTTTAATTTGCCTTTTAAAGATAAAAGATAGTGTGACTCATTTAATCATATAGTGTGACTCGTTTCATCAACTATTTCAAGTGAAATTTTATTAAGATCTGGAACATAATTATGTAATGATAAATTAACATCCTCTTCATTTCATTTAGGATTACAATCTACAACTTTGCAGTTATATACGGATTATTTAATAGTTGCAATTGTGAACAGTACAACTTAGGTGTTATCAGCTACTCTTGTTAATACATATTCATGTGGTTTATGTAGTTTTTATTTATCTTACGTTGTTACATTGACATTTCATACGTTTATTGGCATCGCGCTCGATATGTTTAATACTGTGTCATAATAATTGTTGTTAGACTGTACAAATTATTAATCTGATATAACTACGCTAAAGTAGTCTTTTTATATATTTTCAGGTGGCGTTAGGTGATGTTGGTCAAGTGCAAAAAGTTGAACGAGATATAAAACAAAACATCTTTCTTCATGTAAGATTTTTGTTTTCATTAATGTTCATGTTTACTTCCTGTTTCATTTATTGTTTTTAATTTAATTTATTTCTATTAGGTGGAATGGCGTGGTCTGGGTCGCGTATTCGGTGTACGTGCAGTGCACGCAGAAGTGGTGTCAGGCGGACCTCCCTTTGCACCTGGAGATAGGGTACGGGTACGCGCCGCCGTCACTCAGCCGCGATACAAATGGGGATGCATCGATCACTCCAGCGTCGGCACCGTTACCGGTACGTTTAGTACACCTGCACTTAATATTATTTCTACTTTTATCTCAACCATCCGAAAAAATAATAGCAATTGTGTTTATGGTGTACGTGCGTATGCGCTATCTTTATTGATTCTATATATTCAGGAAAATTGCTTTCGTGTTTCTACGTTACTAATATTGGATACGTATGACGTGACCTGTAACAGTTAAATATTTTTGCAGTCCCTATAATCTACTATCATATATATGTTTTCCACTATTTTTCAGGTATATCCGCAAACGGTCGTGACTTGACAGTTGACTTTCCTCAACAACCGGGTTGGACTGGACAAGTTAATGAAATGGAACTAGTAACAGATCAATGTTAGTGTTTATTTAATGTTAAAATTTTATGGTAGTCTTAATTAATGATTTGATGAATTAACAATTTTACCTTATATTATTTTTAAAAGTAATTTTTATTGTTTTTGTGGTCACCACACTCACATTGTGGAAATCTGTCGCGGTAGCGCCGACCAGTAGTATCCCTTTATGAAGGTGGACAGCATGTTGGCTTGTACCTTGACTACAAACGCTTTGAAGCTCACCTCACTGCGTCACACTCAGGTTCAGGTTACTCTTGGTCCAACTGTAATCTGCAATGTTCTGTTCTATAATACATGTAGTTGTATAAATGTTATTTTTATCTTGTAGCCGAATGGGGTGAAAGTGCTGGCGGATCAACTGTTGGATGGCGTGGAGCTGTGCGTGCTGTTCGCGTGTCATCTTGTCGTCCGGGTGCTGGGGCGAGGCGGTTAATAGACTCACAGCCGCACACCTATTGGCAGAGCTCTAGTGGCAATGGACAGGTGACAATCAAATAACTATAATAATCCGAATATTTGATATATTAGATATACGACTACTATATTAATTATAACAAGCAGCCTATTACTGTTTATGAAACAAATGCAGTATATAGTATTAACAATTCAGTATTTGTTTTTCGAATTGAATGTGTATTTGTTTCGAAACACACATATTGGTATAAAGATCGCGTGTGGTATACACTTTTAGTTGTAAAGATTATAATAAGTTAAAAGTCAATGCCTATTCTTGAAACTGCACAAAATCATCAATAAGTGAATAATTTAAAGTTATCAGAACATCATGGAAACTGCGTGGTGATGTGATCAATTTAGTACGAAAATTTATTTTCATATATCTAATATATTCCTCATCACTATAAGGACGCTCTAGAAATTAATAGTTGACTTGTATTTGTACAATATAATTGTCTGGCTAAAAGGTCGTAAAAATATTTAATATGAAAAAATCTAACTTTATTTTTATAATAACTAACCTTTACTTTAATTAACCATTTATATATTGTAACGTATAAAGCAGACCTTCATCGCTTCTTCTTTTGTCTTCGGCGATAAGTAATTTTTTGTTTTTTAATATACAGCACTGGATCCGCGTGGAGATGCGGTGCGGCGTCCGCATCCGCCGCCTGGGCCTGGGCGTGGCCGGCGGCGGGCACGGCGCGGCCGCGCTGTCTGTCCGCGCGGGCGGCTCGTTCGACGAGGCGGCGCTGGCCCCGCTGGCCGCCGTGCCGTGTGCACCGCCCTCCGCAACCGCACGAGACCGCCCGCCCGCACACCTCGCGCAGATACAGCTGCTCGCCGACTGCAAACAGGTTGGTTGGGAGATCGGGATCTGAAATAAATGGTTACCGTAGCCTATGGAAATAGTCACGTTGACTATTTACTAAATGTAGTAAACACGTAATGTATTTTATTTGGTGAATGTTACAGTTCTATCCGTGCATCGAGATCGGCATTAAGCAAAATCGCAACGTTAACGCAGATTGCCGCGTGCATGGCCTCTACATAACGGGATTTAGACCTAACCCTCTTTATAACGACGTTTTATTGGTGAGTTTATAATTTCTGGGAATACATTACTTAAATTTAGATTAGATTAAATTACTATAAATTTCATTTTCATTTCTATACACAAAACTAACCTGCTATTGTTGTTGTAGAGTATGAATTTTGTAGCCGAAGATTGGATGGAAAGAGATAACTCAATAAGTTCTGTAGCATCTGAAAATAACCCACCTGCTCTACCTAGTGACTGCCCGAAGGTAAGAAAATAAGAAAACTATGTTTAAATCATAAACAATTCAGAATATTGAGCCAAGGTGAAAAGTTTGTTTATTTTGCAGGTATTTGTATGGGGATTAAATGATAAAGACCAACTGGGTGGAGTAAAAGGTTCTAAAGTGAAAGTTCCAGTATTTTCTCCCAGCCTCAGCGCATTGCGACCTGTTCACATTGCTGGGGGTTCGAAAACACTTTTCATTGTATCTCATGACGGAAAAGTGAGTTATTATAATTTCTTAACAAACTTCTATTTGCCTTTTTCTATGTGTTTCATACTCTAAGGTAAATTCAAAGTGTACAATATCTATTTATATCTCCTACTATTTTCTAACAGATATTTATGGACTCAAATGAAGATCCCTGGAACATGTTAAGCCCCAGTAGACTGTAATTTTGTAGCCTAGTAGTAAATGAAGCCTTTTCTACTAATGACTTATTGTTGTAGTTATATGCGTGCGGAGAGGGCACGAATGGCCGACTCGGTCTGGGGCACAGTAATAACGTGTCAACGCCTCGAGCGAACCCGTACTTGTCACACGTGCTCGTGCGTCGCGTCGCCGTTCACTCGGGGGGAAAACACGCACTCGCCCTTACTGCAGATGGAAAGGTATGAAATATTTTCGCAAGTAATGATTTTCCGCCATATATATTATAGTTATTACTTCTTCTATAAAAGACTGCAGCATATCTTCTATTTTTTTAATAAGGTTTTGTGAGATAAATAGAGTTCTGGCAATTCACGTGTGCTATGTAATTAACGTCGATTATTTACATATTTTTTTAGGTTTATTCATGGGGTGAAGGTGAAGACGGTAAATTAGGTCACGGAAATCGCATCACACTTGAAATTCCACGACTAATTGAATCTTTGTCTGGAGAGCGAGTAGTGAGCATCGCCTGTGGTTCCGCCCACAGCGCATGCGTTACAGCCCGGGGTCATCTGTACACATGGGGCGTCGGCGAGTATGGGAGACTCGGCCATGGTGATGACATGACCCAGCTAGTACCTAAGATGGTAAGGAATAATTATGACATATTATTTTTAATCGTCATACATCAGTATATTGTACTTTTTTTGTGTATAGAGTATAAATACAAACTATACTAAGTTAGAAAGCGCATTTTCGTCGCACTTTATGATAAGTGGCAATCGTCATCTATATACAAGAAGAGCTGAGAGAAATGGTTATAACGTCGACATGTAATGCCTGTAGTGGTACTTCAGTGTAATACTTATACCTTGTTATTTCGTACAACCAAAACACAGCTTGAAAAAGAGTAAACATAGTACGAAATCTATATCTGCATTACAAAAGTAATTCTTATCAATGTGAACAATGTATCTTACAGACAAGTAATTTATGAATATATATTTTATTTTATTTATTCGTTTATAATGTTATTATCTTATAATTAGTATAATTCTTGTATTTATATGAATTATCATACTTGTACAATACTTTTAGGTGGAATCACTGGCCAGTGTCCGGGTAGTGCAAGTAGCGTGCGGATCGCGCGATGCCCAAACTTTAGCGCTGACGGCTTGTGGCAAGGTCTTCTCATGGGGAGATGGCGATTTTGGTAAATTAGGTAAAACCCGATAAGCACCACTATACCTTTACATATAAAAGACGAAAACTATCTGTTTGTTAAGGTTTCACATAAAAACAGTTACAGGATTTAGGATGACACGTTAACAGAATATGACACCAATTATGCGTACACACAAGTTTTATGTACGTGAATATTTTTTTATTTTACTTATTTGTTTTATTAGTTAATTAAATAGTGGTAGTAATAAATATAATAGCGTCGTATAGATGCTTTATTTATTGTTGTTACTTGTCGATCTATTATCGTTAATAAATGTCTAAAAATATATGCAACAAGTTTGTGATTACTTAATATATATTTTCAGGTCGTGGTGGCTCAGAAGGATGTGCAATTCCAATGAACATTGAAAGACTTAATACTCTGGGAGTAGTTCAGGTAGAATGCGGCGCTCAGTTCAGCCTAGCTTTAACTAGGGATGGAGAGGTAAGATTCATGAAAATATCTTCTAAGTTATTTAAAACATGAACATAAACATGTTATTCTTTTATATAATATTTTGCCCTATGGAATTTTGGTATTATTTCATAAACTTGTAATTTTAATTTAGATCACAAATCATTTATTTTCTAATAAATTTTATTGTCAATCACGAAAACCCACAATATGGTTCGAAATTAATTAAAACTAAAGGAATACCTACCTAGTATTTTAATTTAAACTTAGGTTTAATTCGTCGAAAAATATCTTAGTGGATAAATTGTCTTGTATGAACATTATGAGAATATATTTTTATTGCGGGCAACACTCAAAAAAATAATACAATGGAATTGAAAACCTCAGGTGTGGACGTGGGGTAAGGGCGACTATTTCCGCCTGGGACACGGGTGCGACGCGCACGTGCGGCGGCCCACGCTGGTGGAGGCGCTGCGCGGCCGCCGCGTGGTGCACGTCGCCGTCGGCGCGCTGCACTGCCTCGCCGTCACCGCCGACCACCAGGTGAGTGAGTGAGGTTGTTAGCACAACGCTATACTTCCGATGTATTCATGAGTATGATTGTTTGATCAGTTTGTGTGTTTTCTATATATATTTACAAAAAATATATTTCTATGTATTTTATCAATTGTTTAGTACTCATAACAGAAGATCTGCTATACTTAGGACTAGAATGTGTGAATTTTATTATTGCAACTACTTTCATGATGGTAATTTTATAAATACATCACATTATTTTTGTATCCTTAAGTTAGCTAAAGATCACCATTTACAAGTTTCCCACTCCCCGTCCAATTCAAACCGGGATCGAACTTGCGACGGCCTGAGCCTCAGACTAGTTTTATCCGTCAGGCAAGAGTTGGCCTTCAGTCGCTCCATAAGTCATTCCGCGGGTTTCTAGTGCTACACTCGCCCTCTAATATCTGGTGAAGCTGTAAAGGCCAGCTGCGACCATCAGCATTAGAGTAGTCCGAAAAAAAGTGCGCTAACTATCGATCAACAATGCGTAATTAGGTGTGGGCGTGGGGCGACAACGACCACGGGCAGCAAGGCAACGGCACCACGTGCGTGAACCGGCGGCCCGCGCTCGTGGGCGGCGTGGAGGGCGTGCAGCGCGCCGCCGCCGGCTCCTCGCACTCGGCCGCGTGGTCGCTGCGGCCCGCCGCCCTGCACGCGCACGCAGACACGCACACGCTGCACATCGCGCCGCTGGCGTTCCCCACGCTCAAGGATCCGCTCGGAGCTCAAAGTCTCGGTAAGTTAGTCTGATACCACTTGGAATAATTGCGCTATTACTGCCCTGAAATCTTACTAGTATTATAAACGCGGAAGTTTGTCCATCCACACGATGAATGCTTGTTCAAACAAAAACAATGAATGGATTTTAATCTAACTTGAAAATAATATAGCTTATATATTAGATCATGCGGGTGTAGCCGCGAACACAGATACTAGAGTATAATTATTGTGTAGAAACTAGTTATTGTGTTTTTTTTTATTTTTGCTCTTATAAAATTACAAAAGGAACATTAGAAGAATGTACTTAACAAAAAGCGATTTGTAATAGCTAACCCTTTAACCTACAAGGGAATTTAAGAAAAGCCCCTAAGGATTTTAAGAAATGCCGAATAGTGGCCGTATTACTGATAATGTACCATATTAGTAAGCCCCATGGAGACCATTATGAATAATTAACGAGACTATTGGTGCTCCACCAGCGTGAACCTTCAGTGCAAGTAGCACCTACTTATTTATTCTTTCAGTATAACCATTTAAAAAATATCGTCTTCCCCAAAACTTACTGTATTTTGTTGAAAAAGATGTTTTTTCACCAATTAATGTGTTCTTAGGATTGTATTCTGAAGAGATCGTGGTGGAAGAGCCTCAAGGTCCACGAGCGTCCTTAGCGGCTGCAGCTCTGGCGCTGGAGCCTCCCGTGGCTGTACAACATGCGTTATCGCTTATATTACTCGCATTACACATCACTCAGGTTAGTAGAAATTTAAACAAATGGAATTATGTCCATATCCATCTTGACTGCAACATTTGTATGTTTCACATGTTGAATCCTAAAGGTCGAAGTGGTAACAATTAAACATACAAATTTACTATCAGATTTATAATATTAATTATAAAGTAAAAGTAAAGATTTTCACGTAAACTATATTCTCCTTAATTGAATTGAAAAATGAGTTTTTATTTTAGTAATTATCTAGAAGCTCATTTGAAAAGCACTCCGAACTGACTGTAGATTTAGACATATCCTAAGAGTCTGTCTTAGACCTCCATGAATAAAGATATTTTTATTTGATTTGAATGATTTGTAGGCTGGTCTAAAAAATTTTATGTTGATCATATGTTTCTTCATGGCTGACAGGCACGCAGTTTATTAGTAGAAGCGTTGCGGGCACACGAAGCGTGTTCGACCGTAGCGCCTGTATCTGTCGGCATTGACACTGAGGACGAAGATGCCGAAGCAGACGCGCGCACTGGAGGCGGCGAGGCACCCGCGGATAGAGCCACATTGCCGGTAATTTTTCAAAAAGAGTGTTTACTATTTAGATTTTTTTAAATAATTAAAACCGAAATTTTCTAAAAGCACCGTTAGATATACTTTAAAATACACAAGCTCGTATAAAATCAAACCGACGTTACATATATGATATGTTCCTATAAGATCTAAAGTAAAGGTAATTAATTGGCATATGAACAAAGATTTATATTTTGTAAATAATTTAAATACCTCATTAACTCAACATTTTCTAACACGTACTTATTTTGGTTGGAATACTATTAACAGTTTTACTACTCATGTATTAATTCAAGCAGTAGCCGTATCCAACAAGCAATTTTTATTTTTATACACTGACTATTTATACTAGAGTAGCTGGATTCCACTGCGTTTATTTTTGAGTTTATCCATTAGAAAGTCCATTACTATTGACTATTTTCTTATTTTTAATATAAGTATAGATTTAATACATTACGACGTAAAAATATCATATCATCAAATATACACAGAGTGGAGCAAGTAGCCCCCTCAGTGGTTCAATATCGTCGCGACATTCGGCAGTGATGTCATCCAGCGCAGTGTCAGTGGCAGCCGCTACTATGACTGTACAACAAGCGGAGGCCCCTAAAGTGAGTCCATGTTATTTTCTATTGGTTTCAGGTACCTTAATTACTCATGACATATATGCTTTACATACTAACATACATATAAAATAACTAGTACCACGCGCAACTCCGTCTGCGTCCTTTTTTCCCGTTTATGTAACATTTTTCATAGCAGTACCGCTTCTATTGGTCGTAGCGTGATGTTATAGAGCTTATGCCACTCACAGATAACGTGGCTTTTTATTTTCAAAAGAATTTTAAAAATCGGTCCATACATTGCCCCTAGAATCTTACAAACTTTACCTATTTATAATATTAGTATAGATAACAAAAATATGCGTAAAAAATAATTATATAAACATTGACTAATGTACTGACAACGAAAATCTGCCTCGGTAGCACACTGCCCCTTTAGACCCAGTTCTTCCTTTATTAAGGTTAACAGTATGTTGGTTAGGAACAAACATATAGTATCTCGTATAATGTAAAAATAATCAATGTAGTTTTCTTAGCATTCGATTACTACTTTGACGAGAAGTAAGCAAAAGTAAACTGTCTTAGAAACAATAATTAATCTTGTGTTTTTACAGATGGCTTTGGATGACTTTACATCTCAACTTGGTGAGTCGGATGCGAGAGCTCTTGTGGATTTGCTCAAGTTGGCTGCTGCTGGACGGATACCAGATGCAAATAATGCTGTTAAGATCATCACTGACGTGTTGATGGGTATGTTTTTCGCTTTTAAAGACTGATAAAGATTGACATGCTTTAGTTAAGAGTCACTATTTTATTTTTAGGGCAGCTTTTTCTTAATACACCTTTTTCAAATTAATAACAAATTCATATCCTTTTCACAGCTATTTAATACACCTTAGTGCTAATCCCCTTTGTTTTTTTCAATACTCGTATTTTCCAAGTTTTCCTATTTTCACACCATTATTTCGTACATTATACTGCTACAAAAGAACACCACTAAAACATATTCCTTTCGTTCTCAGCGTTGTGTGCCAGCAAACCTGCCGTAGCAGACATGGTGGTAGAAGTGTGCGTGTGTGAACTGGAGGAGGCCGCTGCGGGCGGAGGGCGAACACCCCCGCAGCCTGTCACCGTCGACAGCCCGCATCCGTATGCAGATGACACTGATATATCTGGTATGAAAAAACTAGTAATAGTAGTCTAAATGTTCAGTGCTGTTAAATCAATATTTTTTCGGTAGGAGATTGTTAGTAATAGGGGCCCATTGCTAGCGTGTACCATATCATGTTCACGTACACATTTTTTTATGTATTTAGAATGGCAAACAAGCCGATGGCCCATCTGATAGTAAGCGGTAATCGTCGCCTATATATGTACATAGCACAACAAACATTGCGTTGCCATATCAGAGGACTAAGATGTCATGCCTCTTATGCTGTAATTTCACTGCCTAATCATACCCTGTAAACGAAACACATCTTGTAAAGCAAACTGCAAAATAGGTGAAATAGGTGAGACCACACAAACGATTTTTCACAGTCTATCTACATCATGGTAATTCTCTGGACTTACTGACCCGACCATAATGTCGATTAGAGTGAGCTAATGTTATCATCCTCATTAGTGCCCTACCAGAGCATACCGTTAGCACAGGCGTTTGCACTATTACATTATAAGCCAAAAATGTTTTTATTCTCCATTGTAATGTTTTTAATTCCTTATTAATGTATAATGTTATTTGTTAGGCGTTGTGAAGATTCCCGGCGCATCGTCACTTCGTGTGACCTTTGAGCAGGGCTGTTCTACAGAGCGTCGCAATGATCCACTCACTATATCCGACAATACAGGACGCGTAGTGGCTACGCGGTCAGGTCGCGAGACTACCGATTGGGTCCAAGAAATCATCGTACAAGGTACTATAATAATCATACTCATGAATAGCTAGCTGCCTTACGGTCCTTATATAGAATTAAAAACTTTCTACCGGTCAGTGCTAAATGTCTTTTGGTGTAGTCATTGATATTACCTATAATTTTCGATATTTAATTATGTGTGTAATCCGAACCTGAACCTCCTAAATAAAATTGATCGTTTATCATATTCGGTCTTTGTAAGTATCATATCTCACACTTCCGCTCTAACCTGATCAGGTTCATTGTGAAATAAAATTTTATAAGAGTGTTATATAATATTTTCGTCACGTGACTTATTAGTATTAAAAATTAATGGCTATAATAAGATGAGCGGTTAAATATAGATACATTTTTCTACAATAGGTGATGAACTACGATGGAGATTCACAAGTGATAGCTCCGTCAACGGCTGGGGTTGGAGATTCACTGCTCATCCTATATTACAGTCGTACTCTGTTGTTGTAAGTCCTTTCTTGTTGCCTTATTTGTACTTTATAAATACAGTATAAATTATTTTCTGTTGGTTAGTCACATATTATTTTTATTACTATTTTTTGTGTATTGTTCTAGGCAATAAAATATTAGAATTAGTTGGTTATTATATTTTATGTGTTACAATCAAAGTAGTTAATAATCACGTGAAACGTATTTTTTACTATTTTTTTACACAGAATGTCTTTTGACCAATAAGTGAAGAACGGAAATTTGTTGTAATAGATTATACTAACTATTACTTTTAATGTTTAGACTTATGACTCCGTTAAACGTTTTTTTTGTAGGAGACCGGTTCAGATCGCTACGTGTTGTCGTGTCCTTCAGTCGAGTTAGCGTGGCGCTTGTTAGATGGACCACTATTGGCTGCTATATCGAACGATCACCAATTAGCGCCGCGGCTAGCTCAAGCTCTTGCCATATGTGCCCAATTGCCCACTTTGTGTAAGTATACTATTTTTTATTTGCGTGGTAATCCAACGCGGTATCTGTTTAAAGGTAAATGGTTATTAGTTTATGGACTTTAAAAACTCTACACAAATAACTTACACTTATGTCCTGGTGATTTTGAGTGATTTGTGATAATAAGAATTTTCAATGTGTCCTAACCTTTCAAATGTAAATATAATCTATCTTTACCATTATCGAGGTCACGGTACGTATAAAGTTAATAGTCAGTTCTGTTTTGATACTAATATTCTACAGGCTCTCTTAAATTTTACCCTACAGCGTGGCGCGGACGCGTGTGGTGCGTGCGGCGACTGCGCGGCGTGGTTTGCGGCACGGGAGGGGGCGGGGGTGCGGGCGCGGGGGCGGCGGCGGAGGCAGGCACGGGCGCGCCCCCCGCGCTCCACCACCTGCCCGCGCTGCTGCACGCGCAGTACGAGCACGAGGAATCAGCGCTGCGGACCGGCACGCACCTTATGCATACGCACTATTTTAAGGTAACGTCCTCATTGTCGTACAACTTAGTGTAATGTTACGGTTAGTAGCCGTAATATTACACTAGGGTTGCCAACTTGAAATTTATAAAACCACGATTTGAAGTTGGATGCAGGAATGATCATATTTTTTACTAAAAGTATTTGAATTAAATTATGTCTGTTGAAAACGATTTAATAAAAGAGACGCGTGAACATTACAATTTAAAAACTAGGACATTGCTTAAAAACTATTGAGAATATCCCAGGCCACTACAAAAACTAGAACATGTCTTGGGAAAATGGGACAGTTAGCAACTTTTTGTAACACCAACATGTGATTTGATCAAAAGCTGTTTCTGATCAAAATTCGGCGTATTTGAGTACCTTTTTGCGACTATTTACTTGTAACGCTAGTAATTATAAACTAATGTTTTCTTGTTAATGTCAAACAGGAGCTAGTTTTGCTCGCATGCGGCTTGCGTATGGACACACGAGTATGTAATGGCCCCGATGCGGCTCGTTGGACGTGGTTCAAGCGCTACTGTCTCTGTATACGCACGGCCGACGCGCTTATACGTCGCGTGCCGATGCCTATAGCTTTCTTAGCGGACGTCCGCAAACGTCTAGCGGACCTGGGCATATATAATGTGGAAGAGAGTAGCACAGATGCGCAGTACCCCTGGGAAGACAACACGAAGTTTACTCGGCAACACGACGAACAGTTGCTGCACTGGGTTAATAAGTAAGTATGGTATAGATATTGTTACAAGAGAGAATAAAGATATTTCTTAATGCATAATTATTCAAAGCAAATATCTCAAATTCAAGATAAACCATAAATAAAATAAGCAATTGTTTATTAATGATTAAAGTACGATTGTTTTGCGCCAGGCGTCCGGAGGAGTGGAACGGGTGGTGGGGCGGTGGGGCACGTGGGTGCGCGGTGTATGGGTGGGGACACAACCACCGCGGGCAGCTGGGCGGCGTCGATGGCGCTAAGGTGCGTGCGCCCACACCCTGCCACGCGCTCGCCGCGCTCAACCCGGTGCAACTCGTCGGGGGCGAGCAGACGCTGTTCGCCGTCACGCCCGACGGGAAGCTCTATGCCACTGGTGAGCCTGCCATAACATCTGTTGTAACTGTTGCATGGTAATAATACGATATTGTCGGTTGAGACGATGTATATTACAGATGATAATGAAATGATAAAATGTACACAAAAATATTGATCTTCTATACTAAATAACAAAAGTAAAATTTAAGGGGGGTGACACAATATTTAGTATGTCTTACTGACCATAATTAATTGTAAATATTACTTTGAAGTAGATACTTCATATCATACATTCATAACTGTGTCCCATAGATATTCACCCCTGAAAAAAAAATTACACAACACATAAATTATAGTAGTTAACCCCCGCAACAAACAGCGTAGCCTAGATCCACACTATAAGGTCAATCACAGTTTGTTCGCGATCTGGTAAAATCTAATCATGTTCACATTCACATAACATCTTACATAGTTCACTTCACGATTCAGTCATTAAACCGTCAATAATCGAAGTCGGATGTATTTTAGAGTGGCCAAACCCAAATTTAAAACAACAGCATTTAAAATTGGAAAGAATTTTTATTTTAAAACCGAACTTCAAAATTTGAACATCCAGGACGTTGCTTAAGAATTATTCAGTACATCCTAAGACACTACAAAAATTGGGGCTTGTCCTTATAAAACAGGATGGTTGGTTACTCTAATATATTTGACTCATAAAACTGCTACTAATCTTGCTACCCAAGAACAATGCACATTGTACATATCCAATGCATTACATACGACAGTAGTATAGGTTATTTACTCGTTCGGTTCTGAAGTTAAATTGATATATTGTCCATTTTAGTATATTTACTCATGAAAATTTGTATATTATTTTACCTTTTTTTATAGGATATGGAGCAGGTGGTCGCCTAGGTATAGGTGGTATTGATTCCGTCGCTCAGCCTACTTTATTAGCATCCATTCAGCACATCTTTATAACTAAGGTAGTTAGTTCATTTTTGGATCTAAATATTTTAGTGCTTATAGCTGTAACAAACTGAATATTTAAAGGTATATAATGCAGTAGTAATAGTTACGTATTATAATTAAAACTTCTTTCTTGCAGGTCGCTTGTAATTCTGGAGGGAAACATTGTTTAGCGTTGTCATCTGATGGAGAAGTATACAGTTGGGGTGAAGGTGAAGATGGCAAATTGGGGCACGGCAACAGAGTGTAAGTGAACTTTGCGGCGATATAGCCGATTTTATCTTTATCGACTAATAAATATCATTTGTCTCCATATAATAGGAATTTTAAGGATGTAGTTTTTCTGTTAAACAGGAGCTACGACCGTCCTAAACTTATAACAGCCTTATCTGGCATGGAAGTAGTAGCTATTGCGTGCGGAGGAGCGCACTCGGCATGTCTGACGGCTCGTGGACGTATCTACACGTGGGGGAAGGGCCGATACGGACGGCTCGGTCATGGCGACTCGGAGGACCAACTGGTGCCGAAAATGGTTAGTAATAATAGCCATATTTATTATCTGTTCTGGCTAAATCAAGGAGTACGCTAAAAGCTAGTCTTTTCAGGGTCCTAAGGGCTCTAAGGTCTCTAAGGCTTTTTTTGCTATTCTAATTACACTTTGTAAGTTATTGTATTGCATATATTCGGGAGCTTGTCCAGGAGAAAACCTTCCGAACCGTAGTATACTGAGCTTAAATTAATGCAGTGAAAATGTCTTTCTTCGATAACCTCTTCTATCGAAGTAAGGTTACTCAAATGGTCTCACAAAATAGCAGTACTTGAACGTGTTAATTACTATTGAACGTGTTAATTACCATTTTAATTTTAGGTGGAAGCATTAACAGCTTTTCGCGTAATAGACGTCGCGTGCGGTTCTGGTGACGCTCAGACACTTTGTATTACTGATGACGATAATGTATGGTCTTGGGGAGATGGTGACTATGGGAAATTAGGTGAGTTTACATTAGTAATATTGTTAATGTAATTGGAATTGCAAAGAAACTGACTCATGCATATTCATTCATTTCCATTCAAGAGTACTAAGATACATGTATATGCTTTAATTCACTATCCAATTATAACTTTACAACCGACATTTTTAACAGTCTACCTTTAATGTCTAAATTTGATTTACTTTTAAAAGTCGGTTTGCCGTAGTAATTAATTTTGTGTTGTGTGTGTGTGTGTGTGCGCGCCTGCGTGCGTGCGTGCATCTGTGTACTCTCACTTACTTCTGCCGCTTAGTAGGTTACTATTGGTTGAAGGATAAGCATATGACAGTGAACCGAGACACAAAATTTTGTACTCCGTGCATGATGGCAAAGCATATAGGGTACCATGGGAATTACGGATATTATGTAACGACGAAATGTCCATGGCTTAGACGAAGGTTGTCACTTATTATTGGATATTGATGAACGTTTCATATAAATAAATAGCTTTGTACTGTCATGTATACGACTTTTTAATTAACTTCTCCAGGGCGAGGTGGTTCAGAAGGCTGTAAGGTTCCAATGCGAATAGATTGTCTAAAGGGACTGCGAGTTATAAAAGTCGAATGTGGTTCGCAATTTTCCGTTGCTTTGTGCCAATGTGGAAGTGTTTATACTTGGTATGTAGAAAATTTGTAGTTACTTGCTAATATTTAAAAAAACGAGTACGTTTAATTTTATTTCATAAACTAATTTTAAATTTATTAATAAATTTCAAGTACTTAGGAACCAATATGGGAAAAATAAGGAAATTCAAATGTAATCACAAAAATGAATGAATAAACTAATCACAAAATCTTTACATAGTACAATACAAAGTCTTCGCCGCTGACAGTTCACTTATATCATTTAAATTACGCAACGAATGTAATGCAGATTCGAGAGGAAGATTTATATGTATAATAATACATGCGCATTATAGTATAGAACACGCAGAAAATTTCAAATATTTGTAATCCAGCCGTGCCAAGCAGGGACGAATTTAGTTGAATTATTTAACATTTAAAATTGATAAAATATTACGAATTTTTATTTGTCTTCAATATTTTAGGGGAAAAGGAGACTATCATAGACTGGGCCATGGTAGCTATGAGCATGTAAGACGTCCAATGCGTGTAACTGGAATGCAGGGCAAAATGATTGTGTCCATTGCTACAGGTAACAATTATGTAGTTTACATATTTGTTTAAATTAATATTATGAAGAGATATATATGATATTTGGTGGCCTCAATGGATTAGCGGTCTAGCACACCATTTTACTTCCGATTATCGCGGGTTCGATTCCTCGCACGGTACAAATAATTTTTTTCTTGAGTATGTTTGTTTGTGTTGGTCTGGGTATTTTTAATGTATGTGTTTACAAAAAGAAATGTATTTAAGTAGTTTTATCATTGTCTAGTATTCTTAACACAAGTCTTGTTTAGCTAAATGGCACTGTGTGAATTGTCCAGGCTTATTATAATTACAATTTAACTTGTAAACTCAAGAAATGCCCAACCGCTTCTATTTTTTCATATTATAACGTTATGTTATAACATGGCAATCATATTTTTTTTCTATCAAATTACACTACCCGACAGTAAACCATAAGTACAATGCCGGGGCTGATGCTAGTATGTAACAGTTTTTTACATTTCCACAATATATCTCTGTGATGTAAATACTAAAATGGATGGAATCATATTCTCGCTGGTGGCGGGACGACATTGGAGGATGATAGTATGAGTACAAAGTAAGGTTGCTTTGCCAATCGTGGCGATTTCATTAGATATTAAAAACTAAGGTTTTCGAAGTCGACCTGTTGTTATGCGCACATAGTAATGGGGACATTTTATAATTCTTTCCCCCTAAATATAGTCCGACGTTAGTTTATATTAAAATTTTACAAGGATGGTTTTGTTTTATGCAGGTAGTTTACACTGTGTAGCGTGTACTGATAACGGCGAAGTGTACACTTGGGGCGATAACGACGAAGGACAACTTGGGGACGGCACCACGCTCGCGGCGCAGAGGCCACGCCTACTCATGGCGTTACAGGTAACACACATTCTATAGGAATCACTTGGTATCACGGTGTGTACTGTGTACTGGCAATGTAATAATGCCTGACAACGGCACTTTTTTGCGATTTTTTAATGTAATTGAAATGACAAAGTATCCCTATGGTATGCTGTAACCGTCGCCTATATTCATGAACAGCACTACTAATATCTGGTTATCGTATGAGACCTGTGATATCACTCAAGGGTTGCCATTCCTGAGGATAAAGATGCCTCGTATCCTGCAATTTTACTGCCTAATGGCACCCTATAACAAAAACACAACTAACAAGGCAAGCTGTTTGTCGGCTGTAATATGTGAGCCTGAGGTACCCACGCAGACGTTTTTGACAGTCAAATACTTATTCCCGGTAACAGTAATTATCTATGCAGTTATACAAAACGCCCTACAACTACCGTACCCGTTTAATACCAAATATAAGTGTAATTAATTCGATAAATAAAACATTAGAATACTGTTGTAAGTTTAATGTTTATCTTTTTACCTTTAAATTTAAAGTTTATACAGATTTATAATTTATAACAGATAAATTTTATTTATTAAGTTTCAATAACGACTTCAATTTTTCAGGATAACTCTAAAACTGCTGATCAGATCTAATTTGAATTTGTACAAGAAGCAGCAGCTTAAAAAAATATTAAAAATTATCATCAACTACTATGTAAAATAATAAAATCATTTTATTATAGTATAAGAACACACGAAATAAAAAATAATTATCGTCAGAAAAAAATCAAAGAACATTTTCACAAAATCAATTAGCCAATGCGCATGTGTATAAACGGTTACAGTACCCTAAGCATTAGATGGGTCGTATATGTGTTTGCCACGTCATAATATAAAAAAAAATGTAAAATAAGAAACATAGTATAAGAGTCCAGTAATAAATGTATGGAGAATTGAACGGACGTGACGTTAAGCAGGGCAAGCGCGTGACGCGCGTGGCGTGCGGCAGCGCGCACACGGTGGCGATGTGTGTGGAGGCCGCGCACGCCCCGCGCCCGCCGCCCGCGCCGCCGCTCGAGTGCCACCTGCTGCGGGACCTCGCCGCCAACCAACACCACCTACTCTGTCACCGTCTGGTATCTACCCCGCTAACAACAAACCAGCTGACCGTCGCGACGTGAACATAAAATCTATCCATATATTGAATATATTTACCTGTAGAATACATTGTGAAGTCCTTGGGAACCATATTTGTACATTCATACTAATATTATAAAAGTGAAAGTGTGTCTGTTTCTTTGTTTATGACTTTACACGATACACTTTAATTTATTCGTGCGCCATTGCGGACGCTAGCTGTGTGTCATTGCACGTGTGGCACGTGCGTCATTGCGTTTTACTATTCGTGATCACTCCCTCGTGCGTAATAGCTCGTACGTTTTAAGTAATTTTCTTTTAAAATTCCATATTTTAAATCAATGTCTTGCCTCTGGGCAATCGTTAGGTTTAACTGATTGCCCAGAGGATATTGATTATAATTTCAAATTTTGTTACAGGTTCTACTACATCAGTTTTCGGAACTTGTTTGTCCCAATTTGCCTCTATTGATTTTGGATGGACCCCTAGATCAGCTTAGAACTCTACTATTTTATAGCGTGAAGGAAGCAGCGTTTAGGAAGGTAAAATATGTGATTAATTTTCTCTGCTGTTGTGACATTATTAAGTTTTCCAGCCTATATTTTAGCACTTAAGATACAATATTTAAATAAATAATGAATTTTCTGTTATTTGAGTCGTCTCATATATACTTTCCTTCTAATTGTATATTTCGTTTATGCACAGCATTCTTTATTATATAATAATATCTTACGATCTTACTTAGAACAATATCTTATCTTACTTCACACAGCGCCGTCTAGTCCCATGCTAAACAGAGCTTGTATTATGGGTAGTAGACAACTGATAGTAATACATAAATAAATTTCTTTGTAGATATTTAGATAATATATACATAAACGACACCTAGAGCGTAACAAACAATCATAGTCGTTAATACAAATGCTAGTACCGTGCGAAAATCGAACCCGCAACCATCGGAAACAAGGTGGTGTGCTAAACCGCTGGACCACCGAGGTCTTCGTTAATTGTATTGTAGTTTCCAAATAGATTTATTTAGAGAAAATAATAAAAAACGGTTTTGAAATTAAGTAGGCAAACGTTCACACGAATTGTATGCAGGCGATAATGGCGACGATGGTGCGCGAGCGGCAGCACGGGCCTGTGGTGGAGTTGTCGCGTGTGGCGGCTCGCCGCGCTCGCCGCGGCGGTTCAGGGCTTGCGGGCGCGGCCGGCATGCGCTCCGTGTTCGGGCAGATGGTCGCGCGCCTGCCCGCACTCACGCAGGACGCTCTCGCGCTCCCGCACCGGGTGTGGAAAGTCAAATTTGTCGGTACGTACCAGTTTTACAGAAGTCTCTGTATGGAATGTTGCGTTGACGCGCTCAGTGTGCCAGGTTCGTGGGTGATAACACGGACGCGAGTTTATTAATCAAAAGTGGTATCAACATAATTATATTTTAGGGACTTTTAATAAATAAGATCGTCCACACAGTTCACAACAGTGCGCTTTCGATTGTAATTTCATGCTCAATTTGCGTTACAATTTTCGGTTTGAAAGTGTTTCGATGTCAGCGCATCATTGAAACAATTTCAAAGCAAACGCTATTCTTTCAACCCCTTATTTCTCAAAAATTAAACTTCAAGGACAATATTGTATGTAAACATGCTCTCTTTTAAATTCCTTACAACCCATTTTTCTTTATTTATATTTAATCAACAGTCAAAAATGGCGATAGATGAAATCGCACTTGTGTAGATATAGCTAGGAAGATATAAAACAAAATATTTCGACGATATTATTTTAATATTAAATATAATGGTCACCACCATTAGAATACTTGATAGGATGGTAAATAAATAAATAGATTTATTTTACCCTTCTTGAAGGTTTAATAGGCTTTCTTCTTATAATTCTAATTAATAACAAATAGGCGAGAGTGTGGACGACTGCGGCGGCGGGTACAGCGAGAGTATAGCGGAGATGTGTGAAGAGCTGCAGAACGGGTCGTTACCGCTGTTGATGGCGACGCCAAACGGGCGCGGCGACGCGGGCGCCTCCCGAGATGCTTTCCTTCTCAACCCCACCGCTAACACGCCGCTACATCTCAATTGTTTCCGTTTCCTCGGTAAGCACATTGTTGAATTAACTGTAACCACAGTTCTTACGGGACGATTTCGACTAAGTCTGTTTTATCGTATGTCGGTTAGGCAGTCTGAAATGAATATAATAAGCTAAACTATTCAACTGTATTTGTTTTGTATGTAATAATTGAATAATAGTCAAAAATCTGTACCTAACTGCAGCAAAACTTTTGTGAATCGATTAAATGTAAACACGCGACACCAAAAAAGGGACAAGCATTTTATTTTTGTTATTTTTAATATTACAATATAAATGCATCGCTTATTGATATGATTTTTGTATATATGTAATGATAATATATATTATAAGTTTCACTACCTTCAAAAATGACGATACTTCCATACAATCTTTCATCCCCAATTTCAACCCCTAAAATCTTTCAAACAGTGAAAGAAATTCTCAAATCGGTGCAGTAATTTCGAAGTTTACTTATTTTAAGTGAGTAGAATGAGTATAGATATAACTACAAACATACAATACTTATGTATAATGCAATATTGTTTTACTACTATCAGAAAATACAATTAAATATATATAGGCGAGTCATACAGTATTTTATTAATGCATGACGTAAATTTCTGTATTAGGTGTATTAATGGGAATAGCAATTCGGACCGGCTCACCACTGTCACTGTCATTGGCCGAAGGAGTATGGCGGCAACTGGCTGGTCAACCGCTCCGCCCGCAAGACCTAGCCGAAGTTGACAAAGACTTTCTGCCTGCTCTACTTTGTATCAGAGATATGACACCTAACAATAAGGTAAATCTTTTTATATGCTTTTATTCAGAATGAAGTTTTTCATGATTCATTTAAAAATATACGATCAAAATTAATAAATGAACGCGTTGTGACAATTTTAATTGATTTGCTTTTTCTGTATAATAGTATGAACAGCGTGAAAGTTCATACTGTTTTTAAACGATCATAAGCAGAATCGTTTAAAAATAGTATGAACTTTCACGCTGTTCATACTATTATACATGCAAATTTGTATCTGTCTGTCTGTTTGTTACCTTTTCACGACTAAAATGATCTTAATTAAATTCAAAACAATGATAGATTGTTTCTCGAGAACTAGCATAGGCTATATTTTGTAGTGATGCACTTCGTATGGCGGATGCAAGTCGCGGGTAACAGCTAGTTTCGTATATACTGATTTTTAAGGTAAACACAGTAGTACCAAAGATATACTACAATTTAAATACTATTTTTATAGGAGCTACAGAATTTAGAATTGCCCTTCTCAATTCCATCGGCGGCGGGTCACGAGGTACCACTGTCAACAAGGCACAAACGTGTCACTCCTGAAAATAAGGACGAATATGTGCAACTGGCGCTCCATTACAGGTATTATTCCACACCAAATTTACCTTACTTATAGATATAGAGATATGAGATAACATTTGTATAGGTAAATAGCAGTATAAAAAAATACAAGGAAAACGAAGATTTACATGAAGGATTGTCAAGAATTGAAGTAAAAACAAAATCGTGCAATAACAGAACTAAACACTGTTAGACTTATAACTGAAAGTTTTGTATAGTCTTTTATCCATATTTAAATAGAAGTATTCTTTTTAACTTTTATTTTTGTATATAGTGTCACTGAGTTCTGATATAGTAAACGTCTAAAAACATATCTCTTTTCCATCATTTATTATTACTAGTACAAAATTAGAATATGAACATACTATTGATTAACCAGTGATAACTATTAATGTACAACGTTTTATATGACGGTAGACTGCACGAGTTCGACGAGCAGGTGCGCGCGGTGCGTGACGGCATGTCGCGCGTGGTGCCGGCGCCACTGCTGGCGTTGTTCCAGGCGGCCGAGCTGGAGACGCTCGTATGCGGCTCGCCGGATATACCCGTACACGCGTTACGGGCTTCCGCCACTTATAAAGGTACCTTCTACCTCACCTTATATCATCGTAATTCTGTTTCTACACCAGTAAGGGCCAATAATCGCACGTGGTACAACTTGTGTTTAAAACGTTCTCAGCTACGGTAAACATTCATCATCAGATGTGCCGTGTGCTTATTAAACAAAAGTAATCTTTGTCTATTATCTTGATAACTATAGTAACCATAACATTATCATTCTACCTCATAGCACGGGTCTCTTTTTAGTCTGCTATTCCTACACTAATCAGATGGCTGGGTATAATAAGAATTATTCTTCTGTATTTTCTGTACATCTTTATATATTTTTCTTTAATAAGTCAGTATGGAATGCAATATTTCTTTTCTGAATATTTGTTTTCAGTGGTATTATCTAAAATATCTTATAATATATTTAACATCTCTCCGCGGTTTGTCTTATTATGCCAAATTGTATAAAGAGTGAGAAATATTCCCGTTCAGGTATAGAACCGAACGCGCCTCTAGTGCAATGGTTTTGGGAAGTAATGGAAGAGCTGTCAGGTAGCGAACGGGCTCTGTTTCTGCGCTTCGTGTGGGGACGGACGCGACTGCCGCGTGCTCCTCAAGACCCCAGGCAGAGGGACTTTGTGCTACAGGTTAGTGTAGAGATTATTGCGAAGTGACGCGAAGCGAAGCGACGTTACGTTGATCGATGATGCCTTTTTTACTGAGGTATTAATTTTGAAGACTTTGTATTTAATTGTCTGATTGGGTGCTTCTGTTTCAATTATTTCTGTATTTCAGTTGAAGACCTAGGATTAGACAGTGAATTTGCAGGGTACTGTGGTATGTATGAGGACCAGAGATGTATAACGTGATGTCCGTAGTGCTGTGTTATTACAGTTTAAAAAATCCGCTATCCGCATTTAGCCCTGGAACTTAGCGAGCTACGGTGTATTTTTTATATCCTATATAAACAGACTTTTCTATGACATTGTTAATTACTAATGATGATTGTTTTATAGGTTCTCGATAAATATCATCCAGCCGACCACTTCTTGCCAGAGAGTTACACATGTTTCTTTCTGCTGAAGATGCCAAGATATTCCTGCAAAGCTGTTTTACGAGAGAAATTAAGGTAAATTTATTATGAAATTGAACATATTCAGTTTTTCTTTATGGTGATACTGGTTTTAGCCATCATCTTAATGTTTTGCTCGTTTGTGTTATTCTATTAGGTACGCCATACACTTCTGCAAAAGCATAGACACGGACGAGTACGCGCGTGTCGCACTGAGTGCGGCCGAGCGCGTTTCCTCCGAAGAGTCGGATTCGGACGGTGACGTCATCCCGGCCTCCGGTCAGTCTGCCGCTACGCTCGCGTCCGCCTCAACCTCGGCCACCACGACCGCCACTCACACGCCGCCACTATACTCGCTCACTCGGGCCCCTACATGGTTGTAGACAAAATACATTGTATTACATTATAAACACGGCACCATACAGCTTCAAATACACATATAACAGTTATACAGCGGAACGGGTATTAAAAATCTGCTGCTGTCTTGTATCGGATCAAACTGTACACAGTTTAAATAAATGTAGCGTAACTCACTTATGTTAAGGCCAGTACTAAGTGAATACTGTGGGCGCACATGTTTACAAAGTATATTAATCAGGTACGCTGTGTATGCGACAAGTTTTGTTCAAATGCAAATTTTGAAGTTGCCTGGCGCCGTAGATGTATGTCTTTAGGTTACATTTTTATGGTGTTCAATGATATTGTATTTATGTTTAGAATTGAAATTTATTGGTATTAAAATTAGGCGTGTAAATAAACTTTAACAATCTGAAATAGGGTTGTTAAGAAGTGTAGCTCTTTATTACGATTACAGCACTTGGACGTGAACATTTTGCATATTTTGCAAAGTACATTATCAACCTAAGAGCGACTACCATTTTTTTTATTTACGTTGTTAGTGTTTTCTGTCAACGGATATATGTTACTGTTGGTCGATATATTTTTAATAATTCCAAGTTTTGTTTTAACCATGAATGTGACGAAATTTTTTTGGAAATACATACTATATCGATCGTAATTGAATACTCTTATTATCGCTATACTCATGAAGAATATCCATATACTTATACTAATTACATTTACATTTTATTACTTAGTATAGACATTTTTATATAATTATTTGTCGATAGTATATAACTATCTTGTATTGTCGCAATATAAGTCGACGTTATATTTATAAAGCGTTTCGCAGCTTGCTTTTGATTGTAGCATTCCATCCAAAGCTAGTTGTCGCTTAGGAAGCTTCTCCGGGTGTTATTAACTTTTGATAATGGCATAACTAGGATACTGTTTTAGACTTTTCGGATTAATAAATAATACAACGAGGCCCACTGCCAACATTCCATTAATATCGTGACTAGTAAGTTAATAGTTATGATAATTATGTTCCAAATAAGACTCAGTATAGTTATTACTATACGCTATTTCTAATATACTTAGATTAACCGTATATCTAAATAGCTGCGGAATCGCTTGTAGACACTATTAGCAATTATTTGTACAGGAGTACAAACTATACTAATTATAACTCCACTTTAAATATTTGGTTATGTTATGATATATTTTATATAATTCTGGTCATAGTGCTATTAATTTGATAATGAAAGTCGAATAGATTGGAGCTTGAAGCAACTGTGATGTTTAGATGTTGGTGAACGAGTTGAAAGACTTAGATAGGTATTATTATGAAAGGTGCATTTTAGAAAACATTGAATAATCTAATTAAGTATAAAAGTCAAGATTGAGCACCATATACAATAAAAGTGATACCATTGTTTGCAGTCAGCATAAGTGCTATTATTATGAAACATTTATATTGACACAAATACAATATTAAATTATGTGAAGATACTATTCATTAATAACGAAGAGCTCTTGAATGAAGTAGTGATATTAGTTCAATTTATATTTATTTATTTCATTTCGAAAATGAGTTTGCTAAATGGGTATATTTATTGTTGTTGCGAATATTGTTTTATGGCTTCTCTTTTTTGTACATAGTGTTCCATCTTGACTTTTTATTTTGGATTGAAAAGCTAGTCAAGTTGAGGTTGCAATGTTGGTATAGTTAGGTATAAACTCATATAAAGTTCGTTGAATTTACTTGTCATCTTTAGTAAATACTCTTGGCATACTTTTTTACTAAAATAAATAATATTTTTAAATATCCTTTAAAAAATTAACCCAAAAAAATATTGTTTAACACTTTATTTCAATACGATATGTTTACTACATGATTTATTCATTTATTATATTTAGTATGTTTTCATAATACAAGTATGTAAGGCGGAATATTGTCGCGGATGATCTGTTTTTTCAAGGCAATGCTATCAACCCAAAAGAGTGGTTATTAGATGGATCGATTCATATTGCTTATATATTCTAGTAATCTATATATTGCTTGAAAATCTGACACGCTGCAAAAAACTACTCTTTAGAAAACAAGTAATAATTATTTGTAGCAGTGTTAGTTACATTTTTGGTTTGCCCAAAGATTCATAAATCTACAACTTTAACAAAAGCGCATACTATTACTGATATTATATGTTGTTAACTATTATAAGGCTTATTACAGTATTATTTTAATTTGTATATAATTGGTTGTTGTAATATGCATATTTTTTCGAATTCACGTAGATCTCGATTTAGGATTTTTTATGTTAAAATTTTTTGGTGCTAGTGCTTCACGGTTAGTATAAACTTTGTATGGAAAAGTGGTAAAGCACGAATAGTAGCCGTCAAATTAAGTATCTAAGTGAAGTTCATAAATATTTATAAAACATATCAAAAATACTATAGTTGTTTTTATTTTACTGAAATGACAACTTGACACACAATGTAAGTCTATTTGTCATGGCAAGTATTCACTTTTGTCTTCTATACGTGAACAGCGCCAAGAACGAATCATTACTAATCTATATATATATTTATGAACTTTATTATATTATATAGTAAGTTATTAGCTTCCATTTTTATGCAAAATTCGAAGTATATTAAGTGACAAAACTATTCTTCATACACCAAAGAGTACTGTGTTAAGAAAGAACAACTATTTTCTTAAGACTCATGTCTTATTAATCAATGATCTGAAAATATTATACTACATATTTAATAATTTAATAATAATCTGTTTATTGGAGCATTATTTATTTTCTACCTAAATAATTGTATGGAATATTTATTTCAATGATGACATGTTTGTTTTATTTCAACCTTTATACGCAAGTGTTTTTTTTATGTAATTCGCACTTATGTTTGGCATAAGATATAGGTATGTAATTTTAGTTCATTATCTTACCCTTTAACGGAATCACATCTTACAGAGCAAAATGAGTGCAACTGAATTAGGTGAAACAGAGGTACAAGTCTGTACGGTAGTAGCACGAGATCTATTAATTTACGCGAACTATTTTGCTCATTTACTTGGTAGTTACGCAATATATATGACTTCTAGTCGTCAGAAAAATAAAGGCGTGGTTATGATTTACATCACTCACTTATCTATTATGTCGTAACTAATTGATGATCGATATATAACTGCTCATAATTATTCAATGGTAATTTTCATTCATAGTTCCATGGAAATAACTAATGGGTATCACTGCTTTCCATTTTGCATCTGTAGTAGTGATAACTGTTCTTTCTTATAAGAATTTTTCTTGAAATGGGAGAAGGTATGATTAGTAAACTAAGGGCACCATTGCTACCAGTGTAGTGTCAGGTCAATATCCACATGGTCAGCTCTAAACCTGGTGAATTTATGATCAAGCTAATTGAGTCGAGCTCATGCTTATACTGTTAACGCAGACGGTTGCATCATTCCCCTATCATCCAATAAGAAAAACCTTCGGATAATAAGGTTCAACTAAAATAAAGACCTAATTCGGATCCTGCCTGCCATTTTGGAGTTTTGTGCTTAGTAGCTGTATCCCACATTAGTTGGGCTGGAAAACGAGTCAATGTCGGATATAAATTTAATTTTGTCTAGATCCATCCAGTGTGTGTCGAAACCTACAATTAATTTTACAAATGAATATAAAAAATAAGCAGTATTTTTTTTATTTTATTTACCTTTGTGAATTAATGTACATAATTACAATTAAATTCAATTTTGGAGTCTCTAAACATAAGTGACTGAATGATGATAAGTATTTAAACATAATAAACTTTCACATGATTTTAATATTCACTAAATGTACACTGCATAATAGGAATTATGAGGCTAAAATAAAGATAAAACAATAACATTATTATTACAGTTCATAGTTACATGTGCCCATTTATTTCTTAGATTTGGGTTTTAATGTTAAATATAATATCACTACACCGAAGACAGCATATGTCGCCTTTGCAGTCTGAAACAAAAATAATTCATATAGCTTATTATTGGAAAACAAATAGAGATATTTGAAGATTTCATAGAAAGTTGTCTGCATGGATGGACATCTCATTTAAGTCTCCAAGCTGATTGCTATGTTAGCTGTGATTCGGTTGTAGAGTGACCTTAGGCATTGAAATTACAGGATAAGAAACATGCCATTTTAGTCTTACTCTTAGCCCTCTAAAATATCTTTGCAAGAGTGGTTTAATGTCCTTAGTGCTGTTCATGTATATATGGTTATGCTTACCATCAACTGGGTTGTTAGTAAAGTAGAAGAATATTTCCTAGTGTCATGATCCTCAGAATTTAAGAATCTACTAAGAAGATTATTAAGGCAAATGGCACATGATAATTTATAGATATTAATTGTAAACTAGTAAGCAGAAGCAAATAGTAATTAGAAGTGTAACATGTCACAATAAGTTAATAATTTTAAATGTTTCAGTTTGAACATAAATTAAATCACAATATCTTACAGAATGGGATTTATAGCAATGGGGATGGGTGAACATTGCTAGCAATGTACTATGTCAGATCAAGCACCATGCAGACCCCCTATGGACACTATCATAATTAATTTATGTTAACATAATCACAAAGAGCTATATTCAAATGGTTTCATTCAGATCCTACTAACAGCACCCATTCATGAGAATGACAGATGAGCGAGTCCTCATATCATAGCTCTCAACCATTATAAAGGATGCACATCAACCTGAATGTTTGATACCCAATTATGAATTAAAATATAAGCATTAAAGGCCAATAATTTCTTTTCTTAAAATAGCAGGCCACTCTGCTCATTTTGTCAATAATACTAATTTTGTTATAATAAAATAGAAATAATGAAGTCAGACCAGACTATTGCTAGAACATCACTAGATATGGTGCTGCAATGGTTCACATATAAATAAACCTGTCTGCTAACAAATTCCTCCAGGATATTGTTAATATTTCCCTATACTCTATGCACAAGGGAGCCCACAACTCTTGAGTTAAAGCAGTCAACTGTTGTCTCCGCATACATACCCAATGCACTACAGAAAAGGGGGCAACCCCAACAGCACTTTAGATGCACTATACTATACTATATTACACTGAACTGGCACATGTGAGTCGAGTAAATCTAGCCCACGAACTGCACGTGGAAAAGGATGTAGTACAAAATGCTCTAAATAATGAAATTTTAGCTTTTCTCGACAACAGCGTGGAAAGCTACGAGTCAGCATCTCACAGAGAGCGCCCCGCGTTCTCTCTCTATATCGCCATTGTCATAGAAGCCGGGTATTAACATATGACCAAATATATACTTAAATGTATGTACTCTTTGCAACAATCATATTATTTTTCATATAACTTCCATTTTACAGGTTTATCAAGCAAGAATTAATTTGATATTATTATAAATATTTATACCTAAAGTACATCATATTGAACTTACATTAGCTCTGCCTCTATTAGTTGCGCTGTTGAAATACTTGGAAAGACCCTTGAATTGGGATTCATCAACAGAATCTCCAGCCATTCTGAAATAAGTATACCAAATAATGTAGTGTAATCGAGCTTTAACAATATATTTACCTACATAATGTAAGTTAACAGAGTTTCATAAATAATGAAAAACTTTTAGTTTAATACCTGATAATTTATTTTATTTTATTATGTAATAAGAGGAATATGTAGGAAAAATGACTACAGATTAATAAAGTGTACAATTTAGGTAGAAAACTCAAAGCACAGACTAGACAACAATGAACTATGATCGGTGTCGCCAGCTGAAAAATTAATGACAAAAATGTATTATCCATTTTCGTACATAATATATTGTTTCGGAATAAATTTGTATGACAATCACAGAAAATACTTTGGTCAATGTTTATTTTTTATTTAGTTCACTTAATTTGTGAGTTTTCACAAATTTTATACAATTTACATGTCAGTAACTTGTTTTATTCAAACAATAATTTGGTCTACATATAGATGCGGATATTTCCAGGCTATATACATATTTTTTAGTATTATTGTTTGTTGCCTACATTACAATTTATAAAATAGCAAAAAAATAGATTTTTTAATATATAAGAAGGTATAACTACAATAGTCAGCTGTTCTAGCTACATGAAAGGTACTATTATGTTATCCTATCAATTATATACATAAGTTAAGAAAAATGCAATTACAAAATTGCTTACCATGAAACACATCTATCAGCATTATTTCGCTTTTTTAGACTTGAATAATTTATAGTATACATAATATGCAGCCACTAGCGCCATTGTTACTTTTGCTGTCTATTTTGAAAAAAAATACTGCCGTTTTAATAAGTTAAATACATAGAACTTTGTCACAGTGAAACGATAACGTAGGAAATAGATGTTGCTTTGTATATATTAAATTCTCTTTTTATATTATAAAAGTATAATAAATACAATAGTACATTGGAATATAAAAAAATATTAACGTAATATATCTGTGTAACGAATTGCCAATATTTTTTATTCTATGATTTTTTTCGGGCTTGCTCTAATGTTGATGCAGCTGTAGCTGGCCTTTACAACTTCGTCAATTACTAGTCTGAGGGCACCGCTAGGGCTTGTAGCGAACCTTGGCTGTCGTAATTTCGATCCCCGTTTGAATTGGACGGGGGACCAATCGGAGGGGAACTATTCTATGAGAAAAATAGTACGTTACCTCGCTGACATCTCTTATAGGAGGACATGCTTAAGTACTTGTAACTTCACTGCCATATTTTACATTTAAACCAAACACAAATTACGGTTGTGGTGAGCCTCATGTATAATATACATATAGTTGATACATCTTATATAGTCCGTGTAATCGAGGTAGGAAGCTACTTACATTAGCTCGTCCCCTATTTGTTTGGCTGTTGAAATATCGGCTAAAACCTTTTAGACTAGGATCATCATCCACTCCGTGACCCGCCATTACGCTAATTTAAAATTAGTAACTAATAATACATGTGGATATTAATAATTGAAGAAGCATGTTTCATTTAAAAATCAAATGTGACATGTCAAGCGATTTTTAACATCTTTTCTTTTTTATGTTAAATTGTTCTTTTTACATTGCAACACCAAAGAGGGTGAAATCGTAAGTTTGTATTTTCTGACTTCTTATGAGACTATTGTATTGTGACATGTATTTTTTCGCATATAGGTCTTTTCAGCCCTTTCAATTTATTTGTGATAATGGATGACTTATATCCGTATGGCGGTTTACTTGTCAAAAAGGAACAGACAGACATACTTTCCAATTTATAACATGGAGCGAATATTATTTATTATTTAGTATTGTAATTTATTAAGGTCTTTTTTGTAAACATTTCCTACCTAGAATTAATATCTACCTATACATTAACCTATTTTCAATCAAAGTGCCTAATAAATACATTGATTTGGAAGGTGTGATGGGCAAGTTAAAAGCAAAGAATCTTTTTGATGTTTTTTAATTACTTACAGTAAATTTTAGTTTCTAAAACACATCACAAAGACTTATTTCTTAATTATACATTAGAAACATGTTGATATAAAGGGATTTACAACATCAGTCATTGTCTTTGGGCAATAGTAATGATCACATAGTAAATTATGACACAACAAATATTTTATTGTAGTCAAAATATACTGAAACAACTAAAAACAGCTAAAAATATTTTAGCAGAAATGCAATCCTTTGTTGTTGCTGTTTTTGCTAAACATTATTAAGTGTTACTGCCCAGGTGTTCCTTTACTTAAAAATAATACTAATAATATTATTTTCTTATAGTTGGAATTATTAATAAAAATTGCACTTAATTAAATGATGGACTAGTATTCAATACAATGAGATACGTCAACATAATACCATCCAAACATTTTACATATCAAAAATATTTATATTATTATTCATATAATCCAAATAATCAGCAATAGAATTTAGTCAAGTAATTGTTAAATAGATCAATAATATCAAAACGCCACAGAAGTATATTTAATTGTATAAGTTTGGATGTGGCATAATGTTTTCTTATTCTAATTAAGTAGGTACATGAAATATTTTGAGCACATCTGTGTTATTAAATTCATTCTCATGCCTCCAACTATGATAATAATTATCATAGAGTTATACACAAAACATCAAATTCACAATATCATGTTGATAATGTCCTCTTTTCACAGAGATAAATCACAGTTGAGTTAAGGCCAGCTTTTCGTAATCAATTAGCTTCAGATTGCACCATCCCTTTTATTATATAGGCCTTGCTTTCAATCACAAATTTCTGGCCTGAATGCATGAGTATGTTGAGAGCAATATTCTAAATTAAGAGGTCTTCTTCCCAGTCCTCTTTTTCTCTCTCTGAAACGGTGACTGATGGTCGTGACAGCTGCTTCAGTTCGTCATATGTTCGAGGAGGGATTGGATTGTCACTGAGATCTACATATTCAAGTGCTCGAGATCTGGCTAATCTGTCGACATCTACTTCTGTAATAACATAAAAAAATTGTTTATTATAAATAATAAAATCTGAATATTCAATATCTGGAAGCATTGACCAATATTATTCCTTCTTACATAACCTTTATTAATATTTAGTAGTTAAAAAACCATAAAGTTAAGATAGTACTATTGAATATCATGTATATCAAAAATTTTATTTGACTTTGTTCTACAATGTAGGGCATGTAATTATGTAGAGTCTACACAATTTCATAAGTTGATAATTTCCCTTGGAAGAAGTATGTAATTAAAACAAATCAATTACCAATTATTTGATTGTGGTGAGCAAGGAGTGTGTGCAAACTGGGGCACTGGCATGCAATGCTTGGTAGAGCCACAAAGGTGTTGTGTGAGATATCCAACCGTTGCAGGCACGCCAGGGTACACAGTTCATCAGGTAGCTTCGCCATTTGATTGTTTGACAGGTTTAATTCTGAAATTAAAGAAGTTCATGTTATTTACTTCACTTACATCATTACTACAATTTTAAGATTTAATGGGCATTTACACACACAATAGAAACTACTTTTAAATAAATGTACATGTACATGTATGAAAAATTCTTTTATAATTATAAAATTTATTTTAAGCTAATTTACTCTATATTGGAGTAATTATGTAATAAAAAGACAGATTTTATATATAAATATAAAGACAGATAAGAAGACAGAATATTATTTGCTTGAATTTTATAGCACATTTATTATCTTATTATATATTGTGAATTGGGAGAGTCCAAGTTTGGTTTCTCATATCTTTGTTAATTAATATAAAAATGAAAATGAGAGATAAGAAAAAATTTCTACTTTAAAAATCAAAAATATTACCTGTGATTAAACTAAATTTAACAGCAAACTTTGGTGGTATTTTTGTTATAACATTTCCACTAAGGTCGCAGCTCTTGAGTTCTGTGTGTCGCATGAGATGGTATACAGCATCAGGAACTTGCATGAGCTGGCACTCGGACAAGTCTGAAAAATATAGACAGTGAAATAAATGTACAGTTTTGTAGTCAAGTATAATTTTTGAGGTTTTTATTTAAATAACAGTATATTGACAATACATTTCAATATTTGTCAGACAGAATATTTGTGTTACTGGATTAGTAAATAAGATGACAGAACTTTGTAACAGAAAATACCTTCCATCAGGGAGATACTTTGTTATATTTAAGAATTCTGTTCAATTTCTAAGGATTCCGAAAAGGGAGAGTATACAGCTCACAAAGTATAGAAACTATTTAAGTTTCTTTATAAGATGTGATAATCAATCAATTACAAAATTAGTAGCTATAGTTTGCTATTAATTTTGTAGCAAAATTCTAGCGAATATACTAGAATTTTGCTACAAAATTAATAATTATATAAAATTAATACCTGTTTAAGCTATTACGTCATATTTCAGAATATAGAAACTGGAATTGTACTAAAGAACACCTGTACTTGTAAAATTAGATAAATTGATCATACCCAACGTTTGATTTTCCTGGGCTTCTTCACACCTTAGTACTACACGTGTTACGGCTAAAGCCATGATTTGATTTCCACAACTACGACTAACGCTAGTTACAAGCTCCTACAGTAAATGTAGTTTAGGAACTACAGTTATTTATAAATCGCGCAATAGTTTGCTCACAACGAATACATAGACTATTTATAAAATAGATTTTGCGTTCATTTGGTTATACAGAAATTCTTCCCAATATAATATATATTAAAATAGAAAATATACAAATAAAATATTTATCATTTTGAATTCTTTTTTAATAAAGTATAAAAAATAAATATTTTTATTATTTTTCTTGTATGAACTTTTCAAAACATGACATTTGACTTGCCAACTGAGTGACATTGACACATCATTTGCTTTGATTCTTCAGGTTGAAAATCATTTCAATAAAATAATATTTATAACGGATCTTTATAAAATGAAACTGTTTTTAGTATAGGCTTTAAAGTTACAAGATTCATTGTGTTGATTTTATAAATGTGGTTTGTAAATGTATAAAAGTAGTGAAAACCGTCTTATCTTCTCGAAATCTTACCTTCAACTTTGACTTCTTATTTAAACTCTATTGAATATTGTTATTTATAATTTTTTTTTATATACTTTATATTATATGGTCATATGCAACTAGAAAAATGAAAAATATAACTTTAAGTTTTTTTTATACGACAGATATTGTATTTACATTCTTCTGAAAAGTTTTATCCTCCTTTTTAATATCAAACATGTTTCTAATAACATATATCGCGAACCGAGTGCCGGAGTTCTTAATAACAAAGATCTGAGTTCAATTCCTATTCATATTAGGTTATTGTATCTATACATACTTAAGATTCCTGAATATTATTTATTTCAAAATTATCAAATACACTTATAATTACAGACAGATAGTTTCTTTTAAGGAAGTACAATATTTACGAGTAGTGACCTCTATGTGGCCGTTCAACTGTTTATGGAATAAATTGCTCTATAAAGGTCAACATGTGTCGATGCTAGTTTGCGATTGCGCACGCGCTTCTGATGTTCTAAATTGGTTCTTCATTATGTAGGTACTGTGCGTAGTGTGCGTAACGTCGTAATGTCTCTACGAGCGTCAGTTACTAACGCAGACATATATGTTATATCTTCCGCATGGCAATCATTGTAGTACTCGAGTAATTGCCCTTCCGGGATTTCAAACGGAATATCAAGGAAATTATTGTAAAATTTTTTATAAAAGTTATAAACCTGTCTTTGTAGTTAATAACACTAAGAAAGAAATAAGAAAGCGAGTATTTTTTCGGTATTATAAATATGACCACGCGGAAGAAAGTTTCGTGCAAAATGTAGCATAATAGAAGTAGATACACTGGACTCGTGGTCCAGTAATGTCAACTAATGAATCCCTAATAAAAGCCGTTGCAATTGCCATTATTTTTTAAATCAAAGAGGTAGACTGTAAAAAGTCTTCATAGTCTCAGTGTCACCTATTCCAGATATGGGGCATAACATCTTGGTCCTCCGAAATGATAAGGCATGAACTGTATCGAGAGCTTCACTTATTAACGTGATATTCGTAGTGCTGTTAATGTATCTATAGGTATAGACGAAGGTTACTATTTACCATCAAGTAGTCCGACAGCTTGTTTGCCATGGTAAAAAAGATAGGTGTATATCTCTTAAATATTTTATTCGCACGTGTCGACTACAGTTAGTATCTATTAAGCCGTACATGTATTTACTAATTCACACAAGTACAGTCGGTGCTTACATGGATTAATAAATACCTCTAATAAACGCTGACTAAAATAATTGTTTTCGTAAAGATTAATGAACCGCAATTAACCAACGACTGGCATGCAATAGAAAACGTCTTTTGAATACATACGTTTCAATAACTGCGCAAAAGATTTTCCTTTCAAAACATGTCTAATATTAGGAATTGCGACTTGGTTGTCGGTTCGGCGGCCGCGCAGCTGATTTTCCGGGAATGGACTTTATTTTTAGTTAAAATGAAGGTTGGAAAAGACGTCTTTATGTTCACTTGGTCTTTCGGTGCAAAAAAGAAAAGAAATATTCTTGTTTCAAATATTAAAAAATGAACATCATAATAACAATAGTAAACTATATAATTGGTGTTCTTAGATTTTGTTTATTAATAAATGAATTTAGCGTGGTAGATATCATATACTAATGTTTCCTCGATTTAATTTCTAAAGATAATAATCAGCTAGTGCTAAAATCATTAGCTATAAATATCTAATAATTAATTATAGATACTTAAATAATAAATAGCTACTTTTTGCGGGCGATCTTTTTATTACGCACTTACATATTTCTCTACAATTTACATCTCAGGTTTGATATTTTGTCATGTACCTATTTGTATTCCAACACGATTACAGATTTTATAACTCATCTGTTGAAAGTGATATATGCGTTACTATTTCATTATTGAATTAATTAAAAGAGGTACCCGTAAGTATATTAAATTAATCTTCGTAACAAAGGCCAATGAGACTTCCAGGTAGAGCCGACCTTGGTTTGTTTCAAAATTTTTGCGCTATATCTTCGTTTACGAAAGGCGAACGCAAGAGAACACTCATTTAAGTTTAGTAGTTAGTTGCGTAAATCAAGCATATTTCGCGTAATTATCTAACATGTGACAAAATATTATTCAACTTATGCTCATTAATATAAGATCGATAGTCTCGTTGTTAGCTGTGTTGGTAATCTTGCGGTTCCCCAACGAAGTCCTCGATTTAACAAGGTGGATGGCGGAGACAAAAAGTCTCAGTAGAAAGTCATTACGCACGAACTGTTAGAATGATGAGAGTATCTATCTATAGCAATTATGAGAGCGAAATTACTGTGATATAATATGTACCTACGGTATTTGTCACTAGTACCATTATCTGTGCTTAGTACTTTCCTATATGAAGAGCTTGAACCATATCTATATATATATATACTATATTAGTAAATTGGTCGGTTGGTGGTAGTTTCTAGGTAGTAGATATATCAAATAATTTCTTGCATTCAAGAAAATTAAGGATCTAGGTATAGTTTTTTATAATTTGAAATGTAATTTATTAATATAATTTACTAGCTGACCCGTGTAACTTCGTCTGCGTGATGCTATATAGCCGAACAACCAAACTTACTAACTTCACTTCTTTATAATACATATTAGCGTAGATAATGTCTTGCAATTATATTATAAGTGCATATTTCAATAAGCTTATTCATTTCGCCATAGTGTAATGTGAGTCATTATCATCTATAAGATATAGGTGATTTAAATTGCAAGTCATACTCAGGTTTCTATAAAACACAGAGAAAAATGAAGAAATCGCAACTCATAACTCACGTAACTGTGGCTTGTTGCAACTAATGATAGGTATGTTATAATCTGTTTCAATAAATAGCCGTGAACAAGAAACTAGGCTGTTCACAACGTGTTTTAGTAATAATTGGGAAACGAATGGAGCGTCTTTCATAGTGACATGCTTTTAAGTAGGTGGAGTCACGTGTACTGATATATAAACTTTGCTACTAAGTCATAGTAAAATTTAGACAATTCGTAATATTCTTAAATATTAAATTAAATTAATTAGGTTATTATGATAGGGTAAAAGTGTTTACATGGTTGCAGGCGACTGTGTGTATTTATAAAATAAATATAAAAATAAGAGAATAATATAACCGTATTTATTGTCTCAAAAATAAATAAAAATATATTTGAAAAAATAATAATTTATTCTACTAAAATATCGAGTTTCGAACTTTTGTATGCCTATGTTGATGCCTTAATACATTATTGTCTGAAAATAATCTAGTTACCCAAACTCTCACTATTATCTAAAATGAAACAAGAGTGAAGAAATCATTGCCTTTAAAATATTGCTTAATTATTGTTTAACTGCAAGTGAGATGTTTACGAGATCGCGGCGAAGCATGAATAAAGGTCGTAATTAACAATACAAGAATGAACAAGGATGTTAAACGCCTTTTACATGCGAATGATCTTGAGTATTAGAAACGATTAATTGGTACCTGTCTGGGTATATTAAGGCATAAATAACTAACAGATAATACGATATGTGTCCGTTTTCCTGTTGTTATTTAGATTTTTGAGCTATGTAGGTACCACATAAAGGGCTACGTGATTAGATTGCAATCATAACATTTGTAGAAAAGTTAAATTTCTCAATCAATATTACTTGTCCATTTACTTCTTTATAATTTTCGAATGCAGGATTATGAATTTTAAAATGATTTCGTATGTTTCAAACAAGATAGAATAAGTATATATTCTTTCTAAAGAAGCATTTCGCATGAAGTCAAATAATGTACTTTCATCCAGAGATTAATTGTGACACACCGATAGAAACAATAATGTAATGTCGATTATAATTTATAGATAACGACACTATATTTCAATGTTTTGTTCATTTGCATATCTAATCATTGTACTTACTTATAAAATAGAATCTAAGTAAGCCATACTTGTTATCTTTATAAACAATAATAATTACTAAACTATAATATATAATGATCTCAGTCGAAATAGGCGGATTTCTAAATTTAATCGCATGTGAGGTTTTTTTTCAGAAATGCGTATTTTGCTTTGGTAATTTTGAATTAATATAATTTTAAATATGTATCTTGGGATTAAACATAAAATAAACAATAGACAGAAAATTAAAAACTCTCGGTACTCAGATACTCAGTCTGTCTGATCTGCTTCTGTGTTCTTAGTTAAAAGAGAGTTTTAGTCAAATTATTGCAATTTTGAGTTACATGAATAGTTGTATAAATTGTATAATTTTAACGGTAAATAAAAAATTATATCGTGTTATCATATATCCTATTTAAATAGTAGTCTTGCCACATCTCAAAATTTCACTATATTGATTCGATAATAGCTTGGCCCAATTTGTTAAATTTACGCAGAAACAGTGTAGAACAACTTGCCTTTGTAGATACGTACGTGTAGGTACATGTAGAGTATTTTTACTTTGATCATGCCGGTTTATACAATGTTTCTTGTTTTATTGACTAACGTTGGACTCATGAATTTGATAATGAAATTAAAGTTACTGTTTTTATAATTGTACCAAATAAAATAATATCGTACTATCTCTCAGTTTACGCTTCAAATTAATGAAAATACCTAGTTCATAAATATTATGTACCACTGGAGATTATTCATTTGAATTATAAATAGTTGTTATTGTAATGGAACCATTCTGAGTATAAGCTTTGTTAGCGTACCTTGCAGATGTCTATTAACTTTAGGTTTCTACCTACCACTATGTTTGTATATCTGGGATAAAAGTAAACTATATCCTTTTCCATATCAAATGTTACGTAGGTACATACAAAATTAATTATGTTGTTTAAACGGTAATAGTCACGTATTACCGGTAAACATATAAAACTTATTTTACAAATTAAAATATTTGTGAGGTTTACACCTTCAATCATGTAAACTTCACATACAACTACTATTACGCACGTGGTACAAACAGAATTACCAATTCTCTTTTATTTACAAATAACAACGACGCATAAATTAGACACGTATTTTTATTATGACTGTCGACTATAGATAAGATATTCTATCCGTAATAAATACGTATTTACATACCTACTACTATTATTCTAAGTTCTAAAAAATTAATATAGGTTTATGAGAATACCTATATTTCTACTCAAAACTATCTCAAAACAAATGTAAATGTTATTGACATTTGGATAGTATTAAAGTAAGTAAATAAATTGAATTTTTTTAAATCCTCGTGCTTAAATAGCTTGGCGTACCTATTATTTAAAAATACTGATTTTGTTTCATAGTACCCTTATGGCAGTATTTTTTTTTATAACTGAATTGACAAAAACGAGTTCAATACAGGCAGATCTATTTGTATATTTAATTTGTTAAGAACTCTTTGTTGAAGAAGGAAACTAACTTTAAATTAAGTGAAGTAATGAGCAGGTTATATTTTTGATTTATTTGTGACTGTAACTAAATTTGTGAGTGTATATTAAATAGTACGAGTCCTGAAATATTATCTTATCTGTGATCCCGATATTGTATCGATCGCAATGATCCATTGAGATCATAGATTCATAAAAATTAATATCGTTATTATTTATATAGGTACCTGTTATATTAAATTAACATATGTTATAAAAATATTAAATATGTTAGTAGTAACTGATGTTTAAAGTTAAGAGCACCTATCTGAATTCTATTTCTTTATGTTAACTGTTATATTGTACGTATGTACTAAGTATGTATAATAATTTGTGATTCTTATATAAAAAATGTTACAAAAATATTTAAACAGTAAAAATTTACAATCAATATTATTTCTATATACTCGTACCTTAATATTTTAATATTTCCAAGTTAGAAATAAATAAGCATCTCCTCATTTATAATAAATTTTAAGTTCATTGCAGTAATAGATATCATGAATAAACTACGTACCAAGTTGACTATTTTCCTGTGCATCCTCGCATCTTCCCACAACCCTTATAATAGCACGTCCTGCTAATCTAGCACATATCATCATGGCTGGTGCCCTTGGATCCGGCTCCTCGGCCTCGGCCGGCAGGCGCGCGCCTCCATCATATTCCGTTGGGGGTCTCATCACTGCACTTGATTATCACCAACAGTCACTGCACAATTTGAGGTCACAGTCAGGTTTCACGACAGTGAAAGTCTTTCACAAACTGAAAGATTCGCGTATGTTCAATTGCTCATCTACCACCGCCCCGAAACGCAAACCGCCTAGGTACACGGTGGCACTTTGTTAAATTCGAGCGCCGCGTTCTCGACCAGCCTTTATATCGTTGCCAAAACAAAGAAGCGTGGTGTGGAGGGAGACAGCAACAACAACAAATGTCCGTCTCGTTTGCACTGTCTGTCTGTTGCGCAGTTGACGCACGCTGGGTCGAGAAAACGTGGAAATTATGGGGAGCCGTCCAGACCACATTCTGTCACAAAGGGCTGTTTTGTGCATAAGGAAACCAGGAAATAACCCTCCGGTCTCGTTTTTGCTTGACTGTATTGTCACATTTTCAATAAGGGCATTGTAAGATTGTTATCAAAGCGGCTTTGTTTATGGACAAAAATCATTTCAATCAATCATTGTTGGTCAGTTCAATGTGAAAGGATGGGCTGGGGGCCGTACACAATTTTACAGCCTAATTCACAATACGTTATCACGGTGGGCGCATATATTGCAATTTATTGCGGACGTGCTCGATGCGCACTCGATTGCGATAAATTTAAAAATGTTTTCGTTACGGACGCACATTTATAAATTTGTTACTTTCTTTCATTTATAAACACAAACAGTTATACAACAAGATATTACTATGTTTGATAAGTTTATTTAACGTTAGGCGGAAATTAAAATATATTTATTAATTGAATCTTAAGTAAGATTTTAATAGACACAGAATAAAATACCAAATTGTATTTCGCTACATTCTTTTAAATTAAGAATGTAATTCACAATCGACTTTAAAACTAAAATAGGCTCCCAACAAACATTTGGCGATCTTTAATAAATATTTAATATTAAGGAATAAAAAATAAAAATGTTATTTAGAAAAGTATCGCATTTGACCATATTTTCTAATTTCATAAATGTATCGCATAACAAATTTGAACTTATTTTCTAATTTCAATGTAATATTATTGCTTAGGTACCTATTTAAGTTCGTGACCAAGGAAATCCAGAACCAGCAAATAGGCAAATTATTTACGCCCAAGTTCAAGTATACATTTAAAACTACTCGAATTGTTTAAAAATTAAATGTAGTCATTAAACTCATATAACTATAGCTATTTTTAAAGGTATTTTGTACTTTTATTGACATGAAGTTCACAATGGAGTTGAGAACTCAATGCCCTTGTAACTTTAATATTATATTTTATATGTGCCTGTACTTATATAATTTTACTTTAAATATACGTAATACAAAGCTAAATTATTCTCTATTATGATTTCTCCATGACCCAGTAAAAAATGCTCTGATAACTTTTCTTTGTTTGGAAATATGTATTTAATAAAGATATAATTATTTATTTATTATGTTGATCGACAATTTTTATGGCTAGTGTATTAAATCAGATCAAATTTATATTCCTATTCATAATAATTATTATAGGTATTCACATTGTCTTGTGTACCTAACCGAATATTTAAACAGGCATATTTTACTATGCATCTCACGTACGAGTAGGTGCGATATGATATATTCTGTTCACTCGCCTTATAAATTAGACACTAATTTATTGGCATATTGTTGAATTTGGGAACAACAATAGTTTATAACTCTTTTGTAAACCGATTGGAATAAACTCAACGCTACAGTGAAAATGCAGCGTACTGCAATAATTTAGTGACAGTTGCACCCTACGTTAAACGCACAAACAAAAATTCTAATAAACATTGTTTTAGGTTCATGTCACGAAGTCCCCAATAATATTACAGTCATTTTTTTTATATACATATCTTCCATGTACAGCCAGACAGATTAGTTATACTTTTCTAATACTTTTCGGTACAGATAATTTAAGAATTATAATTGAAGCATGCTCTTAGCTAATAATACGTGCATGAAATTGCGTCAAGAAAAACTTTGACGTTCACTTCACATGTCGCCCCGTTCAACGCACTGTCGCCGTGTTTGCCAAACTGAGACGCAAAATTTCATATGTCCCAACCCAACCTTGAATATTTGCCAAAGATATTCCTATGTCTCGTGCTCCGATTAATATCTATTTATTTTAGGACCAAATAAACAAGGAAGAAATTAAATATTTAAGTAGTAGGCGCTTGTAAACTTTCCATGTTTACCAACATTCGTTTATCTTGCAAGAATAATTTGATAATTTTGAAAATACGCATGCATTCCTAATTTCTATTTATATAAATAAGGTTTTCCTTTAATAAATCTCAAAAAAATTTAGTTATTCGATTAAAATAAATATAAATATTAAAATCGGCAGGTTACTAGCCTACCATATCGCTGTTATATGTACAAACAGCTCACGTTGGATTTGCCGTTTATGAAACCATAAAATTAGAGAGACAATATGTTGTACTCTGTATAATTGTATCTGTTGTAATCTATGATCTATGATGTATATTACGTGTAATTTTTATTAAAATAATGACTACCGATATTTGAAAGTAGAGCGCTGATAATAGATCGCATTAGCTAATTTTATACAGAGACCTCGTGTCTGCGTCGAACAGTTCTCATGACCCCGTTATAAAGTCATATTAATATTGGATTATCACAAATACTCTTACGCCCTAATTATAAAAATATACAATTTGAATTAACGGGCGGTAGACTATAGTTCCTATATTTCCGGTTTCAATTAGGTACACGTGTTTATATTAGGGATATGATTATTATTTATCTACGTATTATTTATAAGAAATAAATGGTTCACATTAAGAAACCGGGAAACCTTTTTTTATAATTTACATAATAAATAAAAAATGCGTGGCATCAAAATGTTAAATGCGGCTTTTAAAGTGAACTTTTTTGCATTAATGCTTTATAAGTAGATTATATAAATGAAGATAAAACGAATATATATTTTAGCAACTTATATCTTGGTTAAAAAAGTTCCAATGAAGTGCAAATTTTTCCCTTTCTTACAATAACATGTGACGCAACGTCAGGGTTGATCAATAGTTGCCACATTTACAAAACTGCGTGTTTATGGCGTACACACAACATAAGAGCCACGTGGACACGCAGTTTTTTAAATGACGCACCAAATTTTCCACAGCGGCGCGCGGACTCGACCGCTGACATTTCGCAGAAATTTTTTAACGTAGAGGTCGATCCTTTGTGCTATTTCAGGAAAACCTGGACACGAGCCAGTTCTCTCCGAACGGACTTTCGACGCAAATCGCACACGTTTCGTATCTTGATCCCTGTTCTTCACTATTTGAAAGTGTGCCGTAGTCCTAAGTGATAAAGACCAAAGTCTTAAGCAATACCCAGTTTATATTACTGTTTAAGATCCTGCACGGGTTTTCTTTGTTTAATTAATGTTTAGATGAGACTATTGCCACCTTGCCACTTGTGTGAAATGTTTTTTTCAATGTTATTTTGGTAGTAACTTCAAGTACTTACAGGTTTAATTTAAATGTTGTGAATAACCATGTTGTAGATTGAAATTAAAAGGTACTCTGAGAAAGTAGACAATACCGTCAACGCAAATTGCTAACAAATCCTTGGCCATTGCAGTTGTTTACAAGAGGACTTGAAGTTTTCATTGTTTATATTTTGTGTGTTATCTATTGCGTCTAGGTAGATACATCTAGGTCACATACAAGTTTAGCCGCTAGAAATGACGAATTAATGAAATAATGTTTTCGAATAAACATAGTCGTAAACAGTTTATGTAGAGTCCAAAAATAATGATTAGATCATTGACTTAGGACTGGGGAAATGAAACGATGTCGTCACAATGAACAATAGTTTATTGGTATCAAGTGGGTGCCGGTTCAGCGCGCTGCTGGGCTAGTTGTGCTGCGGCGCAGCAGTGCAGCATGAGAGCGGTGAGTGCGCACGCTCGCCCTTCCCCGCTGTCCTCGCCAGCACCGCCTGCGTCATCCGCTGATAACTCCTCGCGAACTGCTTGAAGCTAAAACCATCATACGATTATGTAGGGGTAGTCCATAATCATCATGTTCTAATAGCATTTTGAAACTTTGTGACCTTATCATCAGAGAGATTTTATTATCCTTGTCTATACATATAATAGGATATAACTAATCACTGTGTGTATATGAGAAAAACTATTATTTACTTTATCACCCCATTAGAATAAAAAAAACAATGCTAGAATTTTTGTGGCTGTGGTCGCCGTAATTTTCAGTAATGTATTGTGTTAAGGTTCGCATATTTTTTTGTTTTATTCCAAATGTTTAAATTACAAACAAAAAAACATTATACAGGTACGAATTTGCGGGCTCAGATAGCATTTAATATTAGTCATTATCATTTCAAATTATTATTATCCTCCCAGTAGTAGATAACTCTCTCACTTTATAAAGGATTTGCCCTACTATGACCTCTACGTGGATCGTTTTAGAGTTTTATTTCGCGTTTAACTTTTTGTGACGTTTTCTACTGAATGCTAGTAGTGACATCGGTCAATTTGTTATACGTATAAGCTAGTTAATTAGTTGATTGGTAGTTTAATATTTCCGCAAAATGTGAATTCTTGTAGCTTATTCGTGTGTACGATACAATCTGAAATGTGGAATGTGAAAGATGGCAGTTTGTTTACAGAAATATTTATAATTATTTATTTAGACACAAAATTGTAAATTATATGAAGTATATTATCCCGCTGACTTGTTTATGTTTATATGCTTTTCGGTGCATTGAACTCACTGTAATAAACTGTATTGATTATTCATGTAACCTTCACAATGTATAAATGCCTGATTGAACTTTTCTTCTCTGAAAGTATTTTATGCATCAACAGATTTAATGAATGCAAATTTGGCTCAAATGATTTTAGGGTATATTTATGGTGGGAAACGATCGACGTACCTAACAATCTGGAAATATTTCCCCCGAGCAGAATTAGATTTTTGGAAAAGTTTTTTGTTTAAGAAAACTAAGATAATGGAGCGTAATCTCTACGAACAAATAATCAAATCTTTCCCCTTTATAATATTAGTAGAATAATTTTTCTACTAAAAGACAGTGCAAGGCCGTTAGTTACAAACAGTTTAGAATAGTTGAAAGGTTTTATTTTGTAGGTAATGGAATTGACCATTGCGCTCATGGTATACGCTGGCGGGACATTAATTCAGGATAATAGGATGATGATTTATGACCATGAAGTCAAATCAGTTAGTCCATCATGACGAAATCACCAAGAATTAATTACAACGGATTTTATGGGGAACGTGTAGAGTTAAGAGTTGTTGATTTGAAATAGTATGCGGAATTTACCATTTCATGTATTTGCTGCGCCGAGAGCCTGGCGGCAAGCTCAGGTGCGGAGTCCCTGGCAGCTGCCAACAGGGCGTCCGGCGGCAGGGCGCTGCGTAATGCTGGTTGCAGCATTGCGCTCACACCCCCCTTCTGGAGCCACGTGGCGCCGCAACCGCCGAACGGGTTGCCTACCGCCTCCAGAGACTGCTTCCTTTGCGTTACAAGAACTGTTCGTGACAAATGTTGTCGTCTCTTTCTTAGAAATAAAATTATATGCTACATGCTGTTCTGTTATGCTAAGTTAGATGCACAGTTGGTCATAGTTGCATTTTTATAAAGCTTAAATAAAAGGATGCAAGAATAAGCAAGTAAGTTGTAATGTAATAAGGCATCTATAAAAACTCTTCATCATCAATCAGATATTCATAAACATCAAATAAACAATCAACAGACATCAAAATATTTTTTTAGATTCACATTCAAATATTCCTAGCGAATGTTGAATTCATCCCCACGACGATTTATAATAATTCTACCTACCCAGCTGGGATAACGCTCGTGATTACTGTCACTTATTATCAATAGGTAATAATATTACAGTTCTCTACAATAATATAAAACTAGGCGAGGTACCTGGGAGTGTGGCTCGGAGATGGCGGCAAGGAGCGCGAGGATGCGCAAGTCTTGGGTGCTGACAGGGAGTGGGCTGAGCCCGCCCGTCGCAATCCAGCAACCAGCGCGCTCATCGCTCCACCGCCTTAGCAAAACGATCATATTTATTTAGTCACTTGCATAAGTATTGGATAGGTTCTAAAATGGCCACTTTATTGTATGGGTGCATGTGTCTAATTGATTCGTAAACCATTCTGAAGGTGGAGTGAGAACAATTTTATTAATTGTGTAAATGAGAGGCTATGAGTAATATGAGTTTTTTTTTTAATTGTCTGCATGAACGATACTTTCTGCATGTATTTATGAACAAACAAAGTGGTCACTTCATTAACAGTATTTACAAGTACATATTGTCGGATTGTTGGGTTAGGATCACATTTCACAGAAGTGCTCTAATTAGGCATAAAGGAAAGTCATTCAATTCTGATGTGTTTTATTGATAATTGTGAAGTGGTATGGCTTGCTCACATAATTGATAAAATATGATTCTGAAATTATTAATCACTTCAAAAATACAATTATATTATTTTGTATATTAATAAAAAAAAAACTTAAATTTCTCTAATTTATTTTTAGATTTAGATTTTGATTCTAAGCTTACAATTATGTGATATTTTTTACATTTGAAATCGATAGGTGCCTACCTAATGTTTTTATCAACATGTTGTGTAATTTTTCAAATAATTTCTCCGGATTTGGTAGTTTTCGATCTCTACTACATTTTTACTTTTTATTTTTAGAGATTTATTTAGATGTAGTAGGTACAAGTATATAGGTCTGATTTTATTATAATATACTTTTGGTTATAGCTTACACTTTTTAATCTGTAGTCATAGAAATTCAGTTTTAATTATAAAGCGAGAAGTTGCGCATATTAATGAATAATACTGGATAGCTCTCGAAATCTGTGCCAGATTACACTACGTACAGTAGCAGAGTAACAGATACATTATATTGCATTGTTTCTGAAATATCTGCTTAAATTAGTTGCAATCCTTGGTAATAGCGCTAACCAGAGCGTTAAAGGACAAGTCATAAGTATAATGAGCTAATAAGGAACTTAAACTTGGCAATTAATTAAGCAAATTTATAAGGTAGAGAACAGTTCATTTCGTAAATTCCCAGATAAATTATTCTTTAAATTATATCTCTTTTAAACTGGAATTTCACAAAATGAACATGACACCAATTGTACAAGGATTAGATAGTTTGTATCATGAACATAGTGGAGACACGGAAAATGAATAAACGGAAAAGGCAGTGGTTGAAGAGGGATGTTGCATATTTTCTGGAAAATATGTAGAAACAAATATTGAACATGTATCCGAATAAACCTGTATTATCTATGTGTGTAGTTGTCGGGAGTGTCCGATGTTAATAATGAGGTATGGTATCCTTCGTCAGCTTTCGTACAATTCGTCTGAGACAAAGAAGGAAAAAAGAAAATATGTACAAACTATAATACCAGTAGTATCTAGTTATATAACAAGCAGTCAAACTGTGTATGGTACAATGGGAAGTTAGACAAAGATAATTTCAAAATATTTTGGCTTGACATTGAATTCTAAGTGCGTCATAATATTTATATATTTGTTGATGAAAGACAAAGTAGTCACCTACTTGCAGAATATAAAAACGTAGGTATTGGTACAATTTTAGACATACCTTCTTCGTGAACATCCAAAGAGTCTTTTCTTTCAGGTTCATCATCGGAATCGGCATCGGCATCAGGTTCCGTCATAATGACCTCCGGCGGTGGACAATTAAGCCCTAATAAAAACACAGGTTTGAGATTTATATTTACAAGTTATTTTACAAGTAACCAGCCCCAGCTTTGTACGGGTGCAATTATTGTAGATAACTCTACATTTTTTTTAAATTGTATGCAATCAATGTTACTCTTTGATACCTATTAACTTTTTTGATTAATAAATGTGTAATGACTTTAACAATAAAAATAAATAATGAAATCTTTCTTCATTATAATTTCGGTTAAAACTAATTACGTGATGATATACTGTTTAGGATTACACATTAATTTATAACTTCAACTGTCAATTGAATCTTGGTTCACAATCACAAAACTGTCAATTAGGTACAATCTGTTTCTGTAAATTATTAAATGCATAATATCATTATGCAAGTTAGTTACTATTATATTAACGCTATAAATGAGCTGTCAGCTTATTTGTCATTTCAAATATTAGTACAAAAATCATCCACTTACATGAGTATATATTAAAAAGACAAAATGAGTTGGTTTCCTTGAAAATATAATATGATTAGGTTCGGTAATGACTGTCTTATGCGTCACATGCTCGTGGATAGATGCCATCTGAGGGAACTGATGTGTTCCATTTATTATAAGTGTGCTAATTAGATATAAGCATTTTCAGATATTATGTCAGCTACTCAGTAATAAATGTTTGAGGAAACTGACTAAAAGTATTTAAAAACGATAAAGAGATTTCTTATAAAGCATATAACTGTAAAGGTATTGAAATTGAAAGTGTTTAAATTTTCTTTACGATATGATAGAGATAATAAATAGGCGAAGTGAATAAATTGATATATGTGTTTAAATCACTTTGGAGTTTTGGAAATTTAGAAATTTATATCAATATATTCTTGCACGGTATATAAGCTACAACATGTACAATTGCATATTGCATAATAAACTGCATTACACTCAAAAAAATAATTCGGGAAATCAACTTTAAAGCTTTATTCTTAAAGTTGATTTTGCAAATGATTTTTTCATTGTTACTGCAGTTTGGTATTAAGAGAGAGATTGTGATTGTGTGCATACCGCTGACTAATACGAAGTAGAGCATTCTTTTACCTTCCGCATGTGCTAGCAACCGGTGGTCACGCAATAGCCTCTAAAATGTACTGGATTGGAATGCTTTGTATGTAATCTTTATTGTGCACTAAAGAATTGTAAAATATCATATAGTTAAAGATAATTTCATCGTTTTTTTTTCATGACTAAATCTACTTGGTAAATGTAGCATTTTAAAATAACCCAATAACGTCTGAAGTTTCCTGTATAGTGTCTATTTTTAAACTAATTGTTTATTACAGTTGTGATTGATTCAAAAGATTTGTAAAAAGTTAAAACATCTCTTTTTACTGTCGCTAACCAGGTGGTTTAGTAAATTATTTATTTATTCAATTATTGGGTGCGATGTATGACACTATTATTACATAACTTCAATATATCAATAATTGTGTTTACATAAGTTACATTAATAATTTAATTATAATGGTTACATATATGAATATAGAATTGGTTAGGCTTAAAGAAACCGAAGGCCAGTAACCTTCTGGTCGTTAACCGCTTCTGTTACGGACAAAGATATTTGGCGCGATTTCAAGCGGATAAAAAAGTATACAAACACGTAAATTGTCTTTTCTTTGAAGGTTAAATTATATTCCAAATATGTTATATTGGATATAATTTCGGTTATAGTGTAGAGATCATAATACGAAACCTAACCTAAACTATCTTTCTGTATGCCATTTCGACCTGTGGCTTTAATTTTTATTGCACTGGACACAATGCTGAATGTATATAAAACAATAAAGCACCGCTTTACTGAAATATTAAACCTATACCTATTCCTTATTAATTATCTTGGACCGATGCCTTTGTGCTATATTTTTCAAGTCAAACTCAAAATTATTTAGTTGTATAGGACATTTTTTAGCACTAATGCAAGTATATATTTTTAGCATTGTTCCTACCCTCCAGTTATATACTTCGATATGAAGAACTAGTAAGAATATCAACTGGTATCTACATTATTATTATCTTTTTTTTCTTTTTTATTCATTTAAAAGAAGGTAATACTCACCTACACGGGCCTTAGCCAAGTGTGAGAGAGGTTGTACTGGGTGAAGATATTGTTGAGGAGGTTAAGAATTTTCAGGTTATGCGATAGGTATTTAATATTGTGGCTTTTTGTAGGAGATATGTTTTGGAAGGGTGAATATTTAAAGTTTGCAGACTATTTTGAAGTGTTTTGGGTACAATACCCATAGAAGAAAGTACAATAAGTACAGTATGTACAGTTTCAGCTCGCCATTGTGTTCTTACCTCTATTGCAAGATCCTGATATTTTGAAACTTTATCTGAAATGGTAGTTTGTATATTGTGTGTATTAGGTACAGCTATATCTATAAGATATACTGTGTTAGAGTTTTTGTCATGTAATGTGATATCAGGCCTATTGAAGAGTACTGTCTTGTCTATGAGAATAGTCCTATCCCAGTATAGTTTACAATTGTGATTTTCTTGAACGGTTTCGGGTCTGTATTTATAGTAAGGCTGTTTACTTTGTATAAACTCATACCCTGGCTAGTTCTTGATGAATTATGGAAGCTATTTGGTCGTGCCTGTGTTTATAATCGGTTTGAGCAATATTTTTACAAGATCCGGTTATATGTTGAATAGTTTCAGTTGCACTGTTGCAATTGTATTATTATGTTTTAATCAGTAAGGAGGTTATCTTATGGAGAATGAAAAGGATGTTGTATTATCCTATTGCATAGTCACCAGATGGACGATATTTCCGCTAATATCTTTATATAACTTATAACTTTATATCTCTTTCTTTGATATATTTAATCGAATTAGGTGTTATTTTGCCGAAGTACATTTCACTGCTTATTTAATTTATATTATTTTGTTTAATTCCGCCACAATTAGTATGTGTGAGACCACAAATATTCAGTGTTGAAGACTACCGTTACGACCTTCTCTAATGGCGATCAAATTCTGACCGTTATTGAGTCTACCTCCTACACCCATATTGCGCTACGTGTTTCGCCTCTGAACGAGGCATCATCAGGCATTGAATAGAGTTCGGATATAGCTTGGTATCCTAGTGTTGACTGTTCGGTTTGGTCGTTGAACAGTCAACACCAGGAATTTGATCGCTATTAGGAAGGTCGTAACGGTCAAGTTAGGTAAGTCAGGTTTCTACACTGAATATTTGTGGTCTTATACATGCAATTAGCATGTGTAGCGGAATTAAACAAAATAATATAAATCCATTAAGTAGCTATCTTTGACCCACCTATGTACGTACTTGCATACAGCTAACAGCCTTGTATGTCTGTAAGTATAATGACAGTTTCTGGTTCCGTTAAATCCATTTAAGGATAAAATTTTTTTTGCTACATACTCGATTTAATATATTAATCAAACAACTTAGCAGTTCCGAGTTCAGCTTATTGTTGTAGGGCAGTATTTATTACCTGCAATTAAACTATTGCTAACAATTAAATTCAATGTCTATTGTATTTTACTTCCTCTACAATCTCGTACCTAAATGAACTAAATCTTAACCTCTAATAGTTAATTAAAAATTTATTTCATTATTATATAGCAAAAAAATATTTTACCCGTAAATGGATTTATCGGAACCAGAAACTGTCTAATAATAATAATAATAAGATTTTCACTTTTTATTCACACATCGCCATATAGTTCCAAACTCAGCAGTGTTATGCGAACATAATATATATACAAAACACCCAGACCAAAAGAATCAAGCATACCAATGCTATATATATTTGCTAAACCTCTTATCCACCGAGATCGTAATTAATTAATTTGGTCGCTTTAGGACTCCTGTCCTACAAATCACCTTTCTTATTATTAAAAAAAAAACATTGTTTTTTTAAATTTTTTTCCGGACTACTCCAAAGCTGTTGGTCGCAGCTGGCCTTTACAGCTTCATCGGACGTTAGGGGGCGAGTGCAGATAGCACTCCAATCCCGCGGAAGGACTTATGGAGCGTCTGAAGGCCAACTCCTGCCTGGCGGATATGACTTTAGTCTGAGGGCACCACTAGGGGTTCGAACCTCGGCTCAGGCCGTCGTAATATCGATCCCTGTTTGAATTGGACGGGGATCGATCGGACGGGCGCGGGGCGCCCGGAGGCGCCGGTTGAATTTTATTACAAGTGAAAAATAAAAATGTATATAATGAAATATGTATGTAACACTTGGCAGGATGTACATTTGGAGGATAAAGGCTGTAAACGACGATTTCACAGTTCCTCAGTTTTTCATCGAAAATACTTGATTTTTGTTTGTGGATTTTTTTATATAGACTGTAGTAATGTTGGTAACATTTTTAACGACATCTATTTTTTGTCAAGTATATCCTGGGTAGGGTTAAGAAACAAATGTGATTACTAATTATATATAGGAAAATATCATAGTTCGTTTACATTATGAGGTATGGCAAGAACACATCATATCACAGAATTATTGCTGTTAAAAATTTGCCAGCAGGGCACAGCATTGCAGGCAATAGAGATGCATAAGAACCTCTGGGTGTAATTTGGTAGAACAGGATGCTCTTTAGACTGTTCGCCATAAAAGTCGAAAATTTTCTGATGAATATTTGCAATAGGACTCGAAATTGAATAAGTTTTGGTAGTACGTTATCTAAATCCACACGTAATGAGAGAAATAGTATTTATATACATATTATAAATTATTTCCCGTCGCGATACAGGCGTATATTGTATGTTAAGTAAAGGCGTATAATGTATTAGAAACCTTTTACGGAATGAAAAATAACTCCTGGCAAAAACGATATTTCCGGACTGTAAATGAAATTAAATGTGCTCAAGGTAATCTTACAGGCGTTTGCCAACAGAATTATTTTATAAATTTAATTTAGTTGCAAATGAAGATAATAACAAAGAAATACCTTGATCTTGTTTAGGTATGCACGGCGAGGACTCTTGACATTTGGCGACGCATTTTTTGTGACAGCACAGACCACAGTTGCGGCATTGCATTGCATCTTTCAGCCAAATCTACAATATTCAATATCAATATTATTTATTACACATACTTATTTCAAATACTTATATAATTAAATTAAAGGAACTTAATTTTTCAACAGTACAAAACAACGCGGTTTCTATGAATAACGATTGAGTTTGACGACGGAAACAATAAAATTGTAGTCTAGTCGCCGAACAGTCAACACTAGACTTCCAAACTATACTCACTCATCAAGCAATGAATAGATCATTGCTTGACGATGCCTCTTTTAGAGGCGAAACACGTCGTAATATAATCATCCACTGGCATCTAGGTAGTTTTTACCGTTAGCAGTTTTTAAAATATGACTGACATTATACCCCAAGCTCATACTTGTACTGCAATATAGTCGTTTAACATTTCAATAATAGAAGATTAATACTGATAGTTCAATTATCTTTTTCAGAGAGTCTTGAGTTCGAAATTTGTAACTACAACATTTTTATCTGTAATAATTTAGAAATTGTTATTATTGTTGTCTCAGTTTTTTTTATATGTGATAGAAACAAAGAAATCCAAAATTATTCTAATAGACCGCGTTTAACTTGCACGGTGGCACGTCGATTTCAAATATATATTATCATTTCAATATATCGATATGTCAAGTGTAGCACATATCGTAACGTCGTTAAGGTATTTTAGGTACATATGTATCTAATATTTATTACCTTTTTGTTACAAAAATCGCACTGCGTCGATCGATGGAAATGTGTGCGTACAAAATCGTGTGTAGCACGCGTTGGTTTCGGTGGTCGGGGCGGCGCCGCTTCTCGAGTCGCAGCGCGGCTTGATGACCGGACGCCACCTACTCCCTCCCATTCCCACCAGACCAAAGCATCGCCGAAGCACAAACACGGTTCAAACCCCGGGTGAGATGATAATTTGTGACTTTTGCTGAAATATCCATAAATACTAATATTACAAATGCGAAAGAGTGTCCGACTAACTGTTTATGTCCTTTTTTCGACTCAACGGAAGACGGAATCTAAATAAATATGACTTGAAAATAAATTGTATCACGAGGATAAGTATAGGCTGAATATAAGTCATAACAAGACAAGTTATGAACAATATTAATAGTAATGAAATAATTAGGTTAAAGTGTATTCGTAGAATCCTGTCAGTTTAGGAATACTACAGACCAAAGTTAAAAAGGATATAATTGATAATAAAGTTTAATAGAACAAATACGGATGACTAGAATTGAGAATTTCAAATTTAAAACAAATTAAATAAGTACATAATTTAGAAAAATACCAAAAGTTTTTAAAATCGATAAGAAATTATTATTTAACTAATATACAAATGAATGAGAATTGTAAATGGATGTAGATATATAAGAATTTCAAATACGTTACCTAAATTTTATGTCAACATCTGGCGGTAGAAATTGATATCTCTTCATATGATGAGGTACAGTGGAATCTTGACATTCAGCTAATAGAGCTGATAATGGTATATTCAAATATCCTAATAGCACTTCGTCTTTTTCACCAGGTACAGTGGCCCAAACGTTTATATTCAAATATTTGTGATTCTCGTTTAACTTGAAATCAGTCTCCTCATCAAAAGGTATTATCGGTTTCAACTGTATGCTCTTAGTCCAAAACATCTGACAGATTTCTACGTGCTCGCTCTGCCTGGGTCCTCCTGTCTCAAATATTGGGTCTTCATCGTCCAATATATCGGCTTTTTCCGATATTTTGCATTCTGAGGAGTCGGTTCGGATAATAGGTATTTCTGGGTGTTTGACGGTTTTGTTCACAGTAGTAACTTGGCGAAGAGGGGTGCTAGCCCCCGATGCTGGTGGTGTGCTACCCGCAGAACTGTCGGAAGATTTATTTTCTACTGAGCATCTTCGTTTTCTTAATCCAAAATTGCCAGGCCCAGTAGAGTCTGATGTCTTTGATGGTTGCTTCGTCAGTTCTCCTTTTTGTTTTGGCTGACTTTCTGTTTCCATTTGTGGTTCCGCTGGTTTAGAGGGAGAATCTGATTCCTAAAATTTTAAAATAAAAACGAATTAAGTTAGATATATACATATATATTACTATAATTAAACGACAAAAGTAACAACTATCAGCTATTCCGAAATTAATAATAATTGAATTCTAATTAAATATGTTGTATAAATATATAAAATAAAGTTTGAGGTGAGAAATTTATAATTCACACCCTTTGTTTGATAGATGTTGATACTCAATATAACACTTTGACACTTCCTTTAATATGGGACGTAATTTATGGGGTTATCCCTTACATGTAAATTAGTTCTAGACGTGGCTGCCTTCATCCCCTGAAGCCGGACTCCTTCCATAACTTCGGAGACGCGGCGGAAGGTGAAGTTTGTGCGCAAGCGGCGCGGCTCGGTGCTGGCAGCGGAGGCGCCGGCTGCCAGACCGCTGGTTATGAGTGCGTCGTCACGCCGTGCGCCGCGACGTACCCGCACCGTCACCGCGCGACGGTCCACGCATTTTAGTAATTTACCTACCTACAAATAGAATACCAATTACCATACTACATAACTCTACTCTTATGATATATTCTACTGTTAAGAAACTTATACTGACAAATTAACATAATTTGTCAATATAAGTTTGAATTTGATGCACAGTATATAGGGTTTCAACCATTGAGTTATTAGGTCCATCTTGATTCAACAAAAAATGTTCTGCAGATAATCTAGAGACAATAAGTGATATGAAAATTCTCTTCACATCGCTTTAAAGAATATTGGTTTTTATATAACAAGGGTTGTTTTCATACATGGTAAGTGGAAGGGCGTCTGAAGTCTAATTCCACCTATACTCAAGAACAACAAGCCTATAAATGACATATAACTTACTTGTGCAACATTGTTCACCGGCTTGTTATCTATGGCTAATACGATGTCATCTCTTCTCAAGTCAGCGCGGTATGCGGGTGACATGGGGACCACAGTGTCCACCAACACCACTCCTACTCCTTGACAGCACACTAGCCCGAGAGGTCCTGTCACAGCCGGTAACACTATGTCCAGAACTAGAACTCCACGCCTAAGGGACACCTTAAAGAAAAATGTAATAATTATTCCTCTGTTCATAAAATTTACAATCTAGTGCATAATTATTTTTACCTTTACAATGTTTTGATACTTTCTTTCAAATTTGGAAAGTATTTTTTTTTATCGATGATAATGGAATAGTGAAGAACTCGCCTGTGCTAACGGTTTACACTGACGGGGCACCAGTGGAGGATCATAAGATAAACATGAGGTCAGATCCGTTAGCCCAATTTGACAAATTCACCAGGAATTTATCACGATGGTTTCCAGGGGGAACCGCGTGGAGGTCAACCTGACATGGTACATTGCTAGTAATGGGGTCATGAGTCCACATTACTAACAATCCTCTTCCCCCTGGGAAAGTATTTACATAGGTGGAAGAGAAATGTTAGTAACACATATAAGATAATATTAATAATTTATATAGCAAAATAACGCTTGCCGGGTCAACTTGTATTTAAATCACAGATAACATAATATTACATATTAAATATATTTTATGTATCAATCAATTCAATCAGGCAACGTAGTAGTCTTTGTGTTAAGCCGCTCTCTGCCAAATAAACTCAATTAAACTTATTAATTTGTATCTGATTGAACAAAACTTACCCAACCATGTGAATCGACAGCTAGTGCGGCCCGCACGGTTCCGTTTGCTCCCGACCATTGTAAACGAGTAACCTCCATCAATCGCACGGTCAGGCGTCCCTGTGGTGTCGGTCCGTCCTCCCCTTCTACACTACCTGGTTCTGACTTGGGGAAGAATGGCTTGTATCTGTAATGAAATTAAAGAAACAGGAAAAGGGGAGAATCAATTTGACTATTCAACAATCCACAAATATTGTTTTGGCGTAATGAAAATACTACTAACGATAGAATTTAATAAAAATATATTGTTATTTGTTTTAATAGTGAGGGATCTACATTATATTGGTTATTCATGACGAAAGTATGAAACTAATAATGACCTCTATTTGGTTTATACTGTAAAAACTTGCTACATTTGTACCACAATAAGAATACTTACCGTATCTTATAGTTAGGCAGCGTGTGCCTTTGCGCGATAGCTCGTCTTATATGTGCAGCAACTAATGATGCCAGCCTAGGCTTGAGCTGTCTCCCCTGAAAGCGACCACGTACACGAAGTTCCAGCTTAGGCTGGGTTTCGAATGCCAGTGCCCAATGTGTATACGGTGTGCGTCTGAACATAACCCGTACGTTCCCACTTATGCTTTCAACTGCAAAAAATACGAATGTTATTCATATATGTTAGATATTGACCATTATGTGTAACTGTCTGGTATTTTCAGAATCCCGCAAACTCAAAAATACTAGCAATCATTTTAATAGTATATCTATTAAAATGATTAGAGATACCAACTAATCGTATCTACGAGATACAGATACGAGATTTTTAATCTTCGATACGGGATATAAGTCGTCGTCCTCATACAATTTTGTACTAGATTTTCACCTACACAAAATTAGAAGTAAACTGAGTAATTATTTCAATATAACCACAATTTCGTATTATTTTTTCATTTTTTATCGATTTTCGATTTTATAATCCTTGAAGTGATTTTTTTAGTTCTGGTTACGTAACGAAAAGTTTTAAGATCGGTACCATTGATTTCAATAGACAAGGTTTGGTAACGAACTACAATATATAAACGTGGCCGTAATTTCGATCTTTTGCAACGGTCAAACTTTGCGTATCCAATTTAATCAATTGACCCTTACGACGTTAAAGGTGATTGACACTTTATCGAGTCTAATGGTATAAATGAGCAAGTGCATTTCGCAATTGGGATGAAGAAAAACATGGGCCATTTTTCATCCCAGTCAAAACACGCTTAAAGCTTTAGCTTTAGAAATAAGCTTTAGCTATTAGCAAGAAAGTAATTTGTAAATAAACTGTACCTGTAATAGAAATATTTGCTATTTTTCCCAGTAACATAACTGCATCCACGTCAATCTTGAAGTTTCCATCATATGCAATATCGAAATTTAAGTCGAGAGATCGGAGCCTGGCGCCATCGTCTTCCAGTTCACCGTTAAGAAGGCGCAGATTTGTAATCGTTGGGAACTCTGTACCAACCTCGAGGGAACGGAGCTGGTGATAAATGGTTAATTATTTTTATTATTATATATATAGGTATAAAAAATAAAAGATGCAAGAGGTCGGAAGGTCGTACAAGTGAAGAATAAAGGAGTTTGAGTTTGGATTTGGTAATTTTTATACGAAATATACCGTATATTTCGTACAAAAATTATCAATTTCAATAAAATAAAATATAAATTTTATATTTGACTTCGAGACTAACTTACCAATGTTTTTAAATTTCATACTTAGATACTCTTAAATACGTATTGTTTGCTCAAGTGATCATGCCCTAAACAGAATAACATTTTCTCAATATGTATATTCACTTTCTAAATAATTACAAAGTTAGATTATTGTAAAAGATTATTTACTGTCAGTGATTCAAATATTTTCCCCGAGGATGTTTTGGCGAGGAGCTCTGCTAGTTCGGTGGCCATGCGCCGTCGTAACCATCGCGTATCCGCCGTGCTCTGTTGGAAGATGAACTGGAGCATTGCGTTTAAAGCGCCCTCTGGAGTGCAACCCGCTCCACGTGTCAACTCGTTCAAGATCTCCTGAGGCAAAAAAAAAGGGTTTAAAAGGCTTAAAATTTTAGAACTGTTCTTATATATATTTTTAAAGTATAATAGCTAAATCCGGCTGATTCAATAGAATATACTCTATATGTTACTCGATGATAATGTAGGAAATTAATGAATGTTTAATATTGTTCAAATATTTTTGAGTTTATTTATTCATTACCAAACATCACATTAACAAACAAACAACCATAAAATAATATATCCCCTTTATTATAGTACTATAGTTATGTCTATATTTATAGCAGTAAAGGTTGTAAGCAAGAAACGAAAGCTAAATGCCCCTGTCGGATATACAACACTTGTTTATCTCTAATATACATCACTCGTCTATGTACAATTGTATATAGAAGATTCTTGACAGATTCATTCTTGATCAGAAGTAATATACGGTTCATTTGCTCCGTTCTATTATCCCTCGCCTTAGCCTTGTATGTAACTATGTGTATCGTTTTCGCTATCCTTTCATTAGTTATTATTTCCACATGAACAAACCAACTTAGCAAACCCCTGGAAACTATCCTGGTAAATTGACCATGAATTTACCACGATGGGTTAACTGACCTGACCTCATGCTCATCTTATCATCCTCCACTAGTGCCCCGCTAGCGCAAAACGTCAGCGCAGGCGGGAGCACCATTCCATCATCATCCATAAGAAGAAAAAAACTGAGCAAGCTTTACGAATGTGAAAGAAAAATTTGTTTGAGGCTAGTACTTCTACGGTTTTTTTTCTCTAAGGTGTTGTATGGAAGCTGAAGTCCTACTTTCCTTACCATATATCAATGCTGTTATATAAGTGCTAAATGACGTCAAAATAATACATATGTTCTATAATTACTTCACTATGTAAACGAAACATCTTTATTCTCTTGCTTCAATAGTTAATTAATTACCTAATCCGTGTAATGATTTCGGAATTTTACTTTACAAGTAACCATTTAATCATTGTCATCTTTTACACTACTGGAATTGCAGGTAAGTTGCCGGCTTTTTATGGAGGAATAACCTCTTCATTTGAACGTTTTAAATCGTATCGGATAGGAAATACCTACCATTGCTAGGTACTAGGTACCAGGTGAATCACAACTTGGTTTTAAGTGGCAAAAATTTTCTAGACAATGCACGATGGAGGACCATAGAAACTTTAAGTTGATAAATAAGTATCTTATGGACACGCACGCTTCATTTTATGCTCGCCATCATTTTACATCATCTGAGGTCTTACCTCAGATGATGTAAAATGATGATCCACGTATCACGTACAACGTAGGTACATTTGGTCTTACCTCACCTGGGGGAAAGTTTTTTTATTGACTTGATTTATATTTTAATTTAGTTTTACTAATAAATAATCGTTAACAAACAAACATATTTTTATAAAATATAATAAAATAAGTGATAATTATTAAGTACCAGTGTTTGTTGAAGATTATATCAAGATTTAATTCTTGAAATTTTGCCCGTTCGTCAACTTGTCAAACGGGGTCAACGGCAGTTCGAAAATCTTTGGATAAACCGGGAACTATTGTGTTTATTACCTTTGATAAAGTAATCTATTTAATGATATAAATTACCTCGTAATAATAATACTTTGATGTTAATCTAAATAATTAAGGTTGTCATTTCATCACATTCCTAACGTTTGTTCCTTGTTTACTTTATTTATAGGAAAATAAGTATTTAGTTTTTACAATTCTTTTTCCTTTTGACTGTAAAGTAATATTAGAAATATTAGAGATTCATATTGGAAATGTTTAAATCATAGTCTCAAACAACAAAATACGTTACTAACTACCTACATAATAGTATTTTTACTACATTTATTTTGTTTTTACTGTACTCCCAATAATTCCTATAGTATATTCTCAATTAATTAATATATAATATATTATAATAAATTCATAATAATAAATTATATTATAATAATTCATAACTATAAATACATTATTAAATTGTCAAGTAATCTTTAAATTTTAACTCCCTAAACTGCCATACTAAATTCTATATTTGAGTACAGTTAAATAGTCACTTACACGCTTATAATACAAGGAATAAAAATAAATTAAATATGCCTAGTTATCGTCTAAAAAAGTAATCCGTGTACATCTTTCATGGGACATTGTATACGTTTTTATAATAAATTGTCAGATAGTGTTTTAAATTTAAGTGAAGGCAAATTTAAGATACATATAAAAAAAACACTTTGCTCTGAAGCTTATTATAAAATAAACGATACTTAAATACTACAATGTGTGGACTTAATTACAATTTTAACTTTTGTTATGAGCCATATAATTTTTCCCATTGACATGGATAATGTAATAACATTAAAGAAACTTATTATAAATGATTTTTTTATAATTTGTAATGACATAATGTAAATTTAATATTGTAATGGGTGAAAACTGTGATCGGTACAGCCTATGCTGTAAATAATATAATTGACGTAGTGGAGTAACCTGAAACAGTCATGCTCGCTATAAAGTTCAAACTTGTGGCGGCATGGTGGGCTGGGTCGATGTGCTCCCTCAAATATGGTTGAGTACAATGATGGCTGGCTCATACGTCATACTCGTGAACGGGTGCTACTTGTGGGGACTGGTCTGTTCAGGTTGTGAACACTGATTAAATTTTTTGTTCTTTGCGATAGCATATGCTGGTGGTCACTCTATTCTCCCAAATTTGAATTTTAAAAACTATATTTATATATAAACATGTTGTGTGATGTATATGTGTGAGTCTGTAATAGACCTACATGAATAAAGATATTTTAATTTGAATATATAAGTTGTTATTGTAAATGATGGAGACATTCAGTGGTGCAGTAGTAAACATAATTTATTTTCAATTACATCACAGTTGTACGTATAAGAGATAACTGTAACTTAGCATCAACAGTACTAATTAAATGTGATTTATTAAATTTTTTATGCAACAACTACTGTAGCTAATAGTACGACAGATTTTTATTATAAGATTTAGATAGTACATTATAATAAAAAACAAAACCTTGACCGTTATTGATATTAAAAATTAGGATACAGACGTTAGTTATTGACACCAATCTAAATACTACTTAATTGCTTAGGTACTTAGTTATTTATGTACCTATTCATAAGGGAGGCATAATTAAAGGTCATTATTTAGGTCGAGGCCTGAAAAACGAACCAAATGACGGAGTCCGCTAAAAATTAAATGCGCCAATTTGGAAGGGTAATTAACAGTAGATTTTTAAAGAATAAATTACATATTGAAAGCAGTAATACCTACTAATTTATTAATATTTAGTACCTTTATAACAGCGTTATCAGTTTTTTTTTCAGGCCAATGACAATGTTTTTAATAATTAACTAATACATAATTTATTGTTGAGAGTAGAACCTATTCTATACTACATGTTATATATAATAAAGTATCCTACAAAAGGTCGTCGAGGTAGGAAACTTATCGAAACAATAATTATAATAAGTCAACCCGAATCAATAAATCTTTTGTAAATTTAAAAGCTATCTAGATAGTTTTTTATATTTATCCCATGAGACACAACAAAATAACACAACATAATTTCTGCATTTCTTTAGGAACAACAATGCTGCAGACAGACACACAGACGCTTATATTATTATAGTTACTGATTATGATTTTAAAGATTGTTCCAAGGTGAATTTTCCTACTTTAAACTGTAACTTTTACACAGAAGAAGGTATAGTAATCTTCAAAATGTAAAGTTGAAGAAATTTAATTTAAAATAGCAACAATAAGCAATATGCTTCTTGCACTTTCATTCTTCTTGCCTGTATATGCTTTGAGAGTAAGTAAAATAAAAAAAAACTATTCCCAAGTTACTATATGCTACATTCAGTTTATTTTAATAAAGAATATGTCTATCTCTATTACTTACAGGTGGCAATGTAACTGGTAAACAGTATTGTTCATCAACGGATGATTTCTTCTCGAAGGGTCGTACGAAGTACAAGATGACGAGCAGCGGCACCGCCAGTGCTGATAGTGCACCAAACAGAGCCGCTAACACCAACCACGTCCAGTCCGGCATTGTTTGGTGCTATATTAAAAGTAAGAAAATATTTATTTTTCTAGAACCTTTGGGCCTCTTATGTTAACATTAAAAAACTAGGACATTTCACACAGTGCTATCTAGTCCCAAGCTAAAGAGAGCTTATTTAAGTTACTTAATTAAGTAATAAGGCGACAAGAAAATTAAGTAATAAATTTCTTAATTTTCTTACTGCCTCGCTAATGTGGGTGAGATCAGATACAGATATTAGTGTAAATAAGTTACATTTCCACATTATGTCTAAGTATAAATAAACAACAACGACCGCGTTCACTGAAGCGTTCAAGCTCTGCTGATCGATCATAATCGGCTACGGTTAGTTTTATTTTACATGTGTAGGTAAGTTAGTGGATATAAATAACTTAGTTACAGTATACCAGTAGTAGCCAGCGGCACTACTCATAAGTATTCAGCTGCTGTGCTGATATGTTATTCTCTGTTAACATTTAGATACTCAAAAGCAGCAATAACAAACAGAACAACAATAATAGTAACCCAGAACAATTAACACAGTCATGTAATCCCAAGCTAAGCAGATTGTGTTGTGGGTACTAGACAACTAATATAAATACTTAGATACACTTTTTTTTAATACATAGAAAACACCCAGAAGTATACAAAATCACGGGTAGAATTATTGGCATCGTGCGATAAAATCGAACCCGCTATCATCCGAAGTAAAGCGGAGTCCTAAACCGCTAGACCGCCGAAGCCGTCAAGAACAAGCAGAAGGCCTATCTTAAGATAAGCGACAAACACCTATATACTTGAACCACCGCACCTATAGTACACACCGCACATATAGTATATAGTTATAGGTATGTATATATCTACACATTGGTGGCAATTCTATAATTCAGTGTCATTCGATCTAGTTGCAAGTTAATAATTAATTATGTGAGACATAATATTATGGTGTGTAATATTATAGTCTGATGATGTAGTTGTACACTATAAGAAGTTTGTAATAAAAAAATATCTCATAATTTTGGGGATATCTAATATAAGCATGGAAGAAGAAACTATGAGAGTTTACATAGCTATAGTCGGCTGGCTGATACTATGTTAGCATATCAGCATTGATTACATAGTCTGCAGGTTATTTAGGCCAATATGTATAAAGTTATGTTTTCATGAAAACTTGTTTTTATTTTTTATTCATTCATTAAAATAATTGTGTAAGTAGGTACTACATGTGCGAATTTATATTCGTATGACGTTGCGCCTCATTTGATATTGGATTACATGCAGTTAATTAACCGGTTATATTTAAGGTTTTAAGTGGAGGTATTTACCCTAATACACGGTTCGTTATGTATGCACTCATGCAAGGCATTCCTAACGAAAAAATAAATTTGTGTGGTCATCTATTCTGTGGATCTATTTAATAACAAAAGATCTTATTGATAATGAATCAAGAACCCATATATGAAATATCATAACAAGGACGCTACGCAACAACACTATACATTGACCCAGCAGACGTTGTTTTGCCATATAAATTAAACTCGCTATTAAAAAGTAGGGGTTCGTGATAGAATGGTGAAAATTTAGGGTTGTATGTATTTTTTAATGCCAAATTATAAAAAAAATTTCCAAAAAATAAAAAAAATGTTAAACTACTCTTATCACTCAGCGGTATAAAAAAGAGATAGTAGCCGACTCTCTGACTTAATGAATATGCATATAAAATTTTATAAAATTTCAGAGTTTCGGAGGAGTATTGTAACTAACATTCAAACACAAGAATTTTATATATAAGATTCCTAAATTTACTGAAATAGTATGAACATGAATAAGTTTCTAAAATAAAATATACACGAATAACGTATTAGTACAGATAACCATTCATAAGATAATATAATTAAGTTACATTACATAATATTTGGTAATGGATTTTCTAATAGGATCTACATTGGGTTAGTGGCATTGAAACATTGACATCATAGTAATAATTCGTCGATATCTCTTTTATTGATGTTACGACAGTCCACGAAATGATGATGACAAAATTTTTACTTAATTCCAATTATTTAAGATAACTCAAACACAACTGGTCAGATATTTATAACATTTATTATTATGGAACAACACGGTAAACCGGTGTTAAAATTAAGAAAAAAAATAACGTAAGCAATAAAATGTTTAGACGACTCTCTTCCTTTTTTAAAATGAAAACAAAGCAAGTATTTTGAATATTGATAACTGTTTTAAGAAAAGTTATCAATATTCAAAATACTTGCTTGCATCATCCTGAGAAAATTACTAAATGGTTTTCTACGATTTTTTATAATAGCGAATAAACGAACTATTAATTATATAACAACTAACTATTATATTTGATTATTTATAATAACTAATTTTGAAAGTGGTGTGTATTTTATTTGTTTAAAGTTACATATAAATTGCTTTCAGAACATACGTTGATGATGACTGTCACGTTTTGTATTACACTCAAGGGTAGGGTAGGACGGGAGAGGTGTCACCCCTCGTAACTCGGACACGAACACATGTCAACCGAACTCCGACGTGCATGCAATGTACGTAAAGACATATTCTGAAATATTGCTATTTCTATTTTTATTGCGACAAAAGTTGTTTAGATTTTTTAACGGCTTACCTGCCTGTAAAGTGTAAAGGCCATACTACACCCGACTGTGCTGATGCTGTTCGCTACCGGGGCAGTAGTGGAGAATGAGCATAAAATTAGGGAAGTTAGTAAAGCGTAAGGAATTCACCAGGAATGAATTAACTACGATGGTTTCTAGGGGTGACCGTGTGGAGGTTGTTTTGACATGTTAGAAGGCTAACAATTGGATCAGTAGTCTCCAATAAGTAATTATTCCTTCCAAATAATAAACATAGATTTATGGATACTTCACATAAGTAGGTACTCTCCTATACAGATATTGGACCATTAAAAACAAAAATATTGCAGTAATGTTTTCACTTTTTTTTAATAAATGAAATAATATACCTATTCAAAATTTGAAAATGTGGAGCACTATTCGATGAGCATTTGTGAATTTGGTCTCTAAAAATGCATTGTATATATTGTACATGAATTGTAATATGTTTTGTTTTGTTTAATGACTTTCTTAATGAAATTGCCTGTTAAAATTGCGTTCTTACCGGGAGAGGTCCATTAAACTCGGAGTATTATACAAAACAAATGCTATTATTATTTTTGACGACTCCTAGTGGTGTTGGCATATAAAACACTGCCTCACTTTTCGATAATGGTGGATTCATTTGGAATATTTCATGATCATCCGTTTAAAAAACTTGAATAGGAATGGGAGGGGATTGTTAGTAATGGGAACTAGTGACTCCATTGCTATTCATCAATACAGAAAATATGAACGAATAGATTGAATAGAACATCAGTCGGTTCTAACATTAACACTTGCAAAGTAACAGTAGTGGATCATAGTTTCAGGACGAAGTCCGGCCAAATAGTTCATCGTGACAAATTCTCTATGATTTAATAGCAATGGTTCCCATAGATCGACTTGACAGGGTATTTGCTCGCTATGGACCTATTTTGATGTACCCACCTGTGCTAATAATATCCTCTGGCGGGGCGCTACTGGAGGATAATAGAATTACGTTGAGGCCAGTTAGCCCATAGTGGTCAATTCACCAGAAATTAACCAAGATAGTTTCTAGGAGGGACAGTGTAGAGGACAATCTGTCAGGTCGACATTGCTAGCAATGGGGTCACTAACTCAGATTTCTATAAATCCTGCTTCGTCGACTAGCCCCGTTACAGCCACCATTCGAACAGATAGCAACAATCTACTAGGCTACTATAAGTATATATATATATATATAGAATTGCGTCACGTGATTTGATGATTTATGACGTTGTCTAATGCCATAAGGTTTGCGTTTACTGCATTCAAACAGTTTTAGTTGCCGTTTACACGGATCGGGTTACGACATCGTTCTATGGTTACGAGCATAGCAATAGCAATAAGCCCAGTTGTTAAGTCACGGAACTACTCCACTAATCGGATGGAATCAATTGTAGGTAACCTATTTTATTTAATCTATGGACTCTAAAGCAATCGAAGTATATCATGCTTCTTTCTTATGTTTCTCGCTAAAAATAAAATGATTCTATTGCTAAAAAGAATATGTGAGTTACTCGAACTCTTAAAAAGTTTGTGACTGTTTAATCCGTATTAATATTATAATTTTAATGCATATGAAAAATGTGCACTAATGTCTGTCTGTCCTTTTCACTACTATATATATAAAAGTATGAATACACACATAAAAATATAGTTCAAAAGGATGGCACAAAAAAAGCGATATATGTTAATTTAAAAAAAAACAGCTATACTACATATAACAGAAAATTCATTTATTTTGTAAATTAAAAGAAAACAGGAAAATTGAAGGCAAGGTACCTAGTTTGAAATTATGTCGGGATTCTAAAGACTTTCATAGAAGAAAATAAGGCTAGTGCCTACACAATGTACAAAACTAGGGCAAAATGAATAAGGACTGGATAGTCTTTTGTTCGAAGCACAAAAAGAGCAACTTTACATATGCATAATAAAACAGCCGGTAGATACTCGCCAACTTTTCAACCGATTTCAAAAAGGAGGAGGTACACGAATAGATCGTTTTTTATATATAACAAGATATTTTCGTCAATTTTGTACGGATATCGATGATTTTTTCATTGATTTGATTACATCTGTATTCATTGCCACACTAATGTTTTACTGCGTACTTTGGTTACATTTAAAATTAAATATATAAATTTATAGAGAATTTGGAATAAGAGTAAATAAAAAACTGTATCTGTTCGTTATTAAAATAAGTTCCCGCATTTTGTGCTGACATACGTAATTTTCTTTTACGTAATTTGAATTGAAAACGTAACTAACCGCTCACCTGATGGTAAGTGGCAACCGTCGCTTATATACATTAACAGCACTAGGGATATCACGTCATCATGTGACGCTCATGGTAAAGCGCTGCCATTTTAGAGGACTAAGGTATATACCCTGTAGTTTACAGAGGGGGTTTAAAAGTTATCACACATATGGTACAAATGACAACAATTATACCTCCACACATGGTCATATTAAGGAAATAATAGTTATTTGCTTAGTACCTACTAAAAAAATTAAAAAGTACCTAATAATCGTAAAATAACGAAACAATACGGTTGATTGACGATTGATCATAAATGCAAAAATAACGAATAACCAAATTCGTTGACCTTTGGTGAAGATATCACGTAATACCACAGCACTAAAAAAGACTTGAAAGCCTTCATGTAATCTAAGTCGATTAAAATTCATAATAAATCGATAATAATAGACATAAATAGATATATGGGAACTTACTGTTGTCTACTCTGTAATAGTGAAAGTGTATTAATTAAACTAATTATTACACTATAAAAAATATATATTTTTGGATGGATGATGGCAGTAGAGCGAAGTACCTGATGATAAGGGTCCCCGTAGTCTAGGGACGTCAGTAATATGTACCGGGGACATCACGTGAGCATTACACACAGAAGAAAATTTTGAGAATCTTTTCATATACAGCTAAATTAAGAATTTTAATGAATTATAATAATTATTAATTTTGATTTAATGTAATGTAGTGCTTTATATTTTGAAATAAAAAAAAACAATAAACATGCTACTACATTCTACGAACAACAAAACCATGAAACGTAAACGTAACGTAACACGACTCACCTTACCGATATATCTAAAAACAACAAATTATTTACTACGCATACTCGTAATACACAACAACAATTGACATTGACCACTATCTTCTTATATAATCTATCTAAGTTTGTCCTATTTTGATTAAAGAGGAGCTGTTTAAGTGTTATTAAAAATCATTTTTTGACGCACGCCGGATCACCGGCGGCCGTGCGCGTTTTTTACATTACTAACATTTTGTGTCTTTACTATTTTGATAAAGCTCTTTGGGAGGGCTATGGGCATGCGCGACCCTTCGCCAATTGGACCAAAGTTCATACTCGGTATCGGAAAGGTCTTACGCGAAGAAACTGATAAAGAACAGCTGTCTTTTATCTTCAGTTATAATTTCTCGATTATTTCAGATTATCCTGAAATCAAACTGTATTCACTGCATAATTTCCAACACTATTCGTATCCAATGCTACACGTTGTTATTACATTGGATCTAGAATCGTATTGAATAAGATTTTTTTGGAAATTGGCACGAATGTTCAAGTAAGACGCTTGCGCGTAGGACCGATCGATAGTTGCCATATTGTCCTATTCTATACAATCAGTTCCACCTATAAAGTTACAGGTGTTTAGTAGCTGGCATCTCATGCCAGCAAAAATTTAAGCTAACTCCAATGCGTAAAGATCAAAATGCAACAGCATTACAGAATTCCGATTCATTCATGAACTTTGAACAAATTGTTTACGGGAGAGGAAATGTCAATAGAGGTCAAATTGGTTTCGTTTTACGCCTATGAGGTACACAGGCGTAAAACGATTTATATATATTCCAAAAATCTGTACCTAATTGATAAAGGGTAAAGTACTTTGAGGTGAAATTTATTTATAATGAATAGAGGAGAAATGTTAGAAAGCGTAGCCAATTTTCTATATTTAGATATTATTATGTTCACTATATTATATTTTCTTAAATTAAATCTTATTTGATCCGATATAAAAATAAATAGAAACTTATATAAATTTCCAATTTGTATTCTGTAAGACAAAATGGAATAATGACTATCATCAAAAATATATTATATAGATATAACATCTATTTTACTCGAAAAATGATTGTAAGATTGAATATTGTCGTAATGGTATTATTTCTCGAAAATGTGGCAAGGAAAATACCTAAATTTACTTTATTTATTACTTACTACGTGACAATTTAATTTCAATTACGGTACCTCAAAACATTTTCCATGTAAAATGACATCGTTAAACTTCATTTATAACGTATTTTCCTTAGTATATTTTTATAGCGGTCTCATGAAGATATAGGATGCGCGCCCTCACTTCATATTACTTCAAACACAGACGTTATACATTCTAGTTATTTCAAATCAAATTATATTTTATTCAATGGATGCAAGTATTATTTTAGAATACCAATAAATGACATTATATGTGGTCCAGCGGTGTAGCACACTGCTTTACTTCCGATGGTAGCGAACTCCGTTTCTAGCACGATGCAGACATTTGTATTTATGAGTAGTATTGGTTTAGGTGTTTTTTATGGATTAAATATTAGATAAGTATGTATAATATTTACGTCAAAATAACGTATACGTATTTATCGTCCAGTACCTACTCATAACACAAGCTTTTAGCTTGTGACTACATGGCGCTGCTGTGTGAACTGTCCTGAGATGATATTATCATATGTCTATCTATTTTATTTATATTCATTTTGTAAACGTCGTCTATGGCACGGCTATGGACACCCCTGTCTCGCCTATTTCAACAGCCAAGCAGTTTGCTATGTTAGCTGTGTCTCAAGTTTAAGAGTGCGATGACTGTGAAATTATACGGTAGGTATAGACAGTTGACTACAGTCTTCCGGAATGGAATCAAATGAGTGGTACCGCAGATCATGTGTCCATATAGTTGACGATTACCATTTAGCATCAGAAGGGCCGTTAGATCCTCTGCCATCCTAACATCAAAAATATTTACGATGGGATAGGAGTATAGAGCTTAAGTGCATTGACTATTTGCATATCTCTTTGGGTTTTATAAACGATTGCGTGCATCTATCCTATTCCTATAACAAACCAACTGCATCCATACGTAGTTAATATATACGTTCACACAGAGGACGGCCATAAATATAGAGTACCTACTGGCTTTTGTCTGCCTAACGAAATATTTTTGCTTGTATCCACTTCTATTGTACGTAACACCTGTTGAATTTACGATACTGTTACCGAGCTATATGTGCAAGCAATTTTGTTGCAGCTCCCAGGAGACCATTACTTTCCAGATTGCAGCTATTTATTATTTACTATAAAATAGTGCCTCTGCCGACCTATGCGATCGTATAGTAGCGGTACTGGATAAACACAGATTGCAGCAAGTAGTGCAACGTAGTATTGTAATGTTTATACTTGTGTCTGGTATTTTATATATCATCCGTCATACTCGTGAACGAGTGCTGCTTGTAGAAACTGGTCTGCTCACTACGATCACTACGACTGACAGAATCTTATTGAGTATTTTATATTCTGACCTTAATAAATTAGTGCTAGTTGGTAGTTTGTATTCACAATTCACATACAAATACATAAGTTACAATTATTATTTAAAAGAGCAACACGCATATTTCTCGTTCAATCTTCTTGTGATGAGACAGCTTATTGATAAGTGCTTATATTCAGTTTATTTGAATAAAGGAGTTTCTATTCTATAATATTATAGTATAACATATAATTAGCTTATATACATACTTTATAAGATTATATACCTATGATCAAACGCCTCCTAGCCTCCACTTAACAGGACCCGCGTAGGCGGACTAAGGACTATGCGTGACTTCAGAGGTCAGGACGCCTCTGTGTATCAGCTGTGGAGTTGCATGGATAATGTAAGTTTTAACATATTTTTCAGAGAAAGACTTTACAAAGACGTTTATGAGTAAGGAAGAGGTATAGCGATCCTATCCATATATTTCAGCCAGCTACATACCTAACATATTCTCTGTAAGCTGTGGTGTTTTCGGTTTTGATTCGTTTCGTCTTATTTCGTCGGAAATATACCGCGAATTTTAAGTCTTTCATATACGCAGAATTTAAGAATACGAAAATAGTAGTATTATAAATTGAATATATTAAAATTTAATTAACATTTTGTAAACAAACGGAAAAAAGAATCAATTGATGTATGTATAATTTACAATATATATTTCATTGGTGCTTACATAATGTACAAATATCTAATCACTCTACATAATTCATACACTACATATAGGTCCTAATATACATTCATTTGTTTTTTCACTTGTAAACAATTTATTGTTTAATGCACCACATTTTATTATGCCTTAAAATGTATTATGATTAAGTAAAAATATATTTGTTATTTCATTTCTTGTTTCTTGTAATTTATGCGTCGGAGAGAGCCGCTACGCCGGGTAGCACTTTACCTGAAAACAAATATATTTGCATAAAAACTGTTGCAAACATTATGAATACTTTATACTGAGACTACAATTGTTCTATTCTAGTTAGATGGAGATAATTTATATATATATATACAAAATTTTAATTTATTTTCAATAAAAAAATAGTAATAGTAACTTGCAAACATGGCACATCTCGAAACGGAAATCATATACGTCAGCAAATTGGAAAAAGAGGCGCATGACAAAAGCCCTAGTTGGTAAAAATAGCGTTTACATATAAACATATCTATATATATATGTTGCACATAGAAGCATAAACATGCTTCTATGTGCAAATAATTGTATATGTGCATCTTTTTGGTCATAGTATGGCATTAGACAAAGTCATGGTATGTCAGAGAGATTAAAATGTAATATCAGTTGTTCAATATATTGTTATAGATTGACTTAATCATCGTAGTATAAAATAATACAACAAATATTAAAATATTTGAGATATGCTCTTTTAAAGTGAACAGATATGTAATTTTGTGTATTCATCAGTAGTAGTGCGAGCTATAATGACAGTAAAAGCTAGAGATTAGTAATAAATGTTGGAAAACGTGTGTTATATGGAAAATAGATTTGTACAAAGTTTGGTTTCTTAACACCAAACTTTGTACAAATATTATACTTGTAAATGCTAGGCTATTTATTACTTTATTACGGTTGTATACATTGTAACGAAATTTAACATAAAAATAGATTGTATCAGGAGTACATATTGTTTTATAAAAATAGTAAATTTCCGTGTAAGCTTTAATAGTTTTAAAGATGTTAAAGCAGACGAAATTCACAGCTGTAACAGCTAGGTATGCTAGAGTTTGCAACGATCAGTCATCAACAGTGGCTTTAAAAACAATACTCACCTTCAAGAAGTTCGAGTGACGCACCACCTCCAGTTGACACGTGAGAGACCTTGTCCTCAGTACCCCATTTGGCGCAGCAAGTAGCGGTGTCACCACCACCTAGTCATATACGGAATATAAAAATACAACAGTACCATCCTATTTTTTATTTAACGACGGCCTCGGTGGTGTGGTGTGGTTTAGCACACCGTCTTACTTCCAATGGTCGCTGGTCCGATTCCTCGCACGGCATATACATTTGTATTCTTGAGTACCTATAATTGTTTGTATCGATCTGGGTATTTTCTATGTATAATATGTATGTATTTATGATAAAAATATATCTATGTATTTGTATCAGTTATCTGGTACTCATAACAGAAGCTTTAACTAGCTTAACTTGGGTCTAGATGGCGCTGTGTGAATTCTCCTGGGATTATTATTATTATTATTTCTGTATTTGTTACCGATGTTTGTATAAAGTCGCACGTATACGTATACGAAAACAGAAATATTTTTTATGTCATTGGAATACCAATCAAACTAAAGGCCATGCTATAGTAAGTAGAAACCGTCTTCTATACAAGATGTAATCATTAAGTATGTACAAGCAATTTTTCCTGAATCATTACAGATATAAAAAAATCTGTAACTAACTAAGACTTTTGTACGATGGTCTCACTGCAGAGTGAGTATACTCACCAATAATAGTGACAGTTCCTTTGCTAGTTGCATTTACAACGTCGTCCATGAGGGCCTTGGTGCCACCCGCAAACTTTTCAAATTCAAATACTCCAGCGGGGCTATTAAACAAAAATAAGCCATATGGATTACATACATAAAAAGTTATTTTAGTTTAAACCAGGTAGATATTTTAGAATTAATAATGTGGATACCAACTCTTCATATGAGGTATGATATAAAAAGTTGGCAATCTCAAATAAAATAATTTATACTGTCAATACATAATTATTAAAATTATCTATGTTGGTGGCATAGTATTACTTATTTTAGACGCCAAACAGTTTGCTTTGAAAGCAGTATTTCGGTTGTAGGATGCCAATTAGACAGAGACATTATAAGATAAGAGGCATGACATCTTAGTCCTCTGGAATTGCAGTTCAGCAGTGATACCATGGACATTTAAGAAATTTTTAAATCATACCCATTCCATACGATGACTCTAGCTCTTGCAATTGGTTCAGCAAAGAGTTGCCTTGACTTAGGACCAACATCCAATCCTATCCATCCATCTGGAATGCCACTCTCGATGGTCGCAGATCCAACCTAAACAGTTAAATAAAATTAGTTACTATTATCTTAATATTAAACTCTATACAGCTCATGTGTATTTCAATCATAAATATATTAACACCTTCACTAAAATATATATTTACAAGCTGTACCCGCGAATTCGTCTGCATGGAATTTAACTTTATTTTTCTAAAATAAAATATTTTTTTAAAATAAAGTAGCTTAAATAACTCCTTATTATTATACCTTATTATTATATAACTTCTCATTACCAAAAAATGTCACGTCAAAATCGGTCCAGCCATTTCAGAAATTAGCCGGAACAAACAGACAGACAGACAAAAATTGTTAAAAATGTTATTTTGGTGTAAGTACCATATTTATTTTCATCAAAGCATGCAAAAAATGGTTATTTCAATATTACAAACAGACACTCCAATTTTATTTTTATTTATAGATATTAAATGGCTGTGGGTTCAACCTTAATGTATTTAAATATTTCTATTAGTTGTCAATTGTCCATAGTCAAATGCTCTGTTTAATTCAGAATTAGATGGTGCTGATGATATATTTAGATTTGTTTATTACAATTAATAACATAAACTTAAATTAAGAATTACCTGAGCATTTTCATCGAATTTGTCAGCAGTGACAAAGTCCACAGGAAGGTGTACTTTCACATTATTTTTAGCAGCCTTCTCCAATAGTTTAGCTACAATTTTAGCACCTTCTCCATCATATAAAGAGTTGCCAATCTAAAACAAAATAATGTATACTGTTAAAACATAATTATTAAAATTTAATAGAAAATAGTAATAAAAAGGATGAGATTATAGTAGTATGAGATTATGTTATATTTTTGGTAAAGTAATTTTAAATAAATATCAAAAATCTCCGACAAAGTAGGAGATTTTTGAGGTTTCAGGTTTTAATATTATATTTTAGAACAATGAGAGGTATATGCTATCTAATAATCTAGAATATTTAGGAAATAATGGTGAAACAAAAGAATGTGTACTTACCGCCATACCCTTGGTTTCCTTGAGGAATGTATAAGCCATACCACCACCAATGATCATCTCATGAACTTTGTCCAGCAAATTTTCTATTAGCAAAATTTTATCTGCCACCTTAGCACCACCAAGTATTGCAAGGAAAGGCCTACAAGATGAATACAATTTATTAGATGGTTAATAAAATTTCTATTTATCGTAGTACTAATTAATTGTTAAAAAAAGTAGTTGGTATAATGATAAATAGAGAAAACTGCCAAACATATAATGGGATATAAGTTCAATATGATTATAGTGATGACATAAAGCTCTACATCATGAGCTTTAAACATTATATATTGATATATATTGATAATATGAGAAACATTAAACATGTAAAATTGTTAAGTTGCAAAATTATAGTTTTGTAGTTTACCTTTCAGGTTCATGAAGAGCTTTGGCAAAGTACTGCAACTCCTTCTTTAGCAAGAAACCGCTGGCTCTTTGGTCAAATCCTTCTCCCATCATTGAACTGTGAGCTCTGTGTGCAGTACCTATTTTTATGGTATTTTTTAACTATTGCCAAACTAAATACATATTTTTGAGGAAAGCAAAATTGATTCTATTCTATTTCAGTATACTGATTTGTAGTAGACATCCTTCTGGAAATGTGGTATATATGTACTTTACAAGAAAGACTGTTTGGACCCATTGACAAGCAGTTTTTTTTAGTACATATGTTTGTATGTAAGTAGTAACTATTAAATTAATGTAGTATTAAAATTATCCTCCATTTTAGTTAGTCAAGCCTCAATATCACAATGAATATAAATATTTAGGCATATTTAGAAACAATGCATACCAAAAGCATCATTGATGTAAACATCACCAAGCTTTCTAAGGCTGGCTCTGAATTCTTTAACTTTTGCAGGGTCGGCTTTAACCTTTGATCCATTAGTGTCAACTCCTTTGCCTTCTTCTTCAATATGAAATCGGAGATTCTCTAATAGAATAATTGATCCGACTGGGGGATCAGCACATGCACCCTCCACTTCAGGCCCTATACAATCAGGTAGGAAAGTAATATCCCTAAAAAATAAAAATTTATATTACAATTTACTTTAAGGCATTTAGGTAACAGATATCACTAATCACATTTTTTATAAAGAAAGGAGACCGCTACAACAGGGATATACTGTTTGCGTTGTTGAAAAGAAAGAAAAACTTTACCATCACTTTGGGAAAATCTATGTCTTTAAAATATATATTACAAAGTTATAATCTTTATAGTACTGGTTTTACATTTTAGTTGATTTACCTATTTAGTAGCTTCTTCAGTTCCTCTGCGACCGGCTTTAGAGTATATTTAAGATTTGTTTGCCCGTCTGGTCGACCAAGATGTGACATGAGAACAAGAGATTTGGCACCTTTATCCAAGGCATATTTAACGGAGTCCAACGCAGCGACTATGCGTTGGTTATTCGTAATCACACCTTCTTTTAGCGGTACATTGAAGTCTACTCTAAAAAGATACAAAGAAATTAAAGTATATTGAAGTAAGTAAACTTTTATTACATGATATATAAGTAATTACCTAATCAGTACTCTTTTGCCACTTAAATTAATAGCGTCAATACTAAGTTTGTTTAGCGCCATTATATTCTGTATATTTAAATTTAAAGTAAAGCAGAATTCTTATTATTAATTTAAATAAACGTAACACAGCGGTCAACACGGTGAACTCGAATTGTCAAATTTAACCTTGATTGATTGCGATAGGTCAAATATGACAACTATTCTTGACATTAGAAAATTATATCAAAACTGTTTTAGAGCCAAGGATTTTTTATTGATTATACGATTGTGCAAGTACCTCTATACTTTTTGGGTAGTTTACGTTTAATGACCCGCATAATATTTGAAATTTTATTCACTGTAAGGTTTTGTATTATGTATAATGATTTTATTATGAGCTTATACCATTATCTGTGCGAAAGGGACCAAATCCTTTATTAGGAGGAGGATTTTCAGAAAGCCCTAATTTGAATATTTACGAAGTGTTTAACAATTTAAATAAACTGGCTTTAAAAAAAAAGAAATTTAGTCGAGTTTTTTTGCTCTGAGTAATAGTTCATAATTCTATTTGTAATGTCCACTAATTGTTCCTCAGTGTTACCACAGATAATATAATATTCTGTACGAATTTGAAAATCCTTAAATATGGCAACATTACATTATTAGTATGTTGGTCATAGATTAGAGTGGGACGCGGGCAGCGGCCTCCACGGTAGTTATGTTAACTTTATGTTGTTGGTATAATTGATCCTCTTCGCGAAATATGCACGCATTGAGATGCCTGAATTTAGAATCTTCTATGAATATCTATGTTGAAGATTATAAAAAAACGCGAGTGGCCCTCAAGTTCCGTCGGATATCTATTCTAAACTGTATTTATAATTGTTATTCTTTGTGTGATAGTGACTGTAGTGGGTGACAAACAAAGGAAAACGTAGTGCGTCTAAAGTTAAAACATGGTGCCGCTAGGACCGGGGCCAGGCCATCCTGTTGCGCATCAAACACACGGTGGCCCTTCTACTAATCTAACAGGCCCAAATTCGCTTTCACAAAGCGCTCCACAATCTAACAAATCTTCAGTGGCGGTAAGTTTCATCTTACTATTGTTATTTCATAGCTTTGCGTCAGTCGCGAGCGGCACATGTTTATGTAACTTTATGATTGAACACGTGCGATTTGGCGCTAATTTCTCAATTGTTTTTCAGAAGCCGAATTACACTCTGAAATTTACGCTTGCTGGTCACACGAAAGCGGTATCGTCAGTAAAATTCAGCCCTAACGGAGAATGGCTTGCTAGTTCTTGTAAGTACAATTGTTGTTCGATTTGATAGTATCCTACATTTTCGTAATTCGTCGTTGCTAGCATACTATATGCAGTGTTACTCAAATAAGACCTTTAAGTACAGTCCTTGAGGGCTCATAATTTATGAGTAAATATATGACAGATGGTGTAACTGATAGAAATATGTTAATTCTTGTATATAAAGTTTGTGTACTTTTATGGACCTTGTGTCAAAAGTCAGGGTCCAATGTGGCTTCTTATTGTTGTACTTAGTGTGATGTTACACAATGTTAAATGAAAAAAGAATTATAATTGCCACCCTTCTTTATAATATAATAAATGTGGTGGTACTGCCATATTTGATAAATATTGCACAATGTCCCAGTTTTTAGATAACTTAATGACACACTACCATGGAAAGTTATTTGTACCATAGTATTTCTTGTTTAATATTATTGTACACATAATTCTGGTTTTCAATAACAGTGAATAAGTACTTTATACAGAATGAATACAGTATTAGCTATGTTAATGTTTTAAAAATACATAATATTTACAAATTACCCCGGGACAATTAACATATCTTTTAAAGTACTTTAAAAAATATGAAATTCTTAGATTTGTATTAATTAGAAAAATATGTATCATAAATTTAATATTTAATATAAATTGGTATTAATTAGATCATATATAGGTATTATATAGGGAGTTGCCAGAGCACTATATTTGTACCTATGACAATCTACAAATTAAATATTCACCAACTTTGAAATTTATTAGTTAGTATTAGTTAGTTATAAATAAAAAAAATACAAATTTAAACAAAATGTTTGTACTTATATAATACTTGTATTGCTTTTCAGCTGCTGACAAACTTATAAAGGTGTGGGGTGCTTACGATGGCAAATTTGAGAAGACTATATCAGGCCACAAAATGGGAATCAGTGATGTGGCCTGGTCCTCAGATAGTCGGCTCATTGTCAGTGCTAGTGATGACAAAACATTAAAGGTATTATAAATACTCAGCTTAAATAGACATATCTGACTTAAAGTGGCTAATCTGAAATATTTAATTTACCAACAAATTTTGAAAATTAGAGGCATATGATTTTTTTATTATGATAAAGTTATTCAATATTCTCCCAATAGTTCTTGTCGGTTTCATAATTCTTTTTGTTATCCTTAGAGGCTTTTCAATGGAAAGCTTATAAGTAGAAATAATCTTTATTCAAATATGCTTAATATAAGCACTTTTGAATAGACATTAGTTTTAATCTCCACTCATTCCGGTGGTAGATTCATCACAAGAAGAATGAGCAAGAAATTAATAACTACTAATTTTATACTTGATGACGTTATTGATCTTTCTCTTCTGTGTATGATAGTCCTATCTTGCAGGTTGTCTGTAAGAAATTGCTTATAGCGATAAGACCACCTTATATATTTTCTATTTATTGTTTTTTTTTTCTTAATATATTTCTTCTATGTGCACAATAAAGAGTTTATTATTATTATTATTCTTTATCTTTATAGATAATAATAATAATATATATATTTTTAATATTTGACAATTGACACAAATACTTATATAAAGTTTTTTGTATACTTGGATAATGTATATAGAAAACACCCAGACCAATTAAAACCATCATACTCATGAATACAAATATTTGTACACTGCAAGAATCAAACTTGCCACCATCAGAAGTAAAGCTAAACTGCTAGACCACAGAGGCTGTCAATAATCTTAACAATATAATAATGTTAGTCTAGATTTTTTATTGATATTATTTAAATAACTTTTATTAATATATATAGACATTTATTATTATTGTATAGATGAAACTGCAAATATGAATCTGATGTGATTTGATGAATGTTAGGTTTGCAAATGTCTTTTCAGATTTCCAAATTAGTAGATTACATTAGCTGACATAAGAAAGCAGACAATAGTTGTATATCATTACTAATATGAATAAGTTAGGTGTTAAGAATAAAATTAGCTTTGAGTTCTTGTTTTTAAAATGACAGGACTATAATAAAAATAATAATAATATATATAATATCGGATACAATCAGTCTAATAATTTTATATTAATTGTGTAGAACTTTTACTACATATGTATATTTATATTTTGTTTTATCTACTATTTTCATATCAGACCATGTTATCAGTACCTATTGTAAAAGTTTTTAGTATATGTTCAAAGATACCATCCAGAAAAAATTCTCATGACTATTGCTTAGATAAGGAAGGTTTACTTTGATAAAACTAGTGATAAAAGCCCAAACAACTGGTTTCGAAAGATTTTAACTAAAGTTGCCTTGTTTGTTTTCTTATACATCACGAGACCAGAGAGTAGTTTCTTTCTAAAAAAAGTAAATAATTATTGAGGTCTTTGATAAGGTTCAATTTCGCATATTTTTTTTATTAACTGTTGATTGACCTGACGGCGCGAAACTTTAATAGTTCTTGCTCGATAACAGTTTTCTTTGTGAAACAACATTTTTATTACTATGAGATAATAATAATTGCTTCATTTGTGACCAATATATGAACGATAATGTAATATACAGTCGGCGGGAAAAGTTGAACAAAGTAAACTTGAACATAGACAGCTCGTGGTATTAAATTAATACTTACGTTATTTGTAGGTACATATAATATGGGCAGCACCTGCATTTTTATCCTGACGTATATTATGATCACGATTATAAACTTTATAGTCGGTATTTATGTTCGGCGGGCAATGTCCCGCAGGTGCTAGTGTATAGGTTAAACGGACATTATCTTGTATGCGAAACTTTACATTAAATGTAAATTCTTCTATAAACTAAGATAATTTATAGATACAGCATGTTCATTCTGTTTCATATTAGTCATAATATTTTTAATTGACGTAAAACAGTTACAAAATAATCAGTTTTAGAAACAGAATATTTTTTATAAATAATTTTCAGTCACATATGTATATTTATAATGGAGATTATTTATAAAAAAATATTCTACATGTTGAAATGTGTATGAATAAACTGATTTTGGAACGTATCTGATCAATTATGTGGTCAGGATGCATCTATGTGTCGATCAAAAGTAATGTAACTCATTTTTTATCCAACTTGTAAACAGCTTTTCTATGACTTGGTGAAGTGTATGAGTCAGTCATTCTCACTTAAATGATAGACATTTACAAGTGGTGGTGTGATGACAATATTACCAAGGGAGCCCAATTACCCAGGACGGGTTATTGGGCTCCCTAAAATATTGTCACCGGTTATACTCATGCTGGAATAGGTGCTGCTTGCAGGGCCTGGTTCTGTTCTGTTAACTGTGATTGATATGTTGTTACTCAATAGGTTTTTTTTACTTTTCTCAATCTTGCTATTTGGAACTTTGTATTCAACAAAATCCTGAATATGTGCTGTTGAACAACATTTATTTAAAAGAGGAATATGCAATAGTTTTTCTGTGTTCTTGTGATGAGTCTGCTTTCTGAATGAACGGTAGAAAAAAAATACTATTCAGAAGTGCTGTGAAGTTATATTAAGTTTATTTAAATAAAGATTAATTCTAATTATAATTTTTCCCTTTTAAAATGCGTCATAAAACTTGTTCTGTGTTACGTAATATCTCTACCAAAGTTAACAGTAGTTTCTATACTTATTTTATGAATATTGATTTAAATTTTTTATATTGAATTTCTTCATAATTATGTACATTATTTTGTATTTACAGGTGTGGGAATTGAGTTCAGGCAAATGTTTAAAAACGTTAAAAGGACATAGTAATTATGTGTTCTGCTGTAATTTTAACCCTCAAAGCAATCTTATTGTATCTGGCAGTTTTGATGAAAGTGTAAGAATATGGGATGTAAGAACAGGTAAGAACTTAAAGGATCTATGTATAAAATATTATTTTTGTATAATATTAGCTGTGCCCGCGATTTCATCCGCATGAAATTTATAGGCTATGTATAAGCTATGTACTGTAAAGTTTCGTCAATATCTGTAATTCTGTAATTTTTTCGTGAAAGACTAACAAACAAACATCCATCCATCTATCCATCCATCCATACTCACAAACTTTCGCGTTTATGATATTAATAAGATTATGAATGGGCTTATGATTGTCTACATATATTTTATTTATTGACAGGAAAGTGTTTGAAAACATTACCGGCACATTCAGATCCAGTATCGGCAGTTCATTTTAATAGAGATGGGAGTCTCATTGTATCATCAAGTTATGATGGCTTATGGTAAGACAATCTGGTAAATTAATATCCTATAATTTATTGGTACAAACCAATTCACACTTTCCATATACCATACCATGCATAAAAATGTTCAAAGCACAGTACTTTTATTATTTATATAATTATTTTATTTTATTGAATAATTATATTGTGACTGAAGTTTACATTAGTTTACATATCCAAGGATGTTCATTTTCGAATAACAAGATTTTGGAGTATTGATAATTATTGAGTTTATGTATCAATGATTTTATTTTTGAATTTTTAGTCGAATCTGGGACACGGCATCAGGGCAATGTTTGAAGACGTTAATAGATGATGACAACCCTCCAGTATCATTCGTGAAGTTCTCACCAAACGGAAAATATATATTAGCTGCTACTCTAGACAACACATTAAAATTATGGGACTACAGCCGCGGCAAGTGTCTAAAGACATACACTGGACATAAAAATGAGAAATATTGTATTTTTGCTAACTTCAGTGTCACCGGTGGAAAGGTACTTATATCTTTTTGTCTATGGAATTATACGTTAGTAGAATTTTATGTAACTAAAATGACAAAATGACAGCCCGCCTGATGGAAGGTGGTAACGCGCGTAAATACACGAACAGCATCACAATCACATTGTGACAGCCACAGCGATCCTCAATCATTGTCATTAATCCATCAGAAGATCGATATGCACACTTAAAATAGACAACTCCATCTATTTTGGGATACTAATAAAGTTGAAAATTTTAAGCATTTAACAATTTTCTTCTATAGGATTTCATCTCATCTTGCTTAATTTAGAAACCCTAATTTAAATTATCTAATATTGTGTTATTTTTAATTCTTATACATAAAATTCGTTGTTGACTTGTACACACCATACACACAAACCCATACAAATGATTCATGTTAAGAAAGTAAAAAAATATTTAATTTTTCCAATTCTTTGTCTACAGTGGATAGTATCAGGTTCAGAAGACAACTTAGTCTATATATGGAATCTTCAATCAAAAGAAATAGTTCAACGGCTCTCAGGACATACGGATACGGTTCTCTGTACTGCTTGTCACCCCACCGAGAACATAATTGCGTCGGCCGCACTTGAAAACGACAAGACTATTAAACTTTGGAAAAGTGATACTTAAAATTTAGCTTTGGTGAGTTTTGCATTCTATTTAACTACTATATAGTTTTAATGGCAATAAATAAAAAAATATTTAAAAAGTAGCCTTTTATTTAAAATAAAAATATTAGAAGGCATTTCGGCTAACTACTTTAGTTAAGAAGAATTGGTAAGAAATTCGATTGGTACATTATATTCATTGTTGCCGCTGCTAGGTATACGGCACGGCATAGTAATAGCACAGATAATATAATATTACATACAGATACCCCATCCCATACAAGAAAATGGTTCCTTCCTAACTCGGGCTATTCTTCGGGCTATTTTATTTCGCCGCCGTAGGCGCTAGATGTCGCTATATCTGAAGCAGTTCGGATTACTAGTGGGTGATTAGTAATAAAGCATGAAAATAGATGGCAGAGAATTCGGTCTACATGACATCTGTTTTGCAAAGATACGTACATAATAGATATATAACTGTATCGAACTCCTGATTGGGTACAATCGAAAATTCAATGTAGGTATAATATTGTTCGTTGACAGTCTACAGACACGGCTAATGTACCTATGTATCTATATACTATGTTACAGTTACTTTTTTACATGCCTACTTTTTTTCTCCCGACGAAGATATGTCGTAACGCGTCTGCACTAAAATCGGGCTATCGGTTAAGGAGCAATAGCTCCTTAACGAATAGCCCGATTTTAATACGGTTTTTTTTATTTAAATTGTTATGTGATAGTGATAGATTTTAGCTATAATCAATTGATGTGCATATGGGTACCTCATATAATTTTCAGTATATAATTATTTCTCAATATGTAGTTAATTATGTAAAACTGGCAATTAGTAAAACTGAAAATAATATCTGCAAACCATCAATCTGTTATATGTATAGGTTCTTTCAGGGATACTACATCGGTGCTAATGACATGTAGGTACTTATTTTGATGTTATACCTATTTGTAGAACCTTCGATATCTACAAACTACGCCTTTACTGCTAGTTTTTTGGTATTTATGTAAGTTGTTATTCAGTTGAAATTAAGCTGCGAAATTACAGGATATTTGGACATAACATCTATGTTCTCCGGAATGATAACGTATGCGGGATATAGCGGGCACGACATGATGACGTAATGCTGTTTAATAATATATACGTAATATTATGTACGTCGGATAGCGTCGTGGTTGGATGGATCGTCAGCTTATTTACCATTTCAGTTCATAATAGTAGGTAGTAACTTTTGACAATATGGATGAAGGAGGGTAACGGTGATGATGATGAGATCAATAATGACTGTTGACGATAGTGACGGTGGTATTTATTTATGACCACCATAAAATTCATCATTGGCAGTATTCTCAACATTATCATCATTGTTCATCATGATGATTGAGATCAAATTAATTAATTGATTAAAAAAGTAGCAAGTATTAGGTAGGTACTAAGTCCTTATATGACTTAAATACAAGGTTCTGGGATGCTGTGATATACTACAGTCTCTAGATTTTGTTTCTTATTAGTATTCCGCAACCAAAGTCTATAGACAGAGAAATATAGATTTACACAAAGTTTTTTGATGTAAATGGGAATTATTATACACATTGCATTAAAAAATATATATGATTACCATCTAATACAAAATCATTATGTAGTAAATAATTCCTGACATTTTAAATCGAATGAGGTGAAACTAACATTGCATGAACACAACACTTGAAGATCATAAAATTTTTATTTCAGGTAATAAAACACTTTTAAATAATTTATTAATCACAGAATAAACAATTGTTAATAATTTACAATAATATTTCTTTCACTGCTTGTCTGTTATACCACTAAAACTTCAAACACTTCTGTTATTTTTATATTATATTCCAAATAAATCAATATCAAGACATAATATTTCATCAAAATCATTTCATAATTAATTCCTGGTACACAAAATATTCCTGGATTTGTTGATGAAGCAATATAATAATAATCATGAGCTTAAATCATAAACTTATTTGCAGTCGGTTACACATAATATAATTACTTGGAATTTCTTCTCATCACTAGTCCGTTGCTTTCTTACTTATTTAATTATATTATTAATTGCATTGTGATTAATAATTTACAGATTTTTCTTCTGCTTTTTTCTCTTATTTTTACTTGCATTATTATTTTATACAGTAAAATGTTCCTATATATATATATACTTCTTATTCTCTTGAACTCCTGTTCTTTACAGTAAAAATGTTATTTATCTTCATCTGAATGACTAGGAGATTTAGAATATCATCTCTTATTTGTTTAAACTTTGTTCAGTATTAAGTTGTTGATGTCAGGAAAATCTGAAAACAATATCATATACCATGTTACATTTTCATGAACTTACATGAATGAATTTACATGAAAGTAACTAAACTGTAACCTTAAACTGCTGAATAAACATATTATTCATACATCATATTCATTCAGCTCTAATAAAATATAAAAATAATACTACTGTTTAGTACTTTATTTTGATTAACAATTTTCAGTATTTTCTCAATCAATCAAAAATTATAAAATCAGTGTTAGTTTTTTGAAGTTACATTCATAACAATAATAAAAACATAATAATACCACATTAAAGCGGTCACCAAGTACCTATGTTTATTATATTTTAATATGAAAGATACACACGCATACATAGGCAAGTTTTTAACAACTTATAGTTATGAGATAATCCTCAAAGACACGATAGTTTACTAAATATTTGTAGTAGTCCTTAGACACATTTAAATTATTGAGTTTGACAAAAAATAAGAAGTTCAATGAACTCTGAACAGGAACAATTCAAAAGTTGAAGTACCTACTTAACTTAAATGATGAAAAAAGAGAAAAAATCCAATGCTAGTGAAAATATGTTTTAAGCATTTGACTTAAAGTCGTTTATCCTATTCTTTTATTCCTATATTTTATATTTTTAACATTTCATTTATGTTGCCAGTACTCGTTGTCATTTCGATATAATAAAAAAATATGGACCAACCTACGATTTTAAATCGATATTTTTATTTGTGATGAAATCTAATAATATAAATTATGAATAACCTACCCTCGAATGGAGATATTAAAAAACTAATTATCATGAATAGTAGGTACTAGGATCAGTAATATATCATAGTAATATGAATGATTATCGTTTCAAAACCTTGTACAATTTAGTAAGGTTGAAAATATCCTTCTACAAAAGCAAAATTCGAGTATTTGTAAAGTTTCTTATGAGTATTTTTAAAAATTCGAGGATCCTCATATTTAGCTACCAATGTCAGTAATTTAGATACCATATAGATAACACTTGTTTATTGAGGTTTCATAAAGGTATAGCTGACCTTATATACTCTATACCACATTCAATTCACATTCATTAAATTACAATAAGTAGGTATTTATTTTTTTTAATAGAAGAACTATGTCACTAATGTCATTAATTGCTATAATTACCAGGGCGACCTCGTGGTGGTTGATATAATAGAGTACACTTGTATCAGATCAATCTAATTAATATTTCCCTCTTCAAGTTTCGAAGTTATGAGCGAACAGATAAATATATAGTACTTGCATACCTGTCAAAATCTCTCTATTTTGCCGTCGTCGAGTAAAAATTATGCATTGCAATTCGTTCCAAATAAGAGTATAATACAAAATGATGAAATTTTACTGTTTGCAAAGACTAATTAAAAGCACCATCGAATAATGCGTTGTAATATCTTGTTATCGATTATTCGAAAAAATCGATAAATCTATGCATTTATATTTAATATGGCAACACTTTCTAAATAAGTATTACTGGAATAATATGGTTTTCTTGTTTAGCTGTTTTATATTTACTTAAACTTTTTTTATGTTTAATTTATCATAATAATATAGTAAGTACTTATTATTTGAAAATATAAAATAAACATTTAAAATACGGTGATACAAATGAAAACAGCGCCATCTATGAAAGTATTTTGGAAACAATAAGCCCCAATTAGCAATGATTAAATTGTAAACAAATACAAGGCAACAACAAAATGAGTAAATATATGAAAATTACTTTTCAAAACGCATTATTTCATTTTAACATCTATATATGACTTTTTAAAAATAGATTAAACCTTTTTAAAAACATAGTTTTGGGTTTTAAACGATTACAAAACAATGTTGAATTCCATTCGATACCAATGACGCCATCTAAATCCGTTTTTCGAACTAAAAATGGCTACTATGCCATTGATCCCCACTGGTAATAGTAATACTCTTTTTACGATCCATAAATAGTATAAAATATTTATAAATATTTTGACGGTTTACTTAATTAGCTTCATGACATTATTTTTTTAATAAATATATTTTTAGTTTAGTTGTAAGTGTGTAAAACTTTACGTTGACTGATTTCCGTTGTTATTAGTTGTTGTAATTTTTTGTTTGTTAATTTTATTTCAATATATTAAAGAAAAGTTAAGTATTTAAACTTAACTTTTCTTTAATGTATTGTAATAAACAAAAAAAAAACAAATTATTTAGTATAGTTGTTTTTTCTACAGGCTTTCTAGCAGAAGCAGAAGCAGTGATCTGTATAAGTGGCTTCATATTGCAAGCCATACGACACCAGCCTGTGTAAATTGTGTAGGTACCAAAATTGTGGTACCGGATATTGGACGCTGAACATATTTTCATTTCCATTCATTATTTGATCACAGTGAAATGTGTGCATTTTCGGTTGTAATAATTATACATATTTTTTGTATCTGACATGTCAAATGAAAGGATGAAATGTTTTAGCCATTTTGTTTAGTTAAGATTGAGTTTAAGAATGTCATTTAGAATTAACTTGTTGGATACGATTAAAAATCTAGTAGTTACTATGTGTTTAATTCTGTTTTGTCCTTAAACTATGTGTAATAAAATATATATATAAATTAATGTTTATATAATAATAACGAAATTTCTGTTTTGATTATAAAACCTTTTTTTACCCCAAGGATTGACGATTGCACTTATATGGCTTTTTGGAATGGCAAATAAGCTGAACCGTCGCCTATATACGGAAACAGGCAACTAAATATACTTTATATACTATACTAGTTGTGCTTTCATACCTATCCCATTTCTAAGTACTCTTCACTGCTATATTTCAAACCGGGACACAGATTACAAAGTAATTTGCTGCCTACAGAAAAATCTCAATCTAGAAATATAAACAAAGTATATGTGCACAATTAAATCAACAATATATTTAAACTTCGAAAATAAAAAACTAAGAAAAGAATACAACCCTATTGAATGAAAACGAATATTGTTTATTCATGAGTAAAATGGATTTAATACACCAGCAGAGTCTAACGACACTGCACAGCTGGGACTTAATGTAATAAATCTGATACTGCTCTCATTAGGGTAAAGTGAAAAAAATCAGGTCAATATAGCGCCTTTGGGAATAATGTAGGAAATATATCGAAAGCTAATAACGATTGAAGTAGATGAGTAGCTTCTTTCGTAAGCTGCGTAGCAACTGACAAAATGTTGTCACAGTTGCTACGCAGTTTACTAATGAGCATAAGGTCAACTAAGTATTGAGTATAACGTCAATAAAGTTTGAGTTTGCAAAAATAATCACGTCTTTCATTTTTTTTGAGATATCGCGTTACTTTTTGTGTGTACCACACATAAATCGATTCAAAAATATACTGTGACTGTATTTGTAGAGAAATATGTGAATTAGCAATTAAGATGCTAATTGCTTTTAATATACGTCACTTTTAAGAGCGTCATGACCTAGTTCACTTCCCAATTTATAGATCTACATATAAAAGATCATGTTGTCGATCAATTTGTCTGTTACCATAAATTATTTATTTTTTACTAACATTCAACGATATGGCCAACACTGATGACAAATCAACTTAATCTGATAAACGGTGGTAGGCACACTGCTAGTGCAAGTAGACAAAGTCTTTTAAAAGTAAAAGCAAGATTGTTTTAGCAGTACGATGCTCAGAATTTGAGTCGTACTTACCTACCGTCTTTACTGTTTGAAATGATTCAAGGAATGATCGGTTGTATTTCATTGAAAATAAATATTTTTATCTAATAAATAAAACTGAACAGGTGCAAATATTCGCATTGAAACGTTATAACTTTACACTTTATAGTGCCTCAGGCTTCCCTGTTCGGAATTACCGTCGTGTCTCTACCAATTATGTAATTTATTTCAATTCATAGGAAAACCAGTATCCATATGGTTCGCAGTAACTAGTCTTCAAATCGTATTATTCTCGATGTTATACTTTCATATCGCGTAAACTTCGACGTTCCTTTTTCGCCTCCGGCTCCCAGGAGGGGAGAAGACAGAATGATTGTTCAAACAGCGTATCATTTTTATTACACTGAAGATACACGTAGTATTGTTCTGCCATCCCATTAGTTGGCTACGGATCTGCGGATAAAAACCTTATCCTTTTCTATTCTCAAAATACTTTAAGCTTTTATATATCCACTAGCGACCTACGTCGTGTTGGTTTTGTACGAGTATTACACATATGAACTTCCCGGAAAAATTCCGCAATTATAGAGAAATCATATCAAAATCCGTAGGGGGTTTCGACGAAATAAACTAAAAAAGAGATAGACAAAAAACTATTTTGTGTTATATATAGGTATGTTACCTATTAATGTTTTTAACAAAGGGGGGCGTGATTGATGGTAATGGGGACCAATGAGTAGGGACTGATATCGTGAGTGATGTATCTCGCGATTCTTTTATTGGAGAATCTAGTGAAGGAATTTGAATAAAATGCTGACACCTACCGATATTGACATCGCTGTATTCAAGTCAGTTCGTGACCACGGCTAGTGCATCCTAGTCGAAACGTGAGTCGTCGAGTTGTGAGATATATAGATATATATATAAAATACCTTTATTTACCATTTTGTTTTAATTCTTCATGACATTTATATTAAATTATTAGATTTATGTACAATTTGACCCACTCAACACTTCCTATGTCATACTCTATTGGGTTGAGTGGAATAGATAACTTTTAGAGATAAATCCTCCTTTGTTGACATTATTTCTAATTAATATATCTGTACACGACGGAATCAATTAGAAAATAAGTTTTAGCTGTAATTAGTATAATAAGTCATCCTTAATAAAATATATAACATAGTGTTTTTTATTGCCCTAAATATAAGTAATTAGTATAAGTAGAATTTGTATATAAGTGTGAATAAGATCAATTTCGTTAATAATAATAATATGTTGTTTTAAACTTGACGCGGTCATTATTTATACGTATAATTAGTCAAAATCACGGGATCTTACCACGTTTTATATTTATTTGCTGAGTTCCCGATATTTCGGTAGTGTTTCAACCATCGTGATCACGGGTAAACTGAAGAGCAGCGGGTAGAAGGAAAATGAAATCTTTTTATGGGCAGACATATGCGTCTACCTTCACACGTCTTCGTTTGTTGCTACTACTGGAACTCGCTCGATATTCATCTCGGCAAACTGTACTCACAGTATCTTTACGTACATTTAATACACTTTTCGATCGCGTTTTTTGTTTTTGTTTAATTAAACCAATCACTGGATTCCAGGCATTAGAGAGCCTATAACCGTCTTCTCGATTGAAATTTATATATTTCTGTATTTCAATGGCCTCTCTAACCATTCTTGGGATATATATATTAATTAACTTTTGGTTGGTGTATTCAATACAGTGATTGGGTCCCGATCCCAACAAGTGTTCCGCTATGGCTCCCAGTTTGCCGAGATGAATATCGAGCGAGTTGAATGCGAGATGAATACAAACCACCATGGGTTGAAACATTACCGAAATATCGGGAACTCAGCAAATAAATATAAAACGTGGTAAGATTCCGTGATTTTTACTAATTTTACGTATAAATAATAATATGTACAACTATTAGAAAATAAAGACACGAAACATACAGTTGCAGTAGGGAAGGCCACCTGTCGGGCGTCTATATAAAGAGCGCGGCCGCGCAGCGGTCCGCCCCCCTCCTATCGATCCCCCGTCCAATTCAAACGGGGATCGAAATTACGACGAGCCGAGGTTCGAACCCCTAGTGGTGCCCTCAGACTAAAGTTGTATCCGTCAGGCAGGAGTTGGCCTTCAGCCGCTCCATAAGTCCTACCGCGGATTTGGAGTGCCATCTGCACTCACCCCCTAACGTCCAGTGCAGCTGTAAAGGCCAGCTGCGGCCAACAGCATTAGAGTAGTCCGAAAAAAAACACCGGTCAGCATTCACTGGCGACCCGATAGGTATAAGTGCAAACAACCGAGCATTTTTACTTCGCCGTCCGACCGTACGACCAGGGATCCTATAGTCCTGTCACCATCAATATCTAAAAATGTACTTAAGTGCAATAAAGAATATATAATTTAGTGTTAAGACCTGATTAACTATAAATATTAATAACGGCTTGTATTTCACAGACAACATAGTGGAAAACAACTAGATGGAGTTATTTTAATACAAAATAAAATATTTTCGATAAACTTGTACAGTTATGTAGATATTGCGTTGGGTTGCAATAATGGAACTATTCAAATAATGAACCAATGATGTTCATGCCTATATAAATATTGGTTCAAATGTAAATTCAATAAATTCCGTAACAATAATAATTTCCTGTTCAGTTGGTCTCGTCTCTTAACTACAGAATTAATTACAAATAAACTTTATACTCATTTCATAAAATTTTTTTTTTTTATATTAACGTATAATATATTAATATATACCTATGTACTGAATTTTAAAAATATGTGATGTGTGATGTTGGTATAAATTTTTGTTTGTAAACTAATTGGAGTTAATAAAAAGTGAAACTTATCCTAATAGGTACATTAGTGAGAACCACCAATATCGTTTGAACTTTTTCTGAAATAAAGTGCATAAAAAAATACATACAAACGGACAAAACTTTAACAATAGTTGCATTGGGTTGATAAAATCCCACAACAATAATTATCTCAGATATCTTTCGATGTGCATACAGCGGTTACAGTTTTATTATAGGTAATAATGGTAATATCTAATAGACTAGAACAAAGAAAACGATGTGATTCCAAAATAAAGCAAATTATGACGACGAATTTAGTTTGCTATATGATCTCAGTACTAAATGGATTTTTGGTTTTTAAAATAACGTCTAATTTGCAGGCTGCTATGAATGCCCTTCTTTCGCAAATAAAAACGTACCTAGTAGATACAATATAAATTCCTTCAGAAAGTATCGCGTATACTGTGTACGGAAATGAATTTTATAATGTAATGTTACAAAGAATGCTCAATATTTCCTCAAGACGTAAGCAGGTAGATACTCTCATATCCTTATAATATTTTAATATCTTTTGAAAATTATTTCCTTGATATGGAAACATTAAAAATAAATTGCAGTAGGTACTTGGTACATATATAATAATTTAGCATGCCTATTGGGTTTGGTTATTTGTTTTGATTTTTTAATTTGGAATTGATGAATTTTGGAAAATCCACTCTAAATCTTTGACTTAAAGTCTAATACCAAAAAAATTGAAATTTATTTATGTGAAATAAATCATACCGCACAGATAAACCCTTCGGAAACAGCTAGTTGTATTTTAAGCAATTTATAAAAGGTGAAATTATTAGAAATACACCAAGGTACAACACTTGTAAATATTTGTGAGTAGTAGTAATAGTAAGTACATAGTAGGTACCGTTTTAAAATTTTTATGGTACACTATACAATCTGTGGTCAGTAAGTACCTACTTTAAGTAAAATTTCTAGTACACTCTTATACTAGAGGTAGAGGGTTATGTACTTACTGACCATAGATTATCAATTGTA